GTTAATAATGCATTAGTAAATGTTCAATTATGATTAATAAATGCTGTACATCTGTTGTTCATGATTAGTTCATGTTAGTACATGCATTAATTAACGAACCTTATCATAAAGTGTTACCTTTTCTAAACTGCTGTTTTTGTTTCATTTACATGTCTGTAATCAACAGATTTAGCGAGCGCCACATTTAACAGCTAATTTTTATTGGTTTCCCTGGTTTATCAGGGAATGCCACAGAGGAACAAACAGCCAATGACTTTGGCATATGTTTTTATGCAGTGGATGCCCTTCCAGCCGCAACCGAGCACTGAGAGTACAGTAACTCATAAACCCCAGCTCTGGGAAACACTCATACGGTTTCTCATTCACACACGCATACACTCAGTTTAGTTTAAGCATACCACATGTGTTTGTGGGGGAAACCAGAGCACCCAGAAGAAATCCATGAGAGAATACAAACTCCACACAAAAAAACTTGGTCCAGCTGGAACCCAATCCAGCAACCTTGTTGCTGTTATTGCTAACCATTAATTCTCCATGCCACCCTGTACTTTAAAATGTGAACAGAAAAAAACAGATAATCTTGCAGCAACAATATAAAAGCAGCCTAATTCTTAGTGAAGACTGTGGACTTGGTGAAACTGATGGGACTGGACTCTTATTAATCAGGCCAAACTCGACTCATTCACTGCATTCCATTCAATGCCCTTCAAATGCATGAGGTCTACCAAATATTACACCAAACTTCTCTCCACAAAGGATCATGGGGACTCGAAGTGTCCATCAGCTGTACACTGAAATCCTCACTCTGAAGTGTCCTTTAAAGCAGGAGTTCCCAAACTTTTCAGCCTACGACCCCTAAAATATCAATACCACGGACTTGCGAATTCCTCAGAGATGGTTATAATATGCAACGCTGCGCACACAACAATAAGCTAATATAAACAAGAGCCACAGTCTAACAACCATTTCACTGTTATAGTCATTTATTAATTTCATTAACCTCAATTAGAGAAACTGGTGGGCACAATGTTTTCAGCATAAGTCTATTCTTGGTATAATTTTGGAGACCGCCACTCAGAGATCATTCTCAGTATTCACTTATGGCCTGTATTTATTTTTAATGTCTTTGATTGCCGTAAAGGTGTCAGAAAGTTTAATCTGGTGCTATAAAATCAATCTGCTGCCGCTATTGCGGTGTTGTTAATCTAACGCAAGCACACCAATCCTATGAAGAAAAAAAATTAATTGAAAGGCTGATGGATTTTGTTTTTTATTTTTATTTTTTGTGGGATATGGTTAATGGTAATACTAATTATTTAATAAAATTTATTTGACTTTTTAAAAGCAAGCGCCCCCCCTCATTGTCCTGCAGCCCCGCAAGGGGTCCCAATCCCCACTTTGGGAACCACTGCTTTAGAAGGTAATATATGTCATTTGGAATGCACCAAGAATTTGCAGATCTACAAAAAATGGCAGACAATGTTGTCTTTTTACAACAGCAGTTACAATGTAAACAAAACCATTTTAATAGTCTGAGTTTATTACAGCGACAGATAATGTGTTCACAGTGAGACGATGGTGTCATTTTCTGGTGCATGGTGGTAAAATTTAATCAACCGCTCATTAGTAAAGCTATCTATGTGCTTGCCTGAAGGACTCAAAAGTAATGAAAGTCAAACAGAGCAATAATTGGTCATACTTCACTTCAAATCTTCTCTTAGAAATGTACTGTAGAAGGTACTGTATTTTCAGCACATTTCTTTGGATGTGCAGCCTAGTGTATAAATTCATTTTTTTCAAATTTGCTGTGGAGATTTAAACCTAATCCGCGTATATGATGCTCTTTGGTGCATTAACAATAGTCCACAGGGAACACTTTGAGCTCTGGTATTATAAAGGTTCTGAAGCTTTGAAGAGAAAATGTCTACACGAATTCTTCTCAGGATCCAAACACTAACAACTATTTAATTACATTAAATTAAGTTTATCTAACAAGTGTAAATAACACTGCGGGAAGTCCTCTCTTAATCTGCCTTTGTTTTACCGAATAAACATGCTCAAACATGCACACATCCACCACTGAGCACAATTATGTGCTAATTATTATTTTCCTCAGTTAGAATTAGACAAATGACTGGAAATGATCCTTCCTATCTATTTTCCACATGTTGTAATCCCCTGTAAGCTCCCTCTACAAGAGAAACTGCCTGAGAAACATGCTTGTACATGAAAGCAGATAAACTAGTTCTTTACTATAGTGCACATCAGTGAAGTTTCATCAATTTGTGCTGTTCACAAAGCTTCTGGTATCATGCAGAATTTAATGAGACATTTAAAGTGCCATGTACTGTACAGTATAGACTGCAGAGTAATATGTGGGCTGCATGTGTTCACATTCCTTCACAAGGCATTGATGTTTTATTAAAATAATCACTCGAGGAAAAGTCAGAGCCTTGCTAGAAAGTGTTTCTGATATTCTGATGTCAGTTTGAAAGCTCCAGATCCTTATTACAACTTTCTTTTCTGTGTCACAAGAGACTATGTTAAATTACCCAAAGATTCAAGGTTTGTGAAATATAGAACTGGAGCATTTGAGTTATATACAACGGTTAAATATGTAATGATGTCCAGCATAGTTTTAGCATCCATTTCTCAGTAAATATACACTGTAAAAAATCTGCTATTTTACATTTTCCCACCTGGTATGTAAAAAGTAAAATAACGGCCATTAAATAACAGAAATTTATTGTAAAATAGTGGATGTTAAATTACAGAAATTTACTGTAATTCAATTCGGCAGTAAATTTCTGTAACTTAACGAAGGCTATTTTACAGTATATTTCTGCTATTTAATAGCTGTTATTTTACGTTTTTTTCCCAGCTACCTATATTTTTTTCAGTGTAGGTCATATATTTTGGTGTATTTGAATTAAATAGATTTATTAAATGGCTATATTTATTAACATAATATTTTAGTCACTGAATAGCTTTAGAAATAGGAAGACAATACATTTAAATTAATGCAAAATATTATAAAACAAAATTACAAACTACGAAATTATATATACATATATATATATCCTATAGAAAATATTCATTTAAATGAGAGATTTGTAAGGGGTGTACTCATATTTGTTAAGCACTGAATATTTATCATTTACATTTAACGGTATAATGACATAGAATGGATCCAAGTTGTTTAGTAAGGTTTGTGTGTGTGTGGGTTAAAGTCACACTATAATTTTTCTTGAAAATAGGCTCATTTTACAACTTCCCTAGAGTTAAGTTGAGCTCTACCATTTTTATATGCATTCAGCTGATGTCCAGGTCTGGTGGGAGCACATTTAGCTTTGAATAACATAGATCAGTGTATTTTTGGATCAGACCATTAACCTCTCGCTCAAAAATTAGCAAAGAGTTTTTAAAAAATCCTATTTAAAACTTACTTTGTGTACAGAACATACACAATATTTGCAATCATTAAGACATTGGTGAAAGATGATTCAGAACTACTTTCAGATGTGGCGTAAAAGTGCTCCAGACACACACCAGACCCAGAGATTGGCTGACTGAATTCAAAATGGTAAAACACTCAAGAAGAGTTTTAAAATTCCTTTAATGCTATAGCTGTGGAACCTGAGCTGAAGCCTGTTGGGAAATGATAAGCATGTTGTCATACAGGTTTTTTGTCTGTGAATGTAACACCCTTTGAATGCCATGAATGGTTTTGATTTTTTCACCATGACAGTACTGTTGACACGTTTTTGACAGTAGTGGAATTTTTAAGTATGACTTCATTGAATCCTGTTAAATAAATATTTCAGCATTAATTTACCATCTCAGTCAGAATCATTTTTTTAACACACACACACACATATATATATTTGGTTCTGCTCTGGGCAAACAAAACATGCGCCCAGACAGAGCAGGAATGGTAACAACAAATTAAACCCACAAAAGGGGTAACAGATCTGAACCAGAAATCATGCATTACATTCATTCATTCATTTTCCTTCGGCCAAGTCCCTTATTTCTTCAGGGATCGACACAGCAAAATGAACTGCTAATTTATCCAGCATATGTTTTACACAGCGGATGCCCTTACAGCTGCAACATCGTACTGGGAAACACCCATACACACTCATTCACACACATACCCAACAACTATATTGCATATCTTTGGACTAAGGTGAAATCCGGAGCACCCGGAGGCAACCCATGCCAACATGGAGAACAGGTAAACTCCACACAGATATGCTGACTGACTCAACAAGGATTCGAACCAGCAACTTTCTTGCTTTGAGGCAACAGTGCTAACCACTCAACCACTGTGTTGCCATCATGCATGAATAACTACAATTAATTGTTGTTAGACTTAATGCACTGTAAAGGCCATAAAATATCGGGCTGATTACCATGTATTTGGTTTAAACATCTTGACAGATTTCAGATATGGGCTAGGAGAAGTTGAGGAAGGAGAAGAGAGTGTCAAAATGGTGTGCAGCAAAGCACTAGAGAGAGACTGAATGTATGGATTTGAACAGACCATTGTGATAGTGTATTTTACCTCTCCAATAAGACGTGTTTTCAAATTAAACAGGGTTCAGCAAAAAAGAACGGGTTGATAGATTAGTCAAACTGACTACAGTAGAAGCTACTTTTTAGTTTATGAGAGCGTTGTGCTAAGGAAATCTATATAAAAATCTATATTCAACAAAATAATGCAAGTCATACCTGTTTGGAATGACAAGGCTGAGGAAACGATGCTAGAATTGAAATTTTGATCTGAATTATTGTTTAAAAAATATTCATTAGCCTCTGCAACCTACGTGACATCAACACACAAAGAAAGTCATTTCAAAGATTGAGCAAGTGATTACATTTTGATCTAATAAAACGGGAAACAAACATTTGTTTTCCGAGGCCTGACATGCTCTGATGAATTATTCACAATAAATAAACTGACGCCGATGATTTTATGGTGACCTTCACTACGCATCGCTGGTCATAAAACCCCTCATTCATAACACTTAGAGCACACCTGAGCTCTTCACAAACCCAAACAAAGGCGTTAAATTCAAGGAATCTAAATCAAAAACAACAGCCAGAGTGTTTATAAGAGCAGGCTTTGCAGGAGGAAGGAAATCGATGGGAGAAATCAATGTTGTACTCCCTCTAATGGCCGAGTTATCTGTCACCGAACATGGCTCGCTCTCAACCCAAGCACTAGCTGTCCAGGAGCTCCACGGCTTCTGAATTGTTGCACTGTTGAGCCAAGGTTAAGGCGGTACATCCTTTGGAGTCCTGCATCTCCCGCTGTGCATTATTCATCAGAAGGGCTTTGATGATGGGGATGTTGCTGAGCTGGGCGGCTAAATGCAAGGGTGTTGACTGGCTGTTATTCTGAGCATTCACATTAGCTTTATGGGATATCAACTGCAGCACGCTAGGGAAGCTGCTGCTATTACAGGCTAAATGGAGGGGAGTCCAGCCGTTATCCTCAGCCAAGTTTGGATCAGCACCTGCTGTCAGCAGCCCAGTCACCACCTCCTCTTGTCCATGATGACAGGCAAGATGCAAAGGCGTCCAGCCGTTTTTCCCTTGAATGTTGACTGAGCCTTGGTGTTCCTCCAAGGTGAGGATAATCTCCGGATGGCCTTTCAGGGCTGCCAGGTGCATGGCGGTCCAGTTCTTATTAGTTCTGCTGTTGGGGTCGATTCCTTTACTTAAGAGGAGTCTACAGATACCTGTATAACCGTTCAGAGCTGCAAAATGAAGAGAGCTGTAGCTTTGCTCATCAACTTTATTCACATCAGCTCCACTATTAACCAGTAAACGGACCACCCTGAAGTGCCCCTCCTCTGCCGCCAGGTGTAGGGCAGTGGATTGGTTGTTATCCTGTTTGTCGATGTCAGCTCCTTTATTGAGCAAGAGCTTGACGATGTTTATGTGGCCATAAATAGAAGCTACATGAAGCGCTGTACGGCATGATTGGTGCTCCTGCACATCCACGCTGTCAAGACGGCGGAGTAAGATTCTCACAATGTTCTCGTGCCCATTTTGAGCTGCTAGATGCAAAGGCGTCCATCCATCCTTTTCCTTGGCATCAGCTCTCGCCTTATTGTCTAGCAAAAATCGAGTGGCTCGGTCGTCGCCAGCCTGTACGGCAAAATGTAGCGCGGTCCACTGGTCGCCATCGCTGAGGTTGACGTCAGCCCCACAGTCTGTCAGCAAGCTGCAGATCTCATAAAACTTGTGCAGAACTGCGACGATGAGAGGAGTGTAGCCTTTTACACTCTGGCAATTCACCGAGGCTCCCAGATTCAGGACCATCTGCACACTTTCTCTGTCCCCGCCTGCCACGGCGTGATGAAGGAGAGAGTTGTTGTCTTGAAAGAGCATTGACACATGCTCTTTTCGTACAACTTTCTTGAAACTATTAAAGTCTTTTCTTACAAGCAGAGACTGAATGCTTGAATCATCTATAGTGCATAGGGGAAATGGGTTAGAGGACTGTTATATATATACAGTAAAATGTGGAAGGATTGTTCAGAGAGACAGCACAAAAGATTGAATGCATTGAAAAATACTTGCCTGAGGAGTCAGCCGTTTTCTTGGGCTAATGGAGGGAAAGCACAATTGAATTCATTTTATTGTCATGGATTTTAAAATGTGTTAGTCTGAATGTTGTGTTGGTCAATATAGCAGTCACAGTAATTTATTTATTTGCATAGTAACACCCATTGTACATCTCAGACTTTTTGAAAAGTTCACAACACTGGAGCCAACTTAAGTTTGTTTAACATTTATAGGCTTGAAACAGAGTCAGGCTCTTCTAGATCTGTTAAGATTTCACAACTGCAGTAATTAAAGTGAAAACATAACAATATACATTTCTTTACGCAATACGTACAAGAAGTGCTAATTATACAAAGTAACTTGTTTGTACTCAGAGAATTTAGTGCTAGAATAGGAGTTTTTGAAAGAGAGAGAGGGGAGATACAGTTAAAGTCAGAATTATTAGCCCCCCTGTTTTTTTTTCTCAGTTTCTGTTTAAAGAAGAGATTTTTTAAACACATTTCTAATCGTAATAGTTTTAATAACTCATTTCTAATAACTGATTTATTCTATCTTTGCCATGATGACAGTAAATAATATTTGACTAGATATTTTTCAATATTCTTCTATACAGCGTAAAGTGACATTTAAAGGCTTAATTAGCTTAACTAAGCAGGCTAGGGTGATTAGGCAAGTAATTGTATAACCATAGTTTTTTCTGTAGACTATTGAAAATAAATATAGCTTAAGGGGGCTAATAATTTTGACCCTAAATAGATGTTTAAAAAAAAATAAAAACTGCTTTTACTCTAGCCGAAATAAAAGAAATAAAACTTTCTCCAAAAGAAAAAATATATCAGACATACTGTAAAAAATTCCTTGCTCTGTTAAACATCATTTGGGAAATATTTTAAAAAGGAAAAAAATTCAAAGGGGGTGGGGGGGCAGGGTGGAGGGGGCAAATAAGTCTGACTTCAACTGTACATATAATTTATTATTATATTATATAATTATATATCACCAATATATTATTGGAACCACTTTCTGAATTAACAATAGGTGTTCACTTACAGTACAGCATAATAAACAGAACATTATTGTGCAATGGCATGAATAAACATATACAGTAGTTATTGAAGTTATAGTTATCAATATTTTCATCAAAAACCACTAGTCCACTATAGTGAGGTTTATTACAAAGCATGAGTAGCTGTAGTCTTGCTAGTGAAGCTATTATTTACATGTACAGCTTAAAATGTATGTACGTAAAATGTAAGTCCTCAAACAATTGTTCTTTTTTCAAAATAACTTCCACTCTCTCTTCAATGACAATTTTTCTCTTGTATTTAATAGATCTGCCGTGCTAGGGCAATCTTTTAAAGTGGATAATTTGTTACTTCCATCACATCCACCAATAACAAATTGCAATGATCTAATAATTGAGTCAATCCCCAACAGACAAAAAGTTCTGTCCCACTGTACTTCCCTTTTGTGCTATGTGCTATCATGTGCTATCATGCTAAAATCACATGCAAAATATATGAAACACAAGTAAAATGTGTGAATAGTTTTGTAACATTATGTGAAACTCCTGTGAACATGTTTACACGTCAACATTTGTAATAAAACCACAGGTTTCATATTTGACTAGTTACACATACAGTATAAAGTGATTATAACATGTGAAGCTTCTATTTTTTTCTATAAAAGGTTTTTCTTAGATGAAATGCCATTTCACTCATACACTCACCGGCAACTTTATTAGGTACACCTTAGTAGTTGCCTTCAGAACCGCCTTAATCCTTGGCATGGATTCAACAAGTTACTAAAAAATATTCATCAGAGATTTCAGCCCATGTTGACAGGATAGCATCACGCAGTTGCTGCAAACTTGTCGTCTGCGCATTCATAATGCAAATCTCCCATTCCACCACATCCTGTTAGTGTTACTGTTGCCTTTCTATCAGCTGGAAACCGTCTGGCCATTCTCCTCTGACCTCTGGCATCAACAAGGCATTTGAGCCCACATAACTACCGCTCACTGGATATTTTCTCTTTTTTTGCACTATTTTCTGTAAATCCTAGAGATGATTGTGCGTGAAAATCCCAGTAGATCAGCAGTTTCTGAAATACTCTGGCATCAACAACTATGCCACATTCAAAGTCACGTAAATCAGCTTTCTTCTCCATTCTGATGCTCGTTTTTAACTGCAGCAGATTGTTTAGACCATGTCTACATGCCTAAATGCTTTGAGTTGTTGCCATGTGATTGGCTAATTAGAAATGTGCATTAACGAGCTGTTGGACAGGTGTACCTAATAAAGTGTTCAGCAGGTCTATATGTCACAATAAGTAAGACAATGCTATTGCAACTTCCATTTCTTGTCCAATTAAAAAATGTGACAAAATAAGTCGGCACATTTGACCATTTATCACTTTCGTTACATACCTGTTCAGGCAGACGCTTTCTTATCTCCCTCCGTGAAAACGTATCTGGAATTTTCAGGACTTCACTGAGGACTTCAGTCAGTCGAACAGTCTCTGAAAAGTAATGGAGATGATGCAGATAAATCTCACTTTGAGAAACAGTTCTGCTCTTGCAAATGGCCATCCAATGATAGACAGTCCTTTAGCTACTTTTATGAAGGAGAATCTTAATTGGGCAGCATATAATGTGAGATTAAATCACAGCGCAGGGGATATAGTTGTGCTAATCACACTGCGTTTTTAGTAATCTGATGTACAAGATTAATCATATTCAGCTCATTATACGACACGACACTGCAACAAAATCAGCAGAAGCTTATTAAAGTACTTAAATGCTTGAACGCAAACTGTGAATATTAAACTTTATTATCACAGCCACTATTCAGATAATTTAATTACAACTTTTGCTAAAGGTGACCTGTTCACGGAGAATCCAGAAGGCTGGTAAAAGATGCAACAATGTTGGTTCATTTGCTCATTGTTATTTCAGAAGAAATAAGACCAGAGAGACAAAGAAGCAACTGCGACTACTGGAATGCATTTCACTTGTGTATAATCAAGCACTATTATGGTCTTCATTACACAGAAACAAGAACAAAAAAATGAGGTTTGTTACTAGAGAAAGGAGGTCTGCTTCTGCTGTCTTGATTCCAGCATTGCTGCATGACACCAATCATGTCCTCGCACTCAGGAGGCTTGTCTTCAGGGATCTTCTCTACACCAGGCCTTTTGCCAGATGACACTCTGATTAATATTTCTGTCATAGACAGACCTGTGACAAGGAGAATAAAACAAATTGCCTGGAGTGTTATTTCTGTACAAACAAACACCAAATAATGAATTTAAGAGCACAAACAGCTTCTGTGCTTTGGGAACTCTGAGAACAAATGGACTAAAAGGCACAAAAGGTGGTTCAGAAAAGTTTACTGTCAACCTTAAGAGCTCAAAATAAACATTGGATTTGTTTTATAGGGGAAAACGCCATGCAGGGGGAAAATTTATAAGCTAATCATGGCCAAATTATTCCTAAATAATACATCAAATATATTTTACAAACTTGACTAATCTGTAATATGTTCCCTCATTTTACATAATAATGGCTGAATTGTAATATTTGTGCTAGGGTTGGGTCAATAGATGATGCCATCGCCTATCGCCGATGGCTGATAGACATCATGATGCTGAACCTGCATCACAATTCTCCACCACTTTAGTTTATAAAATGGCGTTTTAGAATGAAAACAATCCACTGGCAATGAGCTGTATTTCGCAGGATGGTGAACACAAATGGTCATAAAAATTTGTTGTCTGCTCATGTTTTGGCGGATAACTTGACCGCAAATCCTACACACCACTTCAGACGTGTCTCGTGGTCCTCTTTCAGTCGGTCTAAAGCAAAAGTATTGCCAGATAGGTGAATGTGCACCTATTTTACCAACCAAGTTTATATATAAACGCTTATATATAACGACACCAATCACTCTGCCTATTCATGCCAGAGTTCCGTGGAAAAAGTGATTGACAGGTGGTAATTTGTGTTTATTTATGGTTTGGTTATGGGTAAAACAAAGACCATGCGGGTCAGGCAGTGGAAACGATAGAATACTAATAATTAATTTGTTTTGATTTAATGAATTGTTTATAATTAATTAATTCACCACTGCCTACAGCGACTACGCCAGCGTCCATCGCTATGTTTGACATTAAGCATCATACAATGCCAAATTGCTCAACATCGCCCAACACTAATTTATGCCCTCGCAGTAGTCAGTGTGGACATAGTAAGAATGGGTTTTTACCAACAGCGGCTCGAACTGTAGTTTTGCCAAATGACTAAAATGTTATCAGTATGATGGTGAAAAACTGTACATTTCTAGTCAAACCATCCTTCTGCAATCTTATACCAAAAACAGAAATAAGGGCTGTTATAATAGCTAAAAATGTAGGAGAGCGTCATTATCATGTGATTATATTGCATTGCATTATGGAGCAATTAAGTGTTGATGTTAAGTCAAAAGCAATTCACAAATACTTAAAAAATGAAATGATTTTATGACAATATTTCTCTATGGTTACAACTGAATTAGTTGAAAATAACTGTATAAAATGATAAAACAAGAAATGAAAAAAACACATGATATTAATTGTACCCATAAGAGAGAGACAAAGAGTAGGCCTCAAAGAGAGCCTGATAGCAAAAGAGAAGAAAAGCAGGAAAAAAGAGCAGAGCAAAGTTTACCACCTATTTTGTATCTTTCTTGACCATGTGACCAAAGCCCAAATACAGAGACATACAAACATGCAAATGATAATTGGCCTTCCCACAACACGATTTCATGATATACTAACAGGATAACTTGAAAACAGGGATTATTTTGTAAGCACATGTTGTAATTCTATAGATCACCAATTAATCTTTGCAATTTAATCCACTGTTTGTTTTGGAAATCTTTCAAAGTCTGACCATATGCTTCCTCATTTGGAGAGGCAGTCCTTCTCTGTTGACGTCAGTTTGACAGCTTCAGCCATAACTGCATTCACTTCTTACTGCTTTTTTATATATTTATTATCTGTTTATTGTCCTGTCTCTGTAATTCTGTTACACTGTAGTAGCTCTGTCACAAAAACAAATTCCTCGTATGTGCAAACATACCTGCTCTTTCTGATTCTAATTCTGATTCTAATATTCTTAATCATGCCTCTCTAACCAATTAGTTTGCTTATAGAGAATGATACTAGAGAAAAAAGAAAGCCCCATCCCTTACTCCATATTACTTTTTAGTTGGAAGTCCATCAACATACGGAATAAAAAGCAACTTCCAGGTCATGCAAATTATACACAATACAATTTGTGCAAAAAAGAGAGAAAATTATAAACAATATTTACCTGCATATGAGCGCTTTTGAGTGAGAATCTCCCACATTATAATGGAAAAGCTGCAAAGTCAGAACAAGTAGATGTTATTATAGTATTTAGAATTTCCTGCCATGTCATAACTCGCTGTCAACATTTTTTTATTTATGCACATATTGTAACTTTACTGTGCTTAAAAGTGCACCTAAAGGCAATTATTTATGTAGACAGCACTATATAAACACATACTACAGCAGCATCACCAGCAGACATAAGAAACTTAAATGTAAAATACTCAAAGCAAAACCCTTTCTTGTATTTATTTAATTCAAGGTATAAACTCACCTGTACACATCATACTTTGTTCCAGGAGGTTCAGGATTCTGGCTTAAGGTCTCTGGAGGCACATAGTTTATGTTGCCTCTGGCCATCAGGTGTTCAATGAACTCTGTCTTACTAGAAAACTCCCACTTAATGAAGCCAAAATCTGAAATCTTTAAAATAAAGGACACACACAGCTGTAAATAAAGGTAATAAAGCTGTTTTCTATACTCTGAGCCCTAAATCTCATCTTTATCAACACTTACTGTACATACACCAAACTTCAGTTTTACTCATGTATTGTGAGGGTTTTTACAAAGAGATTTATTCATGATTTGCCTTTTTATATATTGTTTACATTTTATTCTACAAAAATTGGAAGTTGACTTCTGGTTAATAAAAGTATTTTGCATGTACACACTTTAACATTAAACTATTGCACATGTATGCTGTTAAAGTTTTGCACACTTCATTCTCTGCTGGATTTTGCACAACAGTTTTTAACATGTACACATTTATGTATATGGACAGCAAAGTAAGAATGCCATTGTACAGAGATCTTACTCCACACATGACAATAAACACTTTGAATCTATTTTCTGTATTATGGAATATTAAAGAGATTACCAACACCCCCTCTGCAAAAACCTTTGAGCCTAATCTGTCAAGAATATACAAGAATTTTGAAAGTGACCTCAATGTTCAGATTTTTGTGCTAGAATGCCTCGTTTGCATATTTAAACATTTTAGAAACTTGCTATACACAAATGTTTGTAATAATGTAATTAATTACATGGGAAAGTGTGCTGATGTTTTTTTTAACCAATTCACCATTTTGTTCTTTAAACTAACATAAATTTTCACTTTTTTATTGCCAATAAAAAACACTAATTGTCTTTCAAGTCTCTTTAAGTCCTGTTTGTATAAATTAATAACAGTGGTGGAAAGAGATCTGAACAATCATATTTCAGTAAAAGCACCATTACTTGCCAAAAAATGTAGTGCAAGTAGAGTAAAAGTATCTGTTGTAAACATCACTCCAAGTATGAGTAAAAAGTAGACCTTTCAAAAGTACTCAAGAGTAGTGAGTAGTGAGTATTACGCTGTTAAAAGCTGATGCATTTACATGTAATTTGTAGATGAGTGTAAACGTAACCTACTGTAGTGCATTATTAGCAGGGCCGGATTGGGACTCCTTTTTAGCTCGGGAGTTTCAAGTCTTAGACCGGCCCACCTCAGTCAACGACTGATTATATTAAAATAACGTTATTTCCAATTCAGCTTCTAATGACACTATCACGTCTTTTTCAAGGACACAGCTGCTTTAGAACTTCCAATGTTATTTCATAAATATGAGAACATTAATTCTTTATAGATATCCAGTCCTTTGTAATGGTCGTCACACACAAAAAAATAATATGTACCCCTGCATAAGTAACCCAAACAGTATTATATGTCTTAACACTAAAAATGAAAAAAAAAAAAAAAAAAAAGATTTCTCTGGTGAGGTTCAAACTCGGATCGGTGGCATCATAACATAACGTGCTAACAATGTTGTGTACGGGATACAGAATAAGTATTGCTCTGTTTTCTGCTGCAATTGTTGTCTACTCTTTTTCTCTCCTTTTTAGATCTCTGATCGAGTTATGTCAGATTTATTAATGTAGTGAATCATCTGATTTTCACTGAACAGGTGTAATATTCATTAATATTAATTATTATTCACTAAGGTGCCGCTGTTTGGAGTGGAATGAGTTACATCATCATTAACCTGCTGGCTGCATTTTTCTCATGAGGCTAAATAATGAATAAAAATAGTGTGGCTATGGTCAAAGAAATAAATAAATGAAAAAAGTGCAACTGCTGAGAGTACAGCAGCTTGGTACATCGGCCCTCGTGGCCAAAAAACGGACCGGCCCACTGGGAATTCTCCAGGTGCTCCCGATTAGTCAATCCGGACCTGATTATTAGTTAATATTAGGTTAGATTTCGGTTGTGATGTCAGGTGACAAAAACTGTCTAGCCAGCATCTAAGGATAACATTATTTTGATATCAAATGACATTGATATTTGGTTGATTTTAGGTTGTGTTAGAAAGCGGTCAAAATCCAACATCAAGCCAACATTTTAAACCAACTTCATATTGATGTCAAATACTGACATTTATTCATCAGGTATGCAAACAAAATCCACGTTTGATTGACGTCATAGTGGTAATGTCCACACAACGTCAAGCTGTAACATCATTAGACATTGATATTTGGTTGATTTCAGGTTGGACATTGAGGTCGGCCTTATGTTGGTTTCTGATCTTAACCAAACTTTAATTTCCAAACAAAATGCAATGTCATGGGCAATATTCACCAGGCCATGTCAATCTTGATGCCATTTTGGTTATCATACAGTAAACATTTGTCATCTTCTAATCATCAGTGACATGCGTCTAAATAGTCTCTTGGTCAATGCGTGTAAAGATTTTGGACATCTTCTTGGACACTTTTAATGCTTCCAAACAGTTTGCTGAAATTATAAATCATCATGTCTTGAGGTCATTCAGTATGATGTGATTTACCTTTAATGTGCAATTTGATTGGACAGAAATCACAGGACTAATTTTTCTAATCCCCATAGATGAGAAATATAGAGCAGTGACTGCATATTGAAGGAAAGTAGTGGAGTAAAAGTACCGATGCAGCACTTAAAATGTACTCAAAGGAAGGAAAAAGTGCACATATTTAAAAATACTTCATAAATTACAATTTCTGAGAAAAACTTTTCAATTACACTCATTTTAGTATTTGTTATTTGTTACTTTACACCACTGATTAATAATCATTCTAAAAAAAAGATAAATACTATCTGGCCCACCTTCACGTGCAGATGATCATCTAAAAGAATGTTGGCCGGTTTCAAGTTCAAATGAAGGATTGGCGGCTTCATGCTGTGCAGAAAGTTCATACCCATCGTCATCTCATGGATCATCTGGAACTTTTTGGGCCACATTAACAAATGATTGCTAAGGAGATTATCCAGGGATCCCTTTCGCATATATTCCATCACTAAAGCAGGCGGATCTTTGCAGATTCCATAAATGGAGATCAAATAATTGAACTTCATTCTTCCAATTTTGGAAATCTCCATTATGTTCCTGTTGGGCCATAAAGTATATAATAACTAATAATGCAAAAATAAAAATCATAATGCAAATAAAATAAACATATAAAAGATACATAATATACAGATAATAATAATTCAATATAATAATTATTTTCCAGCATACAAAATCTGAAATCATTCATTTATATTAACCGGTTGTGATTTAGTGGAATTAACTGATCATTTTCTCATTTGAAATTTTGAAAACATATTTACAAGGACAACACAAGTTATTGTTTTACTTAAAAGCAAAAGTGGTAATATTATAACTGTTAAACTATAACAACGACTTACAACTACTTTTACCATTATATGATCTCTCATATGTATCAGTACCTGTAGTCATTGGTTGTGGTCTTCAGAGCACATGTTTCACGCAAGACTTTAAGCTTCACCTTATAGACCCGACCAAACTTGCGCTCAACCAGTTTCTCCCAGTCACTTTCAAACTCATCTTTTTTAAAATAACTAAACCCCTCCAGGCTGCCATCTTTAAAAGAGTCCTTCACATCGGAGTTTGCGTCTGTCATGTTGTTTTCCCGTCTCAGGAAATGAAGACTCTGCCAGTAGCTCTCTCTTCAGCCCTTCGACATTTCTTCTTGGCAAACAAAAAGCAGGTCAAGGAAACTTCCAAAGGCTCTAGGAGGAGTCAAAGCACTGATTATGTGAACAGAAATGTAACAAAGCCAGTTTTGAATCAGTCGCACAGGTGAGGTTGACAGATCTGTGTGGGGCAACTGATAACCGGTTATACCTGCTTCATGTATTTATATAACAGTACAGATTTCCTCATACAGTATGGCATGTGTGCATGTTTGGGGTTAGGGAAGCAGTTTCATTTTATTTAGCGTAATTAAGCTAAATATATTTTGATGCTACATATTAATTAGGTTCTATAACAGCTTACTGCTCAACACATTTAAAAAGTGCTTGCCACATTTTCAGCACGTTGTAATTATTATTGTTCGCTGGAAGTTTTCCCATTGTTCATTTATCACTCAAGCGTTACGGCTTGAATTTCTTGGCACATTAGTGAAAACCTGCGGAGAGCATGGTATTCTAAGGCAAAGCTTGATGCAAATTAACCTTAAATGACAGGCTTTTAAAATGAAGTTAATAAGAGTAATAACAGTAATTAACAATCGAGCGAGCACTTTTGAACTGATGTGATGATGCTTTGCCTCTTCAGTGTTCCTGTAAGCCTTTGAAGGAGAGACTTGGCATGCAGCCGCCGTGATTCAGGCTTTGTCGGCCACCCGAAGAGACACTTCATTCTTTAAGAGGTGCACAAAGAGCCAGTTGCTGCGTTTCAACATGATTACAGGATCTGTTCATTTTTTAGTTTGGATATATATATATATATATATATATATATATATATATATATATATATATATATATATATTGATGCACAGACAAGATTTGACAAAACATGACATTACCCAGCAAACTATTTTGTGTTTGATACACGTCTTATAGACATCTAAATGTAGACAGCTTGGCTAAAACAAGGCTAAACTTGGGCTGTCAGTGAAAATCTAATAGACATCGAATATCCCAAAACTAGACTAGTAGTCAAATAGACAGATTAGACAGACTTTATATGTGTAGCCATTCATTTCTGTTTATCTGATGACTAGTTGATGTCTAGTTTTGGCCTATTCTTAAACGTCTATTAGATGACTATGTTTAGAACAGGCATGTCCAAACTCAGTCCTGGAGGGCTGGTGTCCTGCACCGCAACCAGATACATCTGGGCTAGCTAATCAAGCTCTTACTAGGCTTTCTAGAAACATCCTGCAGGTGTGTTGAAGCAAGTTGGAGCTAAAATCTGCTGGATACCAGCCCTCAAGAACCGAGTTTGGACACCCTTGGTTTAGAAGTCTATTAGACATTTATCTTTTAAAAACAAAAAATGCTTGCTGGGTGTTATTTTTTTGCTTTGTATGCTCGATGCTCGAAATAAATGCTTGTGTGCAATTTTAAGTGTGCAATTAAAAATAATCCTATAAAACATTCTACATACTGTACATGCAGATAATAATAATTCAGATATAATCATTATTTTTCCATCATATAATATCCTGACATTTAGAAAACATGTTTACAAGTAGTTTACAAGGACAACACAAGCTATTATTTCACATATTAGTTCAACTTATAAGTACTTTTAACATTAAATCATCTACTCTCATTTGTATGCTTGATGTGCTGGAAATTAGTGTGTGAGTGTAATTTGTAGTGTGCAATGCAACTGAAACTGTTGTAAATGGCTTAAGATAATGGAATCAATAAGCTAATTGCCTTAATCATTGAGGGAATAATTACACAACAAGCAACCACAAGTGCTTCAGGTGTATTTTGCATACTCTCAGAAGATTAAACATTGAAGTTTGCTTCTTTTCCAGTTCTGTAAATTATTCACTTTTTCCCCGATGGGCACGATTTGATTGTACTTTCAATTACAAGAAGCCATTATGTTTTTTATTAAGAGATCTTCAAGACTGTAAATCTGCTTAGCCTCTAGGATGGCCCAGTCTGGTGGGGGGATTTACACAGTAGATGCCTCTCAAAGGCAAGGTATGCTTGTTACTACTTAATTGCTTATTTTATCGTCCGGCGGAGATAGTTTGAAAAAGGACCCCATGATCTGCAACTTTGCAGCTGAACAACATGTCTAATTTCTTTGAACACTAATACATTCATGTTCTGTTTATTTTTGACATTAGCATGTAAAGTTTTTTTGCCAAAGCAGAAAAAAACTATAGTGTTAGCACAGTGTTACATCCCGTGATTTGTTCATTAAGTTTCTATATTACAATGTTTTCTTTTCTTCTGTTTCCTGTTTTGTTTTGTTTTTTTGTTTGCAGATTGCTGCCACCTGTTTTAAATCTGCACGGCTAATTGTCCACGCTATATAAACTGGATGCAGTGGATCAGAAGCCGAAAGAGAGATGACACGTCTCAGTTGATCTGCTCCAGTCCCAGACACAGGGGCTTGTGAGTCCTGCACTACCTTTGTTAATAATGTAAGTTAGTTCACATTACCGTATTATTAGTATATATGGTATGAGTAAGGGGATGTCCTTTGTTAGTTTAAATCTTTTTTTCCTGTTTTGGTGGGTAGGCAGGGAGGAAGGGAAGTAAGTTGTATTTTTCTTTCTTTCTTTTTTTATTTTGTTAGTAAAGTTACTTTGCATTTAAATTAGTTATTGGATTGTTTTTGTACTCCCATATCCTGAGGTATTTTTTTTTGTTTTTATATAATGTTCTTTAAAATTTTATTTACTTTTTTTTTTTTTTTGATAAACAAAAATAACTGTGAATCACTGTGATCAAAAATTTGATCAAGAATGTGTTGTCTGATAATTCTGGGTCTGGAAACAGTTAACTTAAAGCACTCTCCCCTCTTTCTTCATTTGTTCGTTCCTATTTATTTTTAACCCCTAGGCGGTTTCTCAATATGCAATCTTCAGTGTTCGTGTCATCATCAACTGCCAAAGTTCAGTTCCAAAACTCAAGACCGCAAGACAGGAGGATGAGTGAAAATTTCCAGATGTGTTCTTGATATCGAGGATGCATCGATGCAGACTTGAGCACTGAACACACTCGATAAGCCGCAGAAGTCATTGTGGCTGAAAAAAGGACATGGTAAGTTGAGTATTTAATACATATTTATTGTTTCTCAGGAGTTTCCCTAATAAAAAACGGTGAAAGTAAACATCATCTTATTAAGGCATAAACACATTACCAGTGTTTCAAGAGTTCACACTTAGCTGATGATTGATTATAAAGCTTGTTTAACATGCTGTCCCAGGAGAGAGTCCTGAGCTTATAAGATCCTTGAGCCAGGGGTTCCCTCCCGTTTGAATTTGAGCTCAGGTAGATCTCGGGAACTCCCCTGCTGTAGAAGCTAATGAACAGATAGTAATTGATCTTAAGAGAAAACTACTTACTAAGTGCATTTCTATGGTGCTGATTTGGATTAGTCAATTAACCTAAGTTGCATGTTTTAGGACGGTTGGAGGAAACGGGAGACCTTTGGGAAACCCACGCGAGCATGTGGAGAGCGTGCAAACTCCACACAGAAATGTCAGATTGGTAATGGATGCTGGTTTGGTAATGACCGGAGCTTAAGACGTTCTTACTGTGAGGCAACAGTGCTAACTACTTGGCCACCGTGCCACCTATCTAGGAAAGGAGGAGGAGTGGGGGTGGAAGCGGGATTCTTCAAAACGAAGATGACTGTGGTATAAAACTTAGCACATTCATAGTAGCTTAGGAGTCGTCTGATTGGTTAATGATAAATTGGATAATGCAAAGCCAGACGCAAACAATCATAAGCATGTGATCCTCTCAAAATTACTTTATGAATAAAATTCACTTATTTGCTGAAATTTTTATTAAAATCTGATTTATTTGTTTTATGCAAAGTGAAGTTTTTCGAAGTAATTTCGAGAGGAGCATGTGATATGATTGACTGCAGCTGGCCACCCATCTACATTCATTAGTTAGCCAATCAGATCTGTCCTAACTTACTATAAGTAGCCTAGCTAGATTTACTCCCTTATCTTCGTTTTCCGAAGAAACCCCCCATCCACCCAATCTTCTCCTTTCTTCCTTTACAAAAGGGGAGCTCTCGAGAACCACCTGATCTCGTACTCCCCTCACATGCTCTATGGACCTGGCGGGAGCCCTGGGCTCAACTATCTCCGAGCTCAGGGTTCACTCCCGGGACAACATGCCAAACCTGCTAACAATTGTCAAGCAATATCTAAGTGTGAACTCTTGAAGTATATTTATGTGTCTATGCATAGCATATATATATTGAAAAGGGGAAAAACAATAAATCACTGTATGAATGCTGTAATGTTTAAATAATTTTCGGTTAAAACATGTGAAGGTCATGTGACCATCAGGAAGAACGCAACATCTCATTTCTCACAGGACACGTTCTCTGTACTTGATCTTCCAAGTTCATTCTTCTGAGATAACATGGCAAGACCGGTCTCCACAAGAACACGAGTCCATTCTCTGCATTCTTGGAATTAAGAAACAGCCCTAGATTTTTGCAGGAATGTAACACACAGGAAGTCAATATGGAATTAAAGGGACTGTTTAACCAAAAATTTCAAAGTATTTTATCCAAGCAATGAAAATTAGAAAAAAGTGTAAAACTTTAGTTTTGGCTAGTAGAAGTTCTTAATGGCTGCTATCTTTAAAATAATTAGCCAGACTGGCCAGTGAGCAAAACGGTTAATTTCAAAATGAACTATAAGCAAATTCAAAAATAAATCAACTTAATATGCTTACCCTATAGTTTACTTAGACTGGTCTAATACACTAGTGAGACTTAGAAAGGAATATTTTAAAAACCTATCCCATTAAATAGCTGTCAGCTAACATACTTGATTAATTTACTCAATATGTGTGTAAGCCTTCACATTAAATTGCTTGATTAGCTATTGCAATACTTATAGCTTGGCACTATGATGCAGAATAAATGAGTATTCAAGTGCACTTTGGGTCACTTTTAACAAGTTTCATTAGTTCCCCAGTGCAGCAACTACGCATAATGATGAGCCATTCAAAAAACTGTCATATAATGATTGAATGCTAAATGCAGATTTGATGTCGGTTGGCTGCTTTGCGGTGAGCTCTGCTTTTGTTAGCATTCACAGGAGGCCCTGGACCAGCAGTAAGCAGACCTTTGCAGACATCGTCTGTTTGCCATCCAGACAAGCGAGAGAGCCAAACACGCCAGCAAACAGCCGGCCACTGAGCTGATAATCACCGCCACGGCTTCAGTGTCATCTGTGCGGCATTAACAAACGAAATCAGACCGACAATACGGCTGAAAAATCTTTCCATTAGTTTGTTTTATTACCCCTCCAGAACAACTCAGTAATAAGTTACCTGCTGCTTCAGAGAATGATGAATTATCCGCTCCTTTCAAAACCGGGCCGAAAGAAATGCGGTTTCCCATCCTGCTGAAGACGCCTCCCGCTTCCTCCTGGAGATGTGCATTTCGCCGCTGAACACACTGCTGAGATGAGAAATGGATAACCAATATTGTCATCCTCCTCCAATCAACCCATTACACAGCACACAAATAAATTCCCCTAAACTTCTGCATACTTGGAACTAGTTTACAGTTTGGACGAGTTATTCTGTTAGTCTGGGAACTGCCGACTGCTTCACTTTCTGTCTTGCAGTGACAGAGAAAACAAGCCCGGAAAGATCATTTATTTAGAAACTGCAGACGCTGTCATCAAAACAGGGAGAGTAATGAAAAGTAGAAAATCTTTCAGGAGAAATATTGAGACCTCTTCAACAGTGATAAATGATCTGTGAGTTTTCATCTGTGAGGCCGGATTCAGACTCACCCTCTCGCAGTCAGAATGGTTCCTCAAGCACACGCTCAGGTCACAGTGCAGGTAAGCGCTGGAGTAATTGATCATCTGGAAAAGACTGATGGTGAAGCTGGCCTTCTTTGACGGGACGCCGGGAAGCAGTCTAATGCCATGAGGGTCTATAGGCAGCCTGAGGGAGTTCACATCAATGAGATGCATTAGCTCTGCTATCACACGCATAACTGAAATAATGAACTTGCTGAGTGATGCAAACCGAGGTGAGATGTGTGGCACTGAAAAGCATGACAATTAATCCGCTGGATGGAGTGTGTGCGCATATCTATTCTGGCATTATCATGACAGAGTTTTAGTCCTTTGCAGTCTCAGCATTAAAGGTTTAAGCTAAATAATTTATTGTATGCTTTCATTAAAATACATTGTATGGTAAATCAGATACCATTTATTAAAGTGAACACTTATTGGAAACTTTGTGAATAAAGTTAAATAAAGAAATCATGGGCAATATTTGAACATGTTCATATTATATTCTTATTGTGTGTGTTATGAGTATACAGATGAAGTCAGAATTATTAAACCCCCTTTGAATTTTTTTGATCTTTTTAAAATATTTTCCAAATGACATTTACCAGGGCAATGAAATTTTCACAGTATGTCTGACAATTTTTTATTTATTTATTTTTTAGAGAAAGTTTTATTTGTTTTTATTTCGGCCTGAATAAATACAGATTTTAATTTTTCAAAAACTACTTTAAGGTCAAAATTATTAGCCCCTTTAAGCTATCTTTTTTTCGATAGTCTACAGAACAAACCATTGTTATACAATGACTTGCCTAATTACCCTAACCTGCCTAGTTACCCTAATTAACCTAGTAAAGCCTTTAAATGCCACTAATCTGTACAGAAGTGTCTTGAAAAATATCTTGTAAAATATTATTTACTGTCATCATGGCAAAGATAAAATAAATCAGTTATTAGAAATGAGTTATTAAAAGTATTATGTTAAGAGATGTGTTAGAATATCTTCTCTCCGTTAAAAAGAAATAAGGGAAAAATAAAGAGGGGGACTAATAATTCAGGGGGGCTGATAATTCTGACTTCAACTGTATGTATGTGCATGCTTGTGTGTGTAAGGTTTAAAACAAAATATATACTGTACAGATTGTTTTATGGTCTAAAATGACAAGCATCGTAGCGAAAAGAAAAGCTCAAATAATCTTTGGGGATATAAACTCCAAATCAGCCACTGTGCAGAAATAAAGTGCAGAGTAATAAATGGGTGACACTCTAAGATGCCAAGAATGCAAAATAATGACACATACAAAAATGAACTGTAAGAGTGCATTAGAGCAAGAATGCATTTAAAGAACTGAACAGAAGACAATAGTAATAAATGACACAGTTTTGGTATAAAGTGTTTTGAATTACCACTGTGCATTCTAATTTTGTCAGATCAAATGGTTTAAATGCATTTTCTCACAAAATTGTAATGTTTGGTTTAATTGTAATCTTAATGCAAAACCTGAAAAATAAAAAAAACCCTGACAAAAGGCCTCTCTATACTTTTAGAAAGAGCATTACAAGTAGTTGCATGACAGTTTTTGTCATTTTCTAAATGTCACCTAATGGTACTTCTCATTGCCTTCACCCTATTTAAATGCAAAATGTTGTATTTATTAGGGATGTCCCGATCAGGTTGTTTTGCCCTCGAGTCCGAGTCATTTGATTTTGACTATCTACCAATACTGAAACCCGATCCCATGCTACTATAATACATAAAAGAAGAATAAAGAAGAGCGAAGAAAAAGATCCAGGATGCTCTTTATTTTTTATTTAATTCACCTTATTTTAACATTCACCAACTCTGGTAAGGAACAGAGATCTTCTGTGAGGTAGCTTCAACATTCAAGTAATAAATAACAAAAATTCTTCACTGGGCGAGGCAGTGGCGTAGTAGGTAGTGCTGTTGCCTCACAGCAAGAATGTCGCTGGGTCGCTGGTTCGAACTTTGGCTCAGTTGGTGTTTCTGTGTGGAGTTTGCATGTTCTCCCTGCCTTCGCGTGGGTTTCCTCTGGGTGCTGCGGTTTCCCCTACAGTCCAAGGACATGCAGTTCAGGTGAATTGGGGTAGGCTAAATTGTCCGTAGTGTATGAGTGTGTGTGAATGTGTGTGTGGATGTTTCCCAGAGATGGGTTGCGGCTGGAAGGGCATCCGCTGTGTAAAAACTGGATAAGTTGGCAGTTCATTCTGCTGTGGCGACCCCAGATTAATAAAGGGACTAAGCCGACAAGAAAATGAATGATTAAATGAATGAAATTCTTCACTTTTGGACTTTAGTACGACAGTAAATACAAAAACAATCTAATTAAAAACAAATAGCACCTCAACTTAAAATACCTGGCAGGCAGTCCCAAATGTACACATCTCACAGTTTGCAATTGCAAGGTCGTCATTAGCTTTATAATACCTCCAGACCGCAGACATAAGCGCGCTTCCTGCTTCAAGAGCAATTAATTTTTACTAATAAATTCATTCATTCATTCATTCATTTTCTTTTAGGCTTAGTCTCTTTAAAAATCTAGGGTTGCCACAGCGGAATGAACAGGCAACTTATTCAGCATATGTTTTACGCAGCAGATGCCCTGCCAGCTGCAACCGATGACTAGGTTACATCCATTATTACACACCCATTCACACACACACACACACACACACACACTACGGTCAATTTTAGCATACCCAGTTCACCTGTACCACGTCTTTGGACTTGTGGGGGAAACCAGAGCACCTGGAGAAAACCCATGTGAGCACAGGAAAAACATGTAAACTCCACAAAGAAATGCCAACTGACCCTGCCAAAGCTCGAACCAGCAACCTTCTTGCTGTGAAGCGTCCACACTACCACACTGTGCCACTGCATCGCCCGTTAGTAAATTAGAAACATATTCATTCTAATGTAAAAACTAGCTCATGAAATTTATATCGTTTTTATATATTGTATTTATTATCTATTGTATAATTATCTATTGTATTTTTATAGATTTTCCAGGGGAAAAAAAAGATAATTCAAGGCCTTTTACTTTTGACTGCAAAGTACCCATGTATAAACTCTAAACAAAATAGGGCCAAAAGGTTAAACTCACATTTTTTATATGTCTGTGAATGATTCATCCATGCATGCAAACAAAATCTTAAAACTTTCTGAAAACTTTCTGGTTAAGAACTATGAAGTTATTTTGGACTTTTGAAATAAGTTAGCCCGTTTAGGATAATATCTTATTCTTTAATAAAATTGTATCTTACTGAAAGTTTAGTGAGTGTCCCGGTGGCTGAAGGTTACTGATTCAAGCCCTGGCTGGGCCAGTTCACATTTTTGTGTGGAGTTTGCCTGTTCTTCCCGTCTTAACGTGGGTTTCCCGCAGGTGCTCCGGTTTCCTCCACAGTCTTGCGCTATGGGTGAATTAAATAAGCTAAGCTTGGCCGTTTTGTATGTGTGTGAAAGAGTGTGTATTGGTGTTTCCAAGTGTTGGGTTGTGGCTGGAACGGCATTCACTGCGTAAAACATACGCTGGATAAGTTGGCGGTTCATTCCACTGTGGCAAACCCTCAATAATAAAGGGACCAAGCCGTAAAGAAAATGAATGAATGAATGAATGAATGAATGAATGAATGAATGAATGAATGAATGCTTTTAGCTGATGCTTTTATATTGGGGGGTCACTTTACCAGAGAGGAACAGAGAAGGTGAAAGCTTTGAAAAGTTATTTTTTGCCTCATTATAAAAAAACAATTAATAACTCATTTAATGACTTGAACTGGCAGAGTGAAACATACATTTGTAAGAGTCAGTCGGCGTCAGGGCTATTTCAATGTTATTTCTGAAAGCCAGCGTAAACACTTCAAATTTGATTCTGGCCACAACTAGGTGCCAGCAAAGTGAAATCAGTGTGTGATCTCTTTGGCTGATCGAAGTCTAGATGTGCTGCTGGGTTGTGGATCATCTCCAAAGGCTTAGTCGGGCTGGCTGGAAGGCATTGCAAAAGTCACATCTTGAGATTACAAGAGCTTGGACAAGTAGCTGTGCTGTGTCTTCTTTAAAGGGTCCTATTATTCTTTTTACACTTTCAATTTCTTTTGGTGTGGAGTGTTGCAGTTTGATGTAAAAAGGATTTGCAAAGTTACAAAGAACACTACAAGGAGAGTTATTCTCTTTAAAAAAATGTTTACTTTAGATGTCTCAATTGCTGAGTTTCCTTTTCAGTAACATGCAGTATACACCACAATATCCTGAGTCTAAAAAACTAGATTTGTTTGAGTTAGTAATGTGTTGTTAATACATGCCAATACTTTTTTTCCGGAAAGTCTCCCGTATTTCACACCCATCTCCTGCTACCATCCTATTTTGTTATCTCTCTCAGGAAACTCCTAATTTGTATGGCCCAATCAAAATCACTTTTTGTCCATGTTAAAGTGAAGTGAATTGGGAGTTAGAAGTTTTTCAAGTTGTCAAATTCGTAAAAAGCTTATCAACTCACACAATTATTAAATTATTCAACGAAATATTCAAATCTCGAAGCATTTTACCTCAATCAGGCAACATACATTATAACTCAGTAGAGCTGTTGATTTCTGCACAGGTTATAGATGTGGGATTTTGAAAGGCGGCGGTAGCAATAGCGATATTAGGAATAATAATTAATAATAATTTCGTACATTTACAGTATATAGCGTTTTCCTGGATGACGCGACGGAGGCCTTGTTGCACCAGACTGCACATCACACACCAGCTGATTGATGGAGAGGAGATATGTATGAAGCCAATTATGACATGGTCAGGAGCCATAGGGCAAATTGGGATTTTTAAGAACCAAAGAGAGTCAGAACCTCAGTTTAACATCTCATCAGAAAGACGATCAGTATAGAGTATAGAGTGCCCATCAATATATCGGTGGGGGTTTGGACCCACATAAAACACAGGTTGAGCACCCTCTGCTGGTCACCCTAACACCTCGTCCAGCAGCATGCTAGCTTTCCCAACTGGTCTCCCATCCAGGTACTGACTGGACACAGCCCTGCTTAGCTTCAGTGGGCAAACGTGTGAGAGTTGCAGAAAGCTTGCTGCCTGATATGCCTTTTTCTACTAAGGGGGCAGGGAACAGAAGCTTTTTACACTATAACTACTCATCTCTGGGATATTTATGCAGAAATATTACTACATAATAAAATAATAGCTACATGCAGCTACTTTCCCACAAGGCTTGTTAAGACTGAGTGTTTGTTTATGTAGCAGAACAGGAATGACCAATGAGATGAGAGTTATTTTATATTATGTGCACATTATATGTTATGTGCACGTTACATATTAAAAATACTGCTCCCTAGGTAAGAGAAGAAATAGCAATCCATGTATTGTAAACACAATAGAGTGGAGGAACTATGACGTCACTTTGTAGGGTGATCGGCTGCTAGCATAAAACTGGTTCCCTCGTGAAAATCCCTATGGGATTTTCCTATAGGCTTTTTGAAGATTGCAAATAATAAGCTCTGTGTTCAAACACTGTTTATTACACTTACACGTTTTGTCCAACCGGATAATCCTTACATGAAAATACAACTTTGAGCACTTTTGGAACTTAAATACGAATGCAAGAATTGAAAAGCTAACATTAGGCTATAAACAAACTACAGAGCCCTCGGGGCGCTCGTCTGTGACGTCAGCACTACCCTGCTACAGACAACTTTTTAAACTTATTTTTAAAAATAATGTCTATAACAAAGAGTTAATCTCTCTGTTTATTATATTATAATCCACACTATATATTATAAATAAATAATTACGCAAAAACACATAGACCTATGTGCCTGTTGAATCCTTTTTACGTGGGAAATAGGTCTGTTTTGCTTTAAGGTTGTTCTAAAATTTTTTAAACTGTGTGTATAAATCTGCCTACACAGTATTATCACAAGACTTATTTAAATAAGTGTATCGCTCGCGTGCACACAGACTGCTTACCTTAACAGACGACAAAAATAAGGCATAAGGAGGAACAAGTCTATCAAATGCCTGCAAGTTCCATCATGGACACAGAGCAACATTCAATGTTCCTTTTTTGTCTCGAAGTACAGTGAAAAGCAGTCCATACAGTCACATATGCTATACATTTTATGGAGGAGTGTAAATATTGCAGTTATGACCGAATTAAATGTGTTCAGATGAAGAAAAAAAGACGAAAAATCACTTGATCACATGAAAATGACAGTTAACATGCATGTATTTTTACACATTTATTCACACGTTTGCATTACTGAGAGCAGGACAGAGACTGGCTGCACTGGTAAGCTGTATCTTTATAATATTGTTTATTAAAATAAATGATCAACAAATGAATCTGTCTCGACAGCCTTTACAAGTGAACGCTTTATCTACACACAATCTGAATTCCCAATTAGAATAATACTACAAACTATAAAAAATACTATTCATGAAAATACCTAAATAACACACACATCCAAATGCCCAACACAAGCGAGCTGCGCTTCAGACGCGTTCAGCTCGATGAGGTTTAATGTTTCCGAAACCGCCTGTAGTCCCATTTCGCAACTTGATAGCAACCGTCCTTTTAAAGAAGCATAACCGATTTAAAAATTCAAGAGTGTGCAGTAACTGATGTGTTTTATGTCATAGAACAAAATGTAAAAGTATCTTGAGTTTGTGTTAGCGATTATTTAAGCTTATTTAAGCGATTTTACTGAAACCCCATTGAAAAAACCCATTGACTTTGGGATGAGGGAACCGGAACTGCTAAAATGCTAACTCGCTTCCTGGTTTTTGGATATAAATTGACATCATAGTTCCTCCACTCTATTGTAAACAAAACAAACAAATCTACTGCTGTAAAAACATCCTGTTGTTAAAGCATGGTTTCCGCTACATTCATTCTTCCATGGCAGGGAACCACACCAAAATTCATCCCGCCACGGCTACATTACAGCTTCTTATTAATTCAAAATATTCATTAATTGTTGTTGTTGTTGTTTTTGATAGCTGGTTATAATCGCACCAAAACGCATTAAAAGGTAAGTGAATTATAACATCGCAAACTTTTCTGTTAACGTAGCAGTGCTGTGTGCTACTTGTTTAACACTTTAAGATGATGTGCTGACAGACTGACTGACATTTACTGACAGGTGCGCAATGCGTGAGGCCAGCAAACACAACGTTTTAAACATTTACATAATTATACTTTATTTAAAGAAAAAGGTCTTTGGTTCTGCAAACAAAAACTTTAAAGTTATCTTGCTGGAGTTTATAACAGTTTCACTTTACTTCAAGACACATTAATTCCATTCTGTAGGGCTATTGGAGACTTTCAGAAATATTCCTAGCAGATCTAATAAATGTTGGAGACATACTCACAACATAAATGCACTAAATCGCACTTCAGCAGTGTTTATTTGAGTGCGCACAAGAAGATGCAAGAAGTTTTGTGCACAAGCAGAGGAAATCGGCGCGCAAGCAGAGATTAGCATGCTTGTATTAACGTTACATAAATGTGATCCCAACGTGTAATACTGCGCTCACCACATTTTTCCATTTGTCATTGAAATAACGCCATACTGTAGGTAGTTGATAGATTTGTGTAAAAGACCTGTCACCACAGCTGGAAAAAATCTTTGAGGAAACACTGTAAAGGGTAACAAACCACCGAAACACATTTTTTGATATCAGTCATATATTTGTCCTACATTGCTAAAAAACAATAAGGACACATGTATTTTACTAAAAAGTAAAAATTGGTTGTTTTTGCATTGTTTAGAGCAAATTCATTCTTTCGGTTTAAAAAGTAATTTTAAAGTTTGGTCATGGTGATGAGATCATTGTGTAAATTCCAGCATGGAGATTTGTTTGTCTGTACCGGGCAGTACAAAGGGCAATCATTGAGATTTCAGCACATCTGTTCATTAATTCATAAAAGGACTTGGTTCAAACCAATCAGCATGCTCTATTGTAAACGAGATGCAACTTCATTGATACGCATGATATTGCTTCGAAGACTCCTTTTACCTGTTACAGTTTTCAGAGAGACGCCACGTTGTGTTACCAACTGAAATTCAAACAAGTAGTAGAAAAAGAATTGTTCGGAGACATGGGGCGTCAGTGTTGTGTTTATAAATATGCCGCAATGAAGGTTTTGTTTCCATTTCCCCAAGATGAGAGCAAAGCTTGCATGTAGACCCACATGTGTGGATTACATGCAACAAAAATACGTTTGTAAGGAAAATGTTTTTCCCGAAAGTTTTATGTATCTGGAAATAGTGAAATCCAGATATGCCAATCATCATTTTTTGAAAAAGACAGGATTCCAGTTCATTATCCTGTCTTTACGGATTTGGTAAGTGTGTGATCAGTGTTCTTTGTTTATGTTTCTCCAGATGGCAAAGTTAGTTAGTATCATCAGCAGGACTCTTTCAGTTTTTAAAGACATACCTTAGTCAAAACCTTTTAAATCAAAGTTGCATTACATTTTACTTAATTTAATTTCATATTTAAAGTACTTTTAGATTTTTTGTTCAGTTTCATATTTGTTTCATTAGATCAGATCTAGTGAAAATATCAAATGGTCAAGTTACAATGTCCTCCTCAGCTGTTTGCAATACACCCCACCTATGGACACCCAGATATGCTTTAATTAAAGGTTAAGCACACAATTCCACTAAACTCCACCTTTTGCCATCTATGTCTGGATACTAGCAGCAGTGTGTTATTGGCAATGGAGAGACTAGCAGAAAGCAAATACTTCACATAGGCAGCAGGGACACAGACATCAGCAGTTTACTGTGCTACTCTAACAACACAACTTTCAGCTCAATATACCGACATGCTTTTCCTGAGATATTTATAGCTTTCTCAAGTTAAACAGTCTGAGGGAATATTTCTCAGCCAATCATTATAATGCTGTTCCCATGTGATAAGAAGAGAACGGTGCTGAGTCATACAAACGTTCAGAAACTAATGCTGATGTATTGGAACTTAGGAGATGAGATCCGTATAATCCAACCATGTACTAGGAGCATGTAGTGGATTTGCTACCATAATGTGAAATATGGCCTGGTTCAAGGGCAGCGTGTGATTTGAGGTAATCGAAAGTCACCCGAGAGGAGCACATTACCTGGAAAAAATGCAGCAGGTGGTGTTAAATTCATCAAGTCTGACGGTGGGCGAGAGGCAGCAGGATTTTATCTCCAGGTTCACCTGGCTGTTATTTGTTTTGAGGCTGATGACGACACGCAGGTTTCCTAGGGCAGGGATGAGATCTCCGGGCATGATATCTCTCTCCAAGTTCAGACTCATCTCTGCCGTGTAGTTGCCAGAGCCGCAGATATCATCGGAGATTTGAGCCAGACTGGAAGAAGACAATCAGACGGTCAAAATCCAATTGAGCACAGTGAAAATTAATCATGTCGACTACAGTTTATCACCATGTTGGCATCTCGGTAGATTGTATCTGTGCTTTTAGAGCTCAAGTTTATTCAGAAAAGTGGCGTCACATCCACAACAACTGCAGGCGTACTTGTTTACAGGCTTACAAAACTTGTTTACGCTTTACAATAAGGTTTTATTTGATAATATTGGTTAGGTATAAAAACAGTTAACAACACTTAACTACAAATGAAACATAAATCTAAAGCTTATTAGTATTTTTACTGTTAAAATAATCTTAGTTCTAGAGTTCACACTTAGCTGATGATTGATTATAAAGCTTGTTTGGCATGTTGTCCCGGGAGAGAGCCCTGAGCTCATAAGATCCTCTAGCACGGGGCTCCCTCCCTCTCTCCAGAGAGGAGAGTTTGAGCTCAGGTAGATCTCGATAACTACCCTGCTGTAGTAATGAACAGATAGTGATTGCTCTTAAGAGATAACTACTAGGAGCATGTCTATGATACCGATTTGGATTAGTCAATTAACTTAGGTTGAATTAAACTTAATTTAATGTTAACACCAACATTTACTTAGTCATTATTCCTTTCTGTTGATATTAATATAAAGATCTAAACTAACAAGATCAGTTATTATTATAAAATAACTTTACCGACATTTATAAATATTGCCATTAATAAATATTGTAGAAATGTCTGGTCAGTTGTTGTCAACTCAATGTCAGTTGTCACCCCACTATGAAATTGTACAAAAATAATTAAAATAAAGATGTTACAATTTTCTGAATGTTTATGTTTTATATATTTTAATTAAAATAGTTCATAAAATAATTACTTAAAAATATATATTTATCATAAATACCCTTTTTAAAAGTTGAAATAGTGTATTTAGATATTACATTTATTGGGTGACACTTTACAATAAGGCTTCATTCATTAATGTTCTTACTAACATGAACTAAAAATTAACAGAACTTGTGCAGCATTTATTAAACATAGTTGAACATTTACACTGTTGAGTTAACTTAATTTAAAGCAACCGGTTCCAAAGACTTTTTAAGTTTGACAGTACAGGAAATCAAAATTGTGCATCTCCTCAACAGATTTCATAATTTTCAATGAACAAACAGTTCTAAACATGCAGTTAAATAGTTTTCATGAGTACACTCAACACTGAGCTCAAAAATATGTCCACCTAACTTAGAATTTTAAGCCGAATTAACAATTTGTACACTGGATTTTTTAGTGCACTAATGCAGTATTTCTCAATCATGTTCCTGGAGGCCCACAGCTCTGCACAGTTTACATGTCTCCTGAACCAAACACACATGGTTCAGGTCATCAGCTCATTAGCAGAGACTGAAAGACATGAAATGGGTGTGACAGACAAAGGAGATATCCAAAACATGCAGTGTTGGTGACAAAAAGAGAAAAGAAAGAAAAGTTGTAAAAATTGTTTAGAGCAAATTCTTTCTTCCGGTTTAAAAAGTATTTTGAAGCTACGTCACGGTGATGAGATCATTGTGTAAATTCCAGCATGGAGATTGGTTGTCTGTACCGGGCAGTACAAAGTGACATCATTGACATTTCAGCACATCTGTTCATTAATTCCTGAAAGACTTGGTTCAAACCAATCAGCGTGCTCTATTGTGAACGAGATGCAATTTCAATGCAGTGTTGGTGGTCCTCCTGAAACATGGCTGAGAAACACTGTACTAATGCTTTATTAAAATCCAAATTCATGCTTATTAACATTAGTTAATGCATTGAGTTAACATGAACTAACAACAAACAACTTTATTTTCATTGACTTACAATAACAAAGACGAATAAATACTGTAATATATTTAGTTCAATTTTTGTTTATGCTAGTAAATACATTATCTAACATTAACTAAATCAACATAATTGTATTGACTTTTCGAAATGAATTAAAAACATTTTCAAATGTTTTTTTATTCTGAATAATAATCCTAAATAGTTTTTTTAAACATCGTAGAATTCCAGATTAAAATCTTTTAGTAGTTTTGTTGTAATTATTATTTATTTTAATTGTGCTCCTAATTTCAGTTTAGTCACTGGATAATTAGTAGCATCTTGGAAAATAAAGGCTATGGGAATGATTTTCTAAGTGAAAAATTGCAAGCAAATATCATATTTACTAAAAAAAAAAAAATGACAAGAACTGTTAAATGGTAAATTAGAGTAGAAAGTTCTGTATCTGTCTTTGTATCTATATAGATATCCATCCATCATGCTTATTGATCTAACACAGCACAAATGCTAATAAACCAGTGTCTTTTCAACATTAAAAGTGATTTAAGAGTTGTGTGTCATTACCCGGACAGAGAATCGGCTGCTATAACCCCCATCTTCGTGTTTATCACCGGCAGGTCTGACTCGAGCTCAGCAGATCTTGCCGAGTCACTTTCAGCAAATGGAGTGGCGCCATGTGAAATATCTGCACTGCCTCCCCTGGACTGTAATGAACCTTTGGGGAGCGATTGTGTCTCCGTACTTGAGAAACTCAAATCAGTGTGGACAACAGAAGACAACTTTTCCCCAGTAACAGCAGACAGTGCTATCCACCCAAGCTGTTTTTCTGCATCTTCAGTTACGCCCAGTGCAAAGTTTGACTGGGTTGTTTGCGAATGCTCCTGTAGTGTTGAGAGAAATTGCGTTTGGTCTTCGGTTAAGGACAAATGCTCTTTATGCAATACATTCTGCGTTTGAACATGAAACAAAGGGGAAGTTAGTGAAGTGGATGATTCAAGGGGTGAAGGGTTTAAGGCCCCTTCTGGTCGAGCTGCAGCTGTTTTGTGCCTACTGATGCCAGAAATTCGGTTGGATGTTATTTTCCAAGGATGCTTCAATAGAGTTGAAACATTTACAAGCTCATGATGTGGTAAAACTGATTCTTTGTGGTAGTCGTGTCCAATATTCTGCTCAATAGACACTAAAGGTGATGCAGTGAAGGACAGATCTTGTTTAAACTCAGTACTTGGGTGTGAAATTGACGTCAGTGGAGTTTGATAAATGCCTGCAACCGAACGACTGTTTGGAATAAGCTTTGTTGGTTTGGCCGCGCCGTCGCTCTTCTTCAAGTATGGCTCAATTTGAAGTTCAGACTGCGCCGTTTCTGTGAGGAATCCCTCTCTAGGGTGAGCTTCAGTGGGCTGTTGGACTGATGGGATACTGCTAACAGTGTGGCTGCCGAAAAGCAGCCTCACAGTCCCTCTTGGGCTTTTAAGATCTTGTTGTTTGTCGTCTAACAGCGAACCAATACCTCTGGTTGTCACTGAGTGATATAGAAAGTCAGACTCGCTATTACTTTTTTTAGAGATGGACAAAAGTTTTGAGAGAACTCTTTTGGCGTCTGTTGTCACAGTATTTTGTGACTTACTCAAAGATGTTGGCAGCATGTACTTTTTCAGAGGAAGTGTATTAGAGATGTTGGAAATATATACCTGGGGTTTTGAAAACATTGTGTATGTGTTATCTTTAGGAGTCAAATGTGTTGGAAGAACAAAACTAGACATGCTTTTGTTGACTGTAGTTGTGTTCACCATTTTGTGCTTTGATAATCTGCTTAAGATCATGTTTGGCCTTTCAGAGACAATGGATAGAACTTTATTGAGATGTTGGTTTTGGTTTGAAGAGTCGATTTGAGAGACATTTTCCCTATTTATTAATCTCGTCACCGTTGTAGATGTGAATGAAGGAGGAATTGATTCAGGCGCTTGAAATGATACAAAAGGCTTTAATCTCTCTGGGAGGAAGCGATGATCATTCACTTTGAAGACTTGAAACACATTCTTAGGCTTTGTCAGAGGTAAAAGAGGCACTGCTGTAGATAATTCGTCAAACTGATCAGAGTGTTTCGAAGATTCTGTTTGAGGTGAAAGAGTTTGGGGAGTCGTAAGTGAACTTTGAGTCTGTTTCAAAAGCATATCACCCGCTGTAGTTGCTTGCACAGTGTTGGTAAATGAGGCAGTACTAAAGGATATCTGTTCAGTTGAATGATCTATTCTGCTATGTGTCTCTTTCACAGAGATGCTAGGCATTTTGGCTACTTTGGCACAAAGATCAGGCGTTTTGTTGAACAACAAAGACTTCTGAGAAGTCAGCTGATGAAGGAAACCAATTGGCGAGGTTTGGAGTGTTGGTTTAATATGAAGCTCTTTTCTTGATTTAGTGTGCAAAATCAATTTTCTTTCTAGCCCGTCCCTTGCTGAGACAGTTCTATGCACAGAGTCAGATATCAACTGTGAGGCCTCAAGTAGTTTAATCACGTGCATTTCGCCAGCAGCTGTTATTATGCTTGAAAAATAATTTGCCGTACTTGCGACTGGAGTCTTTGTAGGGGTCAGCTTTGAAGCAGAGAATAAAACCATCAAGCCTGGGTGCTTTAGATTTTTGCTGCTTTCTGTCATTTTATTAACCATTACTTGGCTGGTTGATTCCACTTGTAATGGAGTATCAAGGATCAGTGAACTTTGTGAAAGCAGATTCTTCTCTTCTTTTGGCTCACGCTCAGATTCATTTCTTGGATTTTGACCAATCTCACTGGTTAAAAGCCCTGCGCCCTGTAAAATCCCAAAGTGCATAATGGTCGAGTGGTTCTTATTCAAAGAAGCCTCTTCAGTAGAATTCAAAGGGTCGTCAGCTCTAAACGACTCCAGAGTCCAATTTTCCTTCTTGTTTTCGGGCCGTCTTTCTACACTCTCATTCGACTCCCCAAGGTTATCAATTATTGCTGGATCAGAGGCCGATACCAGGGGAATGCCATTTGCGGGTAAAAGAGTAATAGACTCCAAGACTCTTTGATTCTTGCTTTCCAGTGAAGCGTGAAAAAAAGCAGAGATCTTTTCCTTGCCTCTGGACAGATGAGCAGCAGGCGTCACGGTGTCATCCGACATTGAGGGATGAAGCCTCTTCTCATCAGTGGAGACCAATGTGGGGTCTTCTTCAGACTGAAAAGGCTTCAACGCACTACTAGTGGAATGCAAACCTGTATCATAAATTAAGACAAATCTTGGTCCATTTGAGGTAATTGCATCTTTATCAGTAGCTGTGGTTGCATTTACTGTACTTGAGTGCTGCCTTTTATGTGGTGTATGGAACAAATCTGTCCCTGGAGAACTGATTACAGCCCCAGTCAGACGAGCAGGGCTTTCACTGGAAACTTTTCCACCGTTGTCACTGGAGCTGTTTTGCTCTTCTGGTGGCACAGTTGTTATGAAGGCTGCGCTGCTGTCGGTTTGCAGTGACTGAAAGCCTTGCAGGTCATCCTTTTTAGCACTCACTGAAGAGAAAAAAATGCAAAGTTGCAGTTTTGCTTTGGAGATGGCTCGTGGAGTGCACATAAATACACATAGTGTAAACAGTTTGAGAGGCATTCGAATTTTACGACTGGATGCACACACACAAAAGACAATGATTGCCTGCAAAAGACGAAGGTTTCATAACATACATGGCAAAATGTTGCAACTCGCTTGTCTGTAGTATGTAATGAATAATTCAGAGCTTTTTATGGTAATATGTTGTGTGAAATTGTACAACATGTGAAGAGCTAATGTGACTGACAGATAGAAAATGTATAAGTTTTAAACATAATAGTTTTAATAACTCATTTATAATAGCTGATTTCTTTTATCTTTGCCACGATGACAGTAAATAAAAGTTTACTAGATATTTTTCAAGATACTAGTATTCAACAGCTTAAAGTGCAATTTAACTAGGTTAATTAGGTTAATTAGGCAAGTGATGGTAATTACGCAAGTCACTGTATAACAATAGTTTGTTTTGTAAACAATCGAAAAAAAAAGCTTAAAGTTCCCATGAACCACAAGCTGCAACCGTAATTTGTTCATATTCAGACGTAGTTCCTAAAGAACAGGAATACTAAATGAGAAAACAGTGGGCGTGGCTTGTTTTTCTACTGTAAACTGAATGGATGTAAAGTAGGCATTTCATTCAGATAGATGGGGAAAGGAGTTTGGGGAGAGTTATTACAACCACCTCCTGCTCACCATTTCTGTTTGTTGTCAAAACTGACAGTTGCACCAGATTAGGTAAATAAAACTTTAAATGTTATCTAATAAATTCATATGGTTTGTTTTGATTTCTTCGAGACTTTAAGAGGCCTAATATTAGCTGTGTCTCATTTTAGAGGCTATGCATCCAAATTCGAAGGGGTGCTGTGTCATCGCGAGGCAACAAAGGCTGTCTCATTAAAAAAATTCGAAGGCTCCCAAATGCAGCCTCAAAAATGCCTCCTTCATTTCCCAGGTAATAAAGGACGCAACCAGTGGATCCTTTGCAGCCTCGAACATCCCAAGATTCATTACGTGTTGATAATGGCACAACGTTTAAAAAAAAAACTTTGGATTAAATGTATGAATTCAGTTTGTTTTACTTGCATATCTAAACACGTTAAAGAACAAAAAGAGTATGAGATGTCTTACTATAAAGTGATTTTATAAACAATTTTATATGTACATGTATGGATCAAATACAAATATACAAATATATTTCCAGCTTTTGTAAACCTTGCTTTGCCTTCAGAATTGCTTTAAAACAAGTTTTTAAAATCACTTTCAAAAAAAGTCATCACAAATTTTTAGAGGTGTGAACCTATACTGGTCTCACGGTTCGGTTCGGTTACGATTATCATGCCATCGATTCGGTTCAATTCGATATCTCGGTGCATCACGGTGCATTGACGATGCTTTCCATATATAGTGTTATATTTTAGGGGGGAGGCTATAACATGCTGTCTGTATAAACACACAGACACACAGCAACACACTGTCTCTCATTCAAACACATTCACAAACATAGACAGCATCAAACAAACAAACACACACACAAACAAACACACTTAAGCCCTTGCAACAGGGAGAGCTCGCGCTGAGCGGAGCAGAAAAACGAAAAAAACGAAAAAAATAAGCACTTTCCGACGGTCCCTTACAGAGAGCTCCTCTCAGCGCGAGCTCTGCCGGCTAAAGTAAACGCATACTGCGAGGGCTTAAACGGAGCAGTGCTCGTAATGTCGAGCGACAAAAAGAAAGACAGCTGTGAAACATAACCAGCTTTGTCTTTCTGTAGGGAACACACTTTAGATCTTTTTAGGGCAAGCGTTTTTTGAGTTATTGCTGTCTATAACTGAAAGTGTGTCAGGAAAATCGAAAACAAAACCAACTGAAGCGCGCTCATTTCTGGCGCCCCACTAGATATAGAGCGCCCTAAGCATTTGTCTATGGTGCCTATGCCACGGGCCGGCCCTGAGTTGGCTGAGTGTTGTAAACAGGCGCTCACCTCCCTCGCAACAGAGCGCATAGGAGATAAATGACGTCACTACATAATAACCGGTTATGGTTATTACTAAATCGATACCGAATTGTCCGCGTCTGCATCGCGGTGCACAGAAGAAACAATTAATTTTGACAACCCTACAAATTTTACTACAGCTTATTAACGGCAGCTGTTATGGTTGCTAGGTGACAAGATTTGTCCTCTGTAGGCTAATCATCTCATTTTAAAACACTAGAGCTGCGTCCCAAATGGCACACTATACACTATGCACTCATGCACTATGTACTTATGCACTTACACACTCAACAGGATAGTATATGTATATAGTGGCGTCCCAAATGGCACACTAATGTTTTTTACTAAGCGGAAATTCAAACCGTTTCCCTGATGACGTTTGACGGTCGCTAAATCAGTGAAATAAATAATGACTGAGGTATTAAATAATACCTGCCGCGAGTGTTGCCGCATTCACCATCGGGAGGCGCTATAATCACTCTCGTAGGAGAATTTTGCTTTCACAATCCAACATAAATGAAGTTATTCAACATGTGCGTCCGATAGCTCTGCCCCTTCCTGTAAGCTGTAAGCAAACCTGCGGTCGTTGAGTGCGTGAAGTGTCCATCATTCCACACTTCATTTTAACGGCTGAAAGAGTGCATCATCCGGGTAAATAAAGTGCACTTATTATTTGTTGAGTTTTCAGTGTGAACACACTACTTACACAATTTATACTACAAAATGGCGTAGAATAGTGCACAAGTATGCGATTTGGGATGCAGCTTCGGTTCGTGTGAAATTCTGTCTTAAATGCAAGTTATTCAGTGTGTTTCTAACAATTATTAGCCCCCAACCCCCCCCCCCCCCCTCTTTATTTAGAAAAAAAAAATTAAGTATTTCCCAAATTATGGTTAAGAGCAAGGAAATTTTCACCGTACGTCTGATAATATTTTTTCTTCTAGATCAAGTCTTATTTGTTTTATTTCGGCCAGAATATGAGAATTTTTTATTTTTAAACACCATTTTAAAGGTCAAAAATAGTAGTCTCTTCAAGCAATGTATTTTTCTGATAGTCTACAGAACAAACTGTCATTATACAGTAACTTGCCTAATTAGTTTGCCTGCCTAGTTAACCTAATTAACCTAGTTAAGCCTTTAAATGTCACTTTAAGCTGTATAGAAGTATAGAATATTACTTACTCTCATCATGGCAAAGATAAAATAAATCAGTGATTAGAAATGAGCTATTAAAACTATTATGATTAGAAATGTGTTGAAGAAATCTTCTCTCTGTTAAATAGAAATTGGGGAAAAAAATAAATAGGTGCTCTAATAATTCAGGTGGGCTAATAATTCTGAATTCAACTGTATATCTATGGCTCCGGGTGGCCAGTCCTCCACTGCACCTTGGTCCTGCATTCATTCAAAAGGAGTGCTACCCTGTACTAATATGGCGGCTCTATTGACGCATTCCTTCCAATAGACAACAATAGCGTAGATGACCTATAATGTAAATACCTATAGTGTGGACTTCGAAGGACTCACCTTTAAATGCAGCTTTTGTTTTTTCTTAAATTAAAAACTGCTTTTATTCTAGCCAAAATAAAACAAATAAGACTTTTCCCTAGTAAAAAAAATCAATTAGAGGAAATAATGTGGAAAAAATGCCTTGCTTTGTTAAACATAATTTGAGAAATATTAAAAGTCAAATAATTTATTTTATCAAATCAATTTCCCAAATCATATTGGTATTAAAATAAATATAATTTTACAAAGTATAAATATAAATAAGTATTTTATAAAGTATAAATATAAATTATATATAAAATAATATAATAAAATATTGTAAAATAATACATTTTTTTGAATTGTTGCAACTGAAAACAAATATCATTTTAATTATAATTTCTTAGAAATGTATTAAAATTATAATACTAACTTGTTATTGTATTACTGTATTAATACTGTATTTTATCATATATTTTTATTTATTTATTGTTGATTTCTTTTTAACAATTACTGTGTAATCCGTCACACTCACAAGTAATTATTGAGGAAAAACTTACATACCTGTGAGTCCAAAAAGGAAAAATATGAAACCAATCCCCATACTTAATCTTCTCTCTTTGTTTCTTATAAGCTACCCACACACAACACCATAATGCAATTACATTAAAATGCACTAGACAGGATACTATCCCAACACAGCTCACACTTCACTCTCTCTGCAGGAGCCCAGTGTGAGCTTCACCTTCCTCTCCACGCATTTATAAGTAGATTAGATTACTGACACGTGAACAAAAGCAAGCTGAGAGAAATAAAACGGATTTCTGCGTCAGTAGAATCCCTCATCACCCTCATCGTGTTTGACTCGGTATAATTTTTCATGCGCTCCTCAGCTTGGGTGAGCCGCTATGATAAGCTAGTATCCGAGACATTCATTGAGCAGATTCAGATAACACTCAAATACAGTGCCGAGAGTTCTTATTAAAAAGCATGAACACTTGTGTCAATTCATCTTCAGGTGAGTTTACACGTTTTTTCTGGCTCTGACATTACTCTAAATCCACTCGTGGTCGATAATACCAGCTTCATCTCACAAGTTATGTATTTTACATTTTGTCAGTTGACGAATTGGCTGATTCCTACAAGTTGAGTGGTACGAAAATGTATGATTTTAAAAAGGAGGCGTGGCACCCAATCCTACCCCAAACCCAACCATCACTGGGTGATGAGCAAATCGTACTAAATTGCATAAATTAGATCGCTACAAATTAGCCTGAGATTGCGTTGCTAATGCATATAAAGGAATTACCAACCTACGTCACACCTGACGTCACTTGGGTTCCCGGTTGCAAAAAGAGACCGTTGGCAATAGTAAACATGTCGTGTTGTGCAGTAGGATGTCAAATTGGAAAACTTAACTTTTACTATACACCACACTGCCTTTAATGCCAACCGTAGACCGAGGACCTAATTAGAAATGCTCGACTCTGCAGTTCTTATTTCATATCAGATAAGTTCACACTATGCTGAATCATACTCATTACTCATTTTTGATTGCAGCAACGATTTCAGCAAAAACAGTTACATATGGTTAATAAAACTGTGGACACTAAATGCTAAAAATAAAACGTGAAAGTGTAAGTTATTAAGGTACACTTGGTTTAATATTCACACATTCATTCAGTGACAACTTGTGACACCCCCTATATTGTTTACCACAGCACGGTCTGAATTAACCTGCAAGTGTGATTTGAAAACAACATTAACTCTATTTGACTGTGAACTATGTTGTACTTTGATAGTCATTTGCTGCTAATAGGATTTTGCTATTTAGAGTTTGCAAATAATACTTTTATGAAATTAAGATTATATTACATATAATATTATTCACTAATATTATTAAGAAGAAATTCCAAATATGCAAATATAAAACCAACTTTACATCTATGTGTAAGTTCACATACCCTGCCGTACAGGTGTAGTTCGCTGTCAGAATGCAGTAGTTTTGCTTGTTGATAATTGATTACCCAGGCCTTGTATAACGTTACCTCCGTTTTCTTTCCTAGTCATTGGCTAAGCAGAACCTCATTTTTTAGCACTACATACACAGCAAATTCATCAGAGTTAAATTCTCGGTGTTGAAGCATTTGAGAGTAAAGTGTTGACGTTAAAGAGTTAGATTTTGATAAATGAATATAATAAGAGTTAGAATTGATTTTATTCAGTGCGAAATCAAGGAGTTATCTTTTCAACACTTGGTGGTGTTATTTCCAACATCCGGGAATTCATGCAGCCCCAGTCACTGAACAATTTTCCAGACGCCATTTTCCATCTGAGGTTTAGAACAGCAACTGGTGAGTCAAACTACCTAAATGTTGGTATTGTACTGACTTTCTTTAAGGAAATACAGTTGTAAACATGTTGTTAAGTTAATAACTTTAGAATGGAGTGACAATTTTAAACTTCTGCGGTTCATTCATGGTCGTTTGTGTATCTAGCTTAACTGCATTACTATTGACTTCTTTTCAAGAATGTTTTTATATATGCTCACGCATACATAGTGCATAAAAACATCAAATGTACATGTTCAACACATTTCTGTCACGCTTAATGCCATTTTGTGCGTTGTTACCCATCTGTAAAATAAAATGGACACTTCTCCTTTAATTCCAAGCAAACTAGCGAGGGAATCCCCGGAGCCGCCTAACGTTAGCCTACTCTGCCCGGATGCTAACGGCAACACAGGACGGTTTCCATAAGCTCTGGAGAGTTTCTAAAACATATCTGGTGAGTAAATGAACATATGCTTAATTGTAAAAGGCTTCCTGACTGAAACAAATGATTGTTTGTTATTCGTGTACGTTAATTTGGTTATTTTAAACACCGAGGCCCTTTTAAACTAGTTCATTCGTGGCCGTCCATATACCGTTAGTTCATAACTTAGACTCGTGTGATAACGTACGCTTGAATTAAATTAAGTGTTGACAACCATTAAAGTCGGAATGCATCCCTCCCAGCTCTTCAGGTACGTCGCGCGCAAGTCACCCCCACCGCTCTTCAGGTACGTCGCGCTCAACTCACGGTACTCATCTCTCCCGCTACCTCCCGCAAATCAACTCTGTATCCCCCGAAAATGACTTTTCCCAACTCGGGATGTCTGACGTTAGTAAGTTAGGCTATTTCTGTTGTCAGGAACATCTTAGTCAAGCTTTTTCTCCCGCATGATATTGTGCTTAAAACTATAGGCTAAACTTAGCATGTACTGTACACAACATTTCCGTTTTATTAGTGCGTTGTAAACAGCCACCTGTCTGTAAAATGAATAAACTGATTCATATTTGAGCAGCCTAATGATGATACAGGTTTGATTTGTAGATTTATTATCAATAATCAACATCTGAATCAAAAGATATGTGAAAATGTGTGAGGCATACTTTGTGATGTTCATCTCTCTTTTTTATTTGAAGGTTATGCATATGTGTTAGATACTAATGTGTTGTTGTTTTTTAACAGCCACAGTTCTCTGTACAATAACACAAGACCCTGTGACGGTGGCTGATTAGAGACGGATGGTGTATTTCCAGAGTTGGTGAAATGACCAAGCACACCTTCTTGGTCATATGTGGTGATAATAATGAAGGTATGTTTGATAAAGTTCTGTATTTGTTTCACAATAAGCTGAGAGGGTATTAGAGCATTAGAGAATAACAAATGACATGAAGGTGATAAGTTTTGTATTGTGGGTGAACTGTTACTTAAATAATGTTTTGCTCTTTGCTTTGCACTTTTTCTCTTCTGCTTATCCTAATATTTTAGATTATATTTGGACCTGAAACATCTGCTAGACTCCAGGAAAGGTGGCATCAATACTGGACCTGAAAGGGCCTAACAAGTTGAATCTGGTAAAGAAACACGCACACACACACACACACACACACACACACGCACGCACACGCTTACAGAAAACTGTAAGTTTATTAATATTTTTTACACTGTGGCCAAAATTTTGGGGAAGTCAGCATCACTAAATGATATAAAAGATTTTAAGCTCCTCTAAATTTTGCTCCAAGTGTTGTGTTAAATTCAGGATTCTGGACAGACAGCTGCCTGTTTTTCCAGTTCTAGTCATAGAGGTTAACCTAATTGTTTTTGGAGATCCAACAGTGATGTATGTGTTTTTTCTACTTTTCCACATCCTGTCACCTCAACCAGCTGGGAGAGTCAAGTTGTGGATCATCATGAAGATTTTCAAAAGGTGAGTTTAGATTTCTTGAATGTTTTATTTACTTTAAATGTTCTTTTAAATATATCATAGAATTTGACTGCAATTTGTTTTCAAACATTTTTCTTAGTCATGCTGGAGTCTTGAAGAGTTCTTAGATGAGCATCACCCTATATCCGTGCATCAGGAACCACCAGACGAGCGATCAGCAGCTACTACTGTACATCGTGATGGATAAAAAGGTCATCCTGTGGCTGGGAAGCACATCTTTCACAGGACATGCTTGATGAGATTTCCTAGCTCCAGTTTGTTTTCACACAAGTTTACAGCATTTATACCTTCATTTAAACTGCTGTGTTTGATATGGAGGACCAAGGAAACACCAGAAGTGAAAGATTTGCACGGCAAGTTGTTTAAAATGTAATTTCAGAAGAAAACTATGAGTTCAGAAGAAAACTATGAGTGACGCTATATTGAACTTTCAAATTGCTCTGATGAAACATCAAGTTTGGACATCATATTTTGTTGATACTGTCTGTACTAATAAAACATTTAAAGCATATTTGACATTGTTGCATTTTAAAAATTGAATGAATTGTTGAAGTTGTGAATGTTTTCAAATAAAATGTTTTTATTTTGTAATTTACAGTCTATTTGACCTTTTTACCATATTTACACTCAAGAGAGTTGAATAAAATAACAATATATGACACCAGGTGGTGTTAAATATAGTTACATTTTTTAACTCTGCCCTGAGTTAAAATTAACCCTTATTTCGGTGTCAATGTGCCAACCCTTTTGAAAGTGTTGATTTAAGTCTGTTTTGAGTGGACCCCATGAGACACTTTCAAAGTGTTGAAATTAACACCCATAGAGTTGTTTTGGGTCCCCATATTTTGCTGTGTAGTTTTGAATCTGGTAATCATTAAATTTTTCAGAATATTTCTTGCACATGACCACACAGAACATAAACATCCAAAGACTTGTAGACTTTTGACTTCTCTCTTGTTAATCGCTTAGAGCTTCAATGAGATTGTATATTTGGGGCTGGATGCTTGGTCATTTCATCTTACCCAATATTCATTGGGATGGTGCTATCGCAAATGGACCTTTTCAGATGAACGCCGCTCACTTTAACGTTAATTTTGCCAATTCACCGTGATTATCACTGCTTGATAAGCTGTTATAATACGCTAAAAGCATTATGTAAATAATATATATAATATATAATCAAAATGACTTATTTTTAAGACAACAACAAACTCTGTACCGCATCGGATGTCATTCCCTCGCTGTAAATGCTAGCGATCCAGGTTTTTCTTTGCCACCTCGCTGTGCGCGCATCCTAAAAGTTTACAAACATGGTAATTCGTCTTTATGTGAGCCATGAACGACAATCATTATTTAAAGATTGTTATTACAATCGTCTGCATTAGACCCACGCAATATAGTCTGTGGTCAGAAAAAAACATGCCATTAAAATGAACAGAAACTCAGCAAATACTCAACAAAGAGGCATGAGAGACATATCTCTAGAAAGCTTGAAATGTCTAAATAATTCAAGTTGAAAACAAAGAGTGTGTATGGATGTTTCCCAGAGATGGGTTGCAGCTGGAAGGGCATCCTCTGCATAAAACATATGCTGGATAAGTTGGTGGTTCATTCCGCTGTGGCGACCCCAGATTAATAATGGGACTAAGCTGAAAAGAAAATGAACAAATGAATAAATTCAAGAAAATAAGGCTAAAGGCTCATTTCCTCTATGAGCACTTATCCTGGCAACTCTTTTGGAAAAAGAAAAGAAAAACATTTAAAGCTTTCACTATTTTTCAAAATCTGAAACTATGCATTGTGAGCATTTTTCATGTTATCGCTTCTTAAGATTAATCGCTTTGTTGTCTGTCTTACTTGGATCTGCTAAATAAATAAATGTAAAAAGTGTCTTGAGAAATCCCACCTGTCACTTTGCTGTAAACAGCAAAAAGTGTCTGAGTTACAGAATGCTGAGCTGGTATGTTGCTAACTGAAAACAAAAAGAAAGGAGAAATGTTTAATGTGGTACCAGAATTGTCATATAATTTGATTTGTATGGTGTTTAACAAAAAAAAAAAAAAGACATTTTAGGCATTTCTTTTCAAGCACTGAACAGATTTCCATAAACAAATGTTTCAGCTAGAATTGCTCCAAGGACATGGTTTCCCTCCAAAATAAAACACATTCCCTCTGGAAAAACAAAACAAACAAAACTCTTTATTTAGATTGTCTGTATAGTAAATACCTCAACTATAAAATTTATAAGTCATATAAATAAGTCAGCAAGCATTTATAATAGACTGTAAACCCCAATAAGGTTACTTAAACCATTTGAGGAAACCGATTGCAACAAATCAATTAAGTTCAAAAACTAATGCTGAGTACTGTAAACTTAATCCATTTGAGTGAACAAAGCAATTTGAGCACAGTAAAATTCAATAAATGAAGAGAAATCAAACCAACTTAATACTGTAACCTCCAATAAGTTGAACTCAAACCGTTTGAGGAAACCAATTGCTACAAACCATTTAAGGTTAAAAAAAATTGTCTATATAAGTACTGTGAACTTTCTCCATTTAAGTTGAAGTAATGAGGTATTTAATTCACTCATTACCTTCAACACTGAGTTCAAAACTCTTTTCAAATGAGTAAAATTAACTCTCAGTCAATTTTGAGTTAACTACACTTCTTTCATTTGATAAAGCTAAGTATTGGGTTTTACAGTGTAGTTTTAGTAGACTGGTTGATACAACTAACCCTAAGCTAACCTACTGTAGTAGTGAAAAATTTTACAACATTCATTCATTTTCTTTTTGCTTTTATCCCTGTATTAATCAGGGATCGCCACAGGGGAATGAATCGCCAACTTATCCAGCATGTGTTTTATGCTGCAAAAGCCCTTCCATCCACAACCCAGCACTGGAAAAAATTTACAAAGTAACTTATTTTATTTACATAATTTCTAAATAGGCATATTACAACTAAATGAGTTTAAATTCAATTCGTGAATCTGATTGGTTGATTGGTGTTCTAAGGTACGGTTATTCTCAGGGAAAACCCAAATTTTACCTTCTTTTCCAACAAAATGACATTGTGGTAAGCACAATCTCCTTTTCTCTCCACGCATACATTAATATATTACAAACAATTATTGTCAGAACTCCATGAAAAAGTTTCAAAACTGAGAATATACAACATTTCTGATTTACATTGCTGTTCTTGAACAGTGATAAAAAGAGTGCTGAAAAATCATACTCAATTAAAAGTACAGTTACTTGCCCAAAAATGTAGTGCAAATAGAGTAAAAGTATATCTGTTGTGAATATTACTCAAAGTACGAGTGAAAGTTGACCCTTAAAAAGTACTCAAGAGTAGTGAGTATTACACTGTGACATGCAATTTGTGCAGGCAATTGTAAACGTAACATTCTGTAGTGCATTTAGTTATAGTTTAAGACTATTTGTCAATTTCAGTCATCATACAGTAAACATCCACAATCTTCTCATTGACATGCACTCTAAACAATCATTGCATGTAAAGATTTTAGGCAACTACTTGGACACTTTCCAAACATGCCTTGAAATTGTTCATTATGATGCAAATGTATTATTATTTTAGCCAATCCCCATAGACAAGGAAAAAATAAATGCAGATTGCAGGAAAGTGGTGGAGTAAAAGTACTGATACAGCACTAAAAATTTACTCAAGAAAAAGTAAAAGTACATATTTTTAAAGCTACTTAGTAAATTACAATTCCTCAGAAAAACTATTCAGTTACAGTAATTGGAGTATTTGTACTTTGTTACATTGCACCACTGTTCTGGAATCAGTTAAACTTACAGTTTCACATGCTTAATCTCTTTCTCTTTCTCTCTCTCTCTCTCTCTCTCTCTCTCTCTCTCTCTATTTTAGGGCTTTTACAAAACCCATTTTTAGATTTTGTACAATAGGAGAAAATGTAAAACTAAAATAAAGCTAAATAATTTTCAGTTCCTATATTGCCAATAATAGCCCATGTTCCTACTCATATCAAAGGCTCAGGCGGCATGGTGGCTCAGTGGTTAGCACTGTCACCTCACAGCAAGAAGGTCACTAATTCGAGTCCAGGTTGAGTCCTAAGCCAAAAAGAAAATGAATCAATCAATCAATCAAAGGCTCAAACCTTTCTTTATTAGCACAAAAACACATTTTGGGACTAGAAACAGAGGTTTAGGATAAGAAACCAATCCTACATACAGTACAAGGGTCTTTGAAGAACAAAAACCTGACAAATGACTCGAAACAAATCATCTGAATAATTTGTTTATGTATGATAACTGTAGCAAGCAGAATACTTTTCTCTGGGCAGTTGAATAGACAAAAAGTATTTTTAGAAAGCAGTTAACCAAAAAAAAATAATTAACTTATCATTTACTTGTAATGCTATTCTATAACTGTGGCATTCTTTCATCTGTGGAGCATAAAAGAAACATGACAAGAATACAAAAATGGCATTTAAGAATAGTAAAATCATTTTTCTTCTTTTTTAAACATTGACTATTTAGTGTACAAAAAATTATACATATTTGGAATGACAGCAGTACGTAAGCCTTTAGGTGACTTTAAATTTAATAGGAGTTATCAAGTGTTTAACTTGCAGTTTACAGCAGTCTGTTTGTTAAATCCTGTCCAAAACCCTGGATTACACAAACTGACTCATTTCAGCGAAAGCCATTTCTATTGTAACAAAGCTACTTTTTCTCCTTACATCATCAAATGCTTTCCAAAGCGATCAACTCTGCCAAGAAGAGAAGGTTTTAACCGTAATTATCTTCAAATGCAGTTGTATTTATCTTTTTTATTATTATTCAGCACATGAAAGTTACCATTAATCCATTTATCAACAAACAGAGAACAAAATGTAATCAAGGCAACACACTTCCCAAGTGAGCCATTTGGGATGAAAGGAAATTGAAACATTTCGAATATCGTCCCGGGGCAACATGCTCTCTACAACAGCAGATAACAGACTCACATGTCAATGTGAATTCTCTCTAATTAAAATGAACACAGGAAACAGCTGCATAATCAAGATAGGCCTCAGGCATGACAGTAATTTGTGGCCTCACTTAAGATGAGCATCTTAAGCTGTGGACCAAACAGCATTCATCTATGTGTGCGTGTGTGTGTGTGTGTGCGTGTGTCCTGAGTTATGGGGTCATTTATTGGGAAGTAGCTCACGTGATCAGTCTCATACAGGAGTGAAGAATTTCTAAACCATGGAGCTCCCTGAGCTTCTCCATGTGCCTGAAAAAAAAATCAAAACAGAGATTTATCAAAGCAACAGAATTAGTTTCTTTCTCAATTTGACCACACAATGAAACCCAAACAGCCAAATATAAAACCAGCTAAGAATATGAAATGCAAACAAGCGTGAAAACGTTTGCTCTGCATATAAAGTAGGTTCACAGGTTATGCGTAATATTTTTGGCAGCGTCTGCACCCTCCACTGTTTTCTGTCTAAAATGTCTTTTTTAGGCTGCACTCTGATCTGTGAGGTTTGAAATCTCACTGTAAAGACTCGTGCTCTGAGCAGCGTTACCTTTGAGAAGTTGAAAGCTCATCAAAGTTGAATGCCATGAGATTCTGACTCCTCTTTGTTGAATTGTCCTTGTTAGATGCTGACTGGGAGTATAAGATGCCTCAGGAACACTTATCTAACAGAGCTGCTATTTTTTGGAGCTTGTGGACACTTCATAAATTAAAGATGAAGGTAAAAACTTGACGTTTCTTTAAATCAATAAAGGTAAATATTTTAAAAGACTATGTCATCTGTGAAAGTCCTCATTAACAGATGTAAACTGAGGCAGGAATGTAAACTATTTTAAAATGCAATAAACTAACATGTTTGCATTTGAAAATATAGCTGTAACATGATTATTTTGATTCATCTGATGATTATTAGAATGATTAACAGATTAATTATACTTTCATTCTGTCAAACTTAAAATTATTTCATTCTCTCACACTTATGTCATTCTTAAAGCATAAAATGTTCCTTAAAGGTCTTGTGAAGTGCTTTGAAATATTCCTTTTTTATTCAATGTTTGGCATAATCTCAACCGAAACTCAAAGAGGGTGGGATATAGTGTAAGCTCCTCCCCTTTAAAAAAAAAAAAAAACAGCCAATAGCATTTGTTTCATCACAGCTCTGCCAGTGAGAGGTTGCGCTCAAGCAAAGAGCTTAGAATGACCAAGAGCCGACACTCAATAAAACGTTCCATTGCAACAGCAGCGCCCAGCAACAGCCCAGTATTCTGCCATTTTAAAGTAAAAGCAATCGGCTTTTCATAGGATCTTATTGCTGTCACGATGGCAAGCAGCTGCTTTTTTTTATTTATTTATTTATTTAAAAGGCGCATTACAGCTGAGATTCAACCTGAAAGACGACAATACAGCACTTACTATTACAATCATCAGCACTTTTTATAGTTTATTTTACAGACTTATAATATGATGTTATTCTTTAAGAGTTTTCATTCCAAAATGGCCACCGCGCCATCTAGTGGCTGTTTTCCAAATCGCACTAGAGTGTCGCCTCTTAGTGATTCTATGCTCTTTGGTTCAAGCGCATCCAGTGGAACAGCAAATAAGAAACTTCTTACAGGGGGCGGGCATGCCAGATACTACAGAGCATTTGATTCGTCATGATTTGTAAAGAAACTGAAGTATGTGGTGTTGTGAATATAATCATGATTCATTTAGGCGGTAACAAACTACAAGCCTTACGTGTTTATATCAGTTTTATATCTTCTAAACGCAAATTTTGTCACTGTTTTGGAACACATTAGCTTATAGATATCCTATAAAACTATAGGATATCTATTTTAGGATATCCTAAAAACTAACAATACTGATACTAACACCTAAAAAACTTTAATTTAATTTCATGGGACCTTTAACCTTCAGAATATAAATGAAAAAATATTTTTATATCAGATATTATTATTTCAGGTTTTTGCTCCTCTTTTAAAGTAATTTGAAATGATAATATTGGTGTTTATTTTCATTCATACAAAAGTTAATTCTGGTTCTCAAATCTGGTTAGCTAAGAGAGGTCTATCTTTACAGTCATTAAAGAATATGATAACTGAAACCCACAGAGAACAGCCTTACCTTGGCCAGATTTTCTGTAATCTACTAATAACTGTGATTTAAGCCTCTATAAAGGTTTAACAGAACATATAAGTAGTTTTGGCTATATCTAACAACCATCATTTATTCATTCATTCATTCATTTTCTTTTTGGCTTAATCCCTTTATTAATCAGGGGTCGCCACAATGGAATGAACCAGGTGGGTATTGCTGCAGCCCAGGGAACTCTATTGGGTACAAAAGAAAGCACAATATTGGACTCATGTACAAGACATTAAATAAATAAAAACTCAAGGTTTGTACAGCCCACTTGGAGCTCGAAGGCCCACACACTTGGAGCTGGCTCTGACCTCCATTTATACCCTTCTCGAATGAAACAACAACGTATTCAGTATATGTTCTACGCAGTGGATGCCCTTTTAGCCACAACCCAGTACTGGGAAACACCCATACACTCTTGCATTCACACCCACACACACACTACGGCCATTTCAGCTTATTCAATTCACCTATAGCGCATGTCTTTGGACTGTGGGGAAAACCAGAACACACGGAGGAATCCAACGCGAACATGGGGAAAACATGCAAACTTCTTGCTGTGAGGCGACATTGCTACCCACTGCGCCACCATGTCGTCCCCACCAATATTTAGTCACATTAATATATTATTAGGTCCAGAGTTTTGGAGCTCCAAGTTTTATTTTAACTTAATATTGTGTCTACTGCTTCATTTTTAAACTCGCTGTCTCTCTCTTAGTTGGGGCAGTCATACACAGTCAAAGGCTATATTACAAAAAAGATTCAATTTTCAGGGTAATTACTGTACTTCATAAAATATTTTGACAGACATACAGTATAAAGCTTAATTCTAAATTCTCAATAGAAGCTTTGCATGTACATATTAAACAAAATAAATTGGGTTAAATTAGATTGTCTATTATGAATGGCCATTTAATATACTGTGAACACGATTTCGTTGATCAATATGGTGAGTGACAAGACTTTTAATGGACAGAAATGTTGCATATTTGATAAAGAAATATCTTTATTTGCACCTTAAACATGAATTAAAGTCCTGTGGGTTTGTTGAGCAAACTTTGAGGCAAACCAACCCTTTAAATCTATATCGGAGAAGTTTTAATTCATTACACATTCTGAAAGCTCATCATTTTGCTGAGGTTAATTATAAGGAGTTATTATCTTTTCACCTTCATGTTTCCCAGAGTATCACTGCTGGGTGCACGTACATCAGCATGAATGATATTCAATATAATACAGATGACATTAAAAGGCAAGTCAGACTTAATTATACCTGGGCTCTATTTTGCACAGCTTCCCAAGGGTGATGGCTGCATTCTGCTGAACGGCTGCTCTTTTGGCATCTCCAGCGGCGTGGCGGAGCAGCAGTGCCACACAGTCTGTACCCAGGAGGCAACTGGCGGCGCCATCCACTTCTAAGCAGTGGCCCATACACAAAGCTGCATTCCCCACCACCAACTCGTCAATAACGGCCAGGAGATTTCTCAGAGTGTGCAGCCCTGAATGAATAAATGTGTGTAGTGCGAAAATGCACACAAAGTCACTGTAAGGCCACAAAACTTAAGACGCCTTATTGAATCCAATCCTCTCCCTCACTGCCTCAGAACTCACGTTTGTCAAGCTTAACCAGCTCCTCGCGGGCCTTTGGGATTGAAGCGGTGCAAACTGTCAGGGCCTTAATGGAGTATCTGGAGCTCATCTCTCCCCCTGCCTGACGGGACAGACACACAGGCAAATTTCAGTTAAACCTCTATGATTGAAAACGTAATATAGCTGATGGCCAGGCAGCCACACAGTTAACCTTTTAACCCAGTAAAGCCTGACATAATTAAATATGTCAGTAATATAATACCAATATTATTATTCTGCACGCATGTTTTATGCATTACAGTATATCTGATACATGTTTTGTTTTATATCATCACACCAAAAATGCATTTTAACACATTTATTTTATATCGAACATTTTTATGGTAACACTTTAAAACACTAGGAATAATATTAGTTCATGTATTAATTTAATGACATGAACAAACAATGAACAATACTTATATTGAGTACTTATTCATGTTTGGTAATGTTAATAAACATGTTAATGTTAATGAACTGTTGCACACCTGTAACCACTGACTTTCATAGTAGGAAAATCAAATACTATAGACGTCAGGGGTTACAGGTTTCCAATATTTTTCAAAATATCTGAATTATTATTTTATGGTGTTAATTAACTAGCACAGCATTGGATTTTAATAATTGTGATTACTGCTCTAAAATATACTCTTTTGTATGTCTGGGTAAAAAACAAGAACTTTTTTTCCACTTTGAACACAATGGCTGCATTCTAAATCACACACTTACAAAATAGCATGCAAAAAGCAGTATGCGAGCCAAATAATATGTCCAAATTCATAGAATTCGAAAAACAATATGCGATAAGTACCCAGATGGCCTACTACTTCCGGCAAGATTCTGAAGTGTGCTTTCAATGAATGCTAAACTATCCCATGATGCACCGTGAGAGAATTCATGAATGGGAGTAAAGCAGGTATGTAACATAATAATGACAAAATGGCATCTGTATGACCGATTCATACTACCCACATTCATACTGTATAGAATGTACTTTTCTATCAGTCAAGTAGTAAATTTAAGTTTAAATGCTGTACCTACTGAATTGTAAGCGATTTCAGACACAGCCAATATATTTTAATTTGAGAAACATTTAAAATATTTTAGTAATAAACATGTCAGGCTAAATAATTCTAATGAATCATTGACTGCTATCTTCATTAGTTTCAAAACACAGATTTCTTCACAATTTAAAATTATTTTTTTTCATCTTTTCTGCTGGAGATACTGTTGTCCTAAAAAAGTTTTTTTTTTTTTTTTAAATTTTACATATACTGTAGGAATGGTTTTAAGAGCCCCTATTATGGGTTTTTAAAATGAGCTTCCATGTAGTGTGCAACACAGCACTAAGTAAATGAAAACATCCAGCTGAAGTTTAAATCTAAAAGTGCACCATGTTAAAAAATATTAATTCTTTAACAAAATAGTCGACTCACAGTCGAATGATTGAATCGAGTTCTTTTGCTTAATGTCGATACGGTACATGACCAAATATGCAACTCTAGATCCTGTAAAATGTGAATGCTCTTTCCATTCAGACACTAGCGGAGCACTGAGAATCACGAGACTGATCATGACGCGAAGATGACAATCACTGACAGATGGAGATTTGACTGTGGGGAATAAAGGGTTTATTTTTACAACAACATCACAGTATAGCCAAACTAGTGCTGTGTTTGTTTCTGTCATTTTTCTGATGATTGATACAATAACCTACGCTGCAACGCAGGATTCACCGGCCATTTGCATTTAAAGGATGGAGCAGCAGAGACTATTATGCATGGGACTTTGTCAGACTTTGATAGGGACTTTGTCAGTAACTGTTACACTTCATATGGTTTCTTCTTCCTCAGGATCTTAATATGTACAGTGAGTGTAATTAAAATTGTTGCCTTGTTTTCTGTAGTTTGAAAAAATATGTATTTAATTGTGTGTTATAAGTTGTACCGCACCGCTTAACTTGTAATCACGTATCTATTATAGATCAGTGCTAATACTGTATCTCTCAGGGTAAATCTTAATGGGACTGTTCACATATTGCGTCCAAAACCATGATAAAAACGTGATGTGTGCTTCTTACTTTATCGATTTAAATGCGTTTCTGAACTCACGATCCACTGCTGTTTGCCTTTGCTATGGCCACCATCAGCAGGCGTGGTCAATTTTCAAAATATTTCAACTTTTGCCACTGTGTGAATTACTGAATGTGTTTTGTTGTTATTACTTGGGGTTAGGGTAGAGTAATATGCTGGTGTTTACCTGCATTGCTTTATTGCACTCCTACATTGGGCTCTCACATACTTTGTGTGTTATTTAGCCGTGTAGTTACATATCTGTTCCACATAGCTGTGGTGGGCATTTCTTTTCATCTCGCGCTGAACGTGGTCAACCAATCACAACAGACTGGGTCATCAGACCAATCAGCGCAGATTAGCTTTGCACTAAGGAGGAGTTTGGGAACAAATGAATCGCTGAAGGAATCATATGGGAGTCGTTGGGATAATTAGGTAAAAATAAATGCATATTGCAAGAAAATTAAAGTGTTTTTGACCTTGCATGCATATGACTGTTGTTAGAGACCCCCAAAATCAAAATATGACTATTTTTAATGCAAAATAAGGGCTCTTTTAAACCTACCGCGGTATACCTTGAAAATGGTTATCGTGCCATGCTTATTAAATCAATTCGATTCATCTTTATTTCTATAGCGCTTTTACAATTAGACTGTGTCAAAGCAGCGTAATAGACGATTATAGTAAATTGAAACTGTGTCAATCCAGTTTTCAGAGTTAAAAGTTCAGTTTAGCTCAGTTCAGTGTCGCTTAATTTTTACTGCTGAAAGTCCAAACACTAAAGAGCAAATCCATCGATGCAACAAGTCCTAAACCATGCAAGCCAGTGGCAATTATTTAACAGATATCCCGTGAGTGTTACCTTTTTAATTAATCTGTTTTTCATTATTTTGTTTCCCTTGTGCTAAAACTTCACAAAAATGAAACCAGATACAAACTTGATAATAACAACATCAAAATATTTTTATAAATGTCTCAAAAGACAAACCAGAACGTGTATGTTAACCAGGACTTCATCATAGTGTTGGTTTTACCACATAAAAAAGTCCTTATCTTTATACTTTGGATATGCGTGAAAAGTGAATTTGCTACTGATGTGCATAAAACAGCATCTATTTGACATCCCAGACCAAAATCAACTACAACTACACTGTTTGGGGGTCAAAGCCAACTGTATTCCCATTTACCCACTGGACACCATACTGTAGGCAAGTGTTATGTAAATTAGCTACACATTTACCTAGGTCTGTGAAAAGAAGTAAAACTACTTCATTACTTCACTACTTCAAGACTCATTTTAGGAAGCCTAGAATCAAAAGACAAAAACTCCATTTATCCCCGCACTTTGATCTTTGAAACATTGCAGACGTTTTACATTCATAAGCAGCCACAATACACACTAAATGAGAGGCAACATCTGAAAGAAAAAAGTATAATTGGGTTACCTTAAACAAGCTGAGGAAGTCTGGGATCTGGGCTGATTTAGGTCAGTAAAAATTTATAATCCACTGGCTGACACGTTGCTGAATTATACAGTAGTAAAAGAGCAACGTGTCAGCAAAGGTTAAGCTTCCAACTTTCCTAGAACTTTCTCAAATAAAACACCTCCAGTACCAGGCTAAATGTGATTTACTTTAGGGGCATAACCTTAGGGGCATAAGCTTATACGCTCTTCCGTATCTCATATCTGATTTAATTTGTCTTTACTTGCTTACAAACGCTGTCTTGAATGCTAAAACCTAATGCAGTCTCAACCTTCAGCATCTTCAGCAGCTTCTTCACTACACCATTCTGCACAGCTTCCCGGGTGGCATCAGAAGACAGCAGGAGGAGAACACTCAGCAAACCAGCAGCTCTCTGAAGACAACACAACAGCATTTCATACCATAAAATGAATGGAACGATGGCACAAAAAGACTCAGATGATCTCCTATATTCTTAAGAGGTGAATTCAGGCTCTTCGGTATAACGAACAGCCTTGTTTTCAGGTTTATATAATTTGTTTAATTTGGCAAGCAACATTATCTCATTATTAAATGTAATGTTTTTTTTCCATACAGCTTTGAAATTACATGAATTAATTTTTAATTTTTAGAGGAGTAATACCATTTTTGCATTTTTTTTATTAATATGGAAATATTAAATGATTCTGTACAGAGCGGTAAATGTCTAATGAGCAAGTCAGTGAGTCATTTATTCCATTTGTTCAAAAGGCTGATTCATTTTAACTACACTGTAAAAAAAACACCCTGGTTTCCTTAAATTTTTACGCTGAATTAAATAACGTTATAAGTCCATTGGACTTATATTATGTTAAACTGACTTAAATCAGCTTGCGTAACTTTGATAAAATTAAGTTAGAAGAAGATTAACTTCAATAACATCATATCATTTTTTACAGTGTACACTTAATCATTGGTTCAGATGATTTGTTCAAACTGTGGATTCATTCAGAAACAAAATATTACAGAAACAAACAAACCTTCTGCTATGGCTTTACAGGAAACTTTTTTGCTTGCCAAACTGAGCAAAAACAGACAACATTGTTTCTAAAATAAAACAGAACAATAATGCACTCACTGATTTGTGACATTAAATTATGATCACTTTTGCACTACAAAAAACAGCCTTTGTGTAATATAAAGCTTGTTGCTCATGTGATATCACTATATCAAGCTATACAAATACGTTGCATTCTTATAACTGCTGTATAGGCTCCGTCATGTAGTGACTGGTTTTTCTGATATGTACTTCTGTACTATTCTGTTTTCAGGCTAGCTCTCTATGCTCTGAACTAAAAGCAATTCCAATATCATTTTCAAAAATGCTTTTTTTATAAACCCTTTTATTTTTGTTTTTAAGTAATTTCTTTGTTCAAAGGTTACAAATCTTGTTCTATTATTGTTCTTTATAAATGATACTTTGCAATTGGCATTTCAATCTTACATTTAGAGTTTGTTCTTCCTTAATATACAGTGACTTTGCTAATAAAACACTCTAAAATACTTTGCTTATATATATATATATATATATATATATATATATAAATATATATATAATGAAATTAGAGGACAAATTAGAGGACATTCTCTTTACTCAGTGAAACTGGAGCGATATGAAGCACCAAAAAACCAAAAGCCAAGCAAACAACCTGGAACCTGATTTGCATAGTCAGAGAAAATAGTCCCCGGGCTACAGCCTGGGGCAGCTACGGCAATCATTATGCAAATGCTTCTGTGCATGGCAAATCCTTCTCTTGAAGATGTAAAGACATCCATCTATTTAAACTCTGAACTTCCATTTCTGATCCTGAGAAGAAGCCATATGTGTAAATATTTTGTAAAGGAGCTCTGGAGAAGATGCCAATACGCAGGGTTCCACAACAACCCACATTCCGCAGGATGAGTATTTGAATAATTAATGGGGAGAGATCTACAGTTCAAACGTTTAGTGGCTCTTAGCATCAGGGGGTGGGTTAAAGCTTGCTTCGGCCTTGGTAAAATGAGTTTAACTCACTGTGATGACGCCTCCAGAGGAATGGCTCAGCAGGCCCAAGCACCTGCTGCTGGCCGGAACAGCAAGCTCCTGTGTTAAAAGAGAGCCAGAAAAAAAAACATTAGCGCCAATTTTCCTTTGGTGTTTTTGACATCATTGCAACATATGGAGAGGAAAGCCAGTAGCAGAACATTGTGCTTATAAAAGTCCCTTCAGCTACAAAAATGCTTGATGTGTGGGACGAGGGCTGGCCCAGAGCCCGTCGTGCTACTTCTCGCTTTACCTGTACAACCTGAGAGGGATTTGAAGCTAAGTTGATCATCAAACCCAGGAGGGGATAAAGGACATTTCCACATTCACAGCCCATGCACTGTTCCTGCAACCAAAACAGAGCTTTATCTTGACAGAGCCGGAAATTAAATTCATGTCTTTTTGCAGTTTTAGTGTCTACGGGAAAGGCTTGATTCACAGCTCATGCAACAAGATAGCAAAAAGAAGCTTAGACACAAACCGGCAGAATCAAAATTCACTGTGCAAGACGTCATACATAATTCAGCAATTTTCAAGGACAGCATTTGGGAGCCTGCCGGTGATGTAAAAGGTTATCATCTCCAAGCTTACCATGGCTTGAAGAGAGCATCTCCAAAATTCCTTGCGGCCCGCTAGGTTTTTGCTGATGGCATCATCCTGGGCTATGGTCCCGATGACAGAAATCACAGAAGCTAGCAACTTGGGGTCTGCTGTTGTGGTATTTGACTACTAGCACAAGGCAAAAACACTATTAGCCATGTCTATGTAATGATATAAAGTGGATGGTTATCCAAAAGTTGGTGTCAGCATTTATTTAAAAAAATTAATCATTTCCCAGCAGACACAAAGTCATACAACGTTAATATTTAGATTTAGGTCGCCAGTGTCAAAGGACAGTGTTATTTTGACATCCAATAATGACGTAAAAATGTTTTTAGATGAAAAGTGACCAAAATCCAACGTCGAGTCAACATCTTAAACCAACATCACTCTGACATCAAATACTGACATTCATTTGACAGGTATGGCTAGGGCTGGGCGATAAAAAAAAAAAAAAGATCACTATATCATGTTACATATCATTCGATATCGATAATTATTGATTTTTTTTAACAATACATTTAGGAATGTTAGAATTTTTTTAAACACTTCATTTAGTTCACTTCAAATAGTTTTAATAGTGAAAAACAAAAATATCTAAACAAATAATCTGATCTTTTTATAATAAATAAACATAAGTATTAAAAAGATTCTTAAATTTCTTAAATAAAATGTTACAAATTGTGTACAATGGTAGATCAACATCTGTAAGGTGTGAATAATAATGATACAGTAAATCTCAAACTCTGTCAACAACACAAATTATGATGATCAAATCTGAGCTTTCAATTAAAGGAACCAGCCATCATTATTCAAACACATACTGCCACATTTCAAATTGTGAAGTTAAATGACTACCACTTATTCTAAAAAATCTATCAGATGGGGTGCTAATAGCTGGGATGCACAGGAAAAGAAACCAAAAAGCCACACTAGCGACATCTTTTTTTTTTTCTCTTTACAATCTCCTCACTGCTGCTATACATGTACGGCACTCATTTTGCATAATGACAAACGAACAAATTATTGCTGCAGCTTCGAAGGAAGTTTATGGAGAAAAGTAAAAAGCACTGCAGTGTTTGGGTGCGCTGTGTTCGTCTAAGATAATTAGTCTGCCATTATTACTGAAATGTGTATATTCCATACAAAGTGTGAAGCAGATTGGTTAGTTGTACTTACATAAATCACGATGCCCTCGCCGCATTTGGAAAGGTTCAGATGTTTTTTAACTAGTGTACCAGGAAAATGCGACAAACTGACAACTTTGGTATTGCTTCCAAGCCGCGTGCTCAGCAGCAACACTTTCATAAAACTACAGCCTTCATACCAAAACCTTATACCAGACTTTTTATTATCAATATTGACAATGGTGTTCGTTCAATAAATACCGATATCGATTATATCGCCCAGCCCTAGGTATTGCAACCCAAATGCAACATCAGAGAGATGTCATATTGGTAACATCCAAACGACGGCAAGCCCTAAAATGATTAGATATTGATATTTTGATGTTTTTAGGTCGAGCTGAGTCTGTCCGACGTTTGACATTGACATCAACCTGATTTTCATTTCCAAACAAAGTGTAATGTCCCACGACATTGGCGTACAATGACAATCATGTTGATGTCCTGTGCCTAAAGGGTTTATTCAGGAAGGATGCATTAAATGCTTCAAAAGTGACACATAAAATATGTAATTTCCGATTCAAATAGGTACTCTTCTAAAATAGTTCTTGACCATAAAATTAGTATTTTAAAATAATGTGTGAAGGATCATGTGACACTGAAGACCGGAGAAATTGTTGCAAAAATCAACTTTGCAATTGCAGAATAAATAAGATTTTACAATGTATTGAAATAAACAACTTTGATCAAACAAATGCAGATATTTAAAAACAATATCATGTAATTCCTTTATTCATTTTCCTTTGGCTTGGCCAATATATATATATATATATGTTTGGACTGTGGGGGAAACCCATGCGAACATGAGGAAAACATGCAAACTCCAAGTAAAAATGCCAACTGATCCAGCCAGGAATCAAACCAGCAACTGAGCCACAGTGTCGCCCTATCATGTAATTAGTAATTCATAAATATAATCTTTATGAAGAGTAATAAATGATAACAGGAGGATTTTTAGAAACTACTATTATGAAAGAGAATATTCTGTACAACTCTCATGATTATTAATGACTCCTAGCTAATAGGCAGCTTATACTGCTGTGGTGACCCTGATGAAAAAAAAGGACTAAGCAAAAGAAAATTTCATGAATGATTGCTAGCTAATACTCATAATGATAATTCTCCCATTATTACCTCATGTAGTTCCAAACCCTCTTACAAAACTTTTAGTCATCTTCAAATATAATCAAATATAGTTTCTTTTGAATTCTCATTCAAGTATATTTATATTTAAAACTATTTTTATGAAGGGTAAGTAAATAATGATAAATTAATCACTTCAGAACGAACCCTTTAAAGAGGTTTAAAATGACTATGAATGATGTTTCATAATACATCACCAGCAGATCTTCAAGAGGAAGCGCAAAAATGGCTGTGAAGTTCTCCCTCGACTGAATCTGAAATCTTACAAACAACAATAAAAATAATTAAATACAGAAATCAGCAACATAAAGCAAATAAAAACCCAACAGACTCAGATAACCCTCATGAAGCAATGCAGTAACAGCCATGGGGGGGCAAAGATAAAAACACCTTTATAATGTAGTGTGCGCTGATCCAAGCAGATCTATGTATTTAAATCCCATGTTACTGACGCCCCGCATACAACACAAGACAAGACCAATAAGCCTAACCATCCTTATCTGGAAACAAGAGAGTGGCTTGAATTATCTGAACGCTCTTCATTGACTATCTATCAAACTGTTACGTCGTTCTCATTTCCTTTTGTGCATTAAGCGGCTGTTTAAATCCAGCTCCTGGTCGACACCAGCACCTTTCTCTATCTGCAAGCCGCTGAATGACTAGAAGCGAAGAGAGTCTGATCCCTCTCTCCAAGATAAATGGAAGGATTTGCGAATGTGATGGATTGTTTTGTCTTAAACCTGTTCACTTTGCGTACTCCAGAGACCGTGGAGCTGAATGAATTTGAATGTGTCTCGATTTAATACGCGCGACTATGATGTATGGGAATCTAATGGTCTCTCGGGTGGGTCGTGCCCACGATTGCGGAAAAAAAACATTCAGTTTCGCAGTCTCTGTGCTGGGCATTCATCAGCTTCATTTGAAAACAGGGCATGGGATTTGGTGTGGGCACATGTATTGATTGTTGCATACTTCTTTTCTGAAGCCAAGTTCTCCAGGAGTGTCAGCGGTGACAGGGAGCTTGTATTGCGGCACACACAGATCATCAGGTTCTCTGCCATTCTACAGGGGACAGAATGCATTCATTATGGGCTCATTAAGAGGACTTTAATAAAACATGCTATAACAGTAGGAGGCCTTCTGCATGCAGGCTAATGAGATGAATCATAGATATTGCAGGAACACCATACTTAAATCTGTCTCATGCTCTGCTCTGTAAACAGCATTTCTGAGATGAAACTGACATTGATATCAACTGAAATAAAGAATTCAAATATATAAAAGGCAATTTGTTTATTTTTTATTTATACGCAAGTAAACAAATAAATTATGCCGTTTAACCCATACTGTATATTATGTTGAGAGCCAATTTATAATACAATAGAATTGGGTATTCATATATATATATATATATATATATATATATAATATTATATATTATATATATATAAATACCCAATTCTGTTGTATTATAAATTGGCTTGAAAATTAAAAAATTTATATTACTTGAAATTTTTCAAGACACTTCTATACAGCTTAAAGTGACATTTAAAGGCTTAACTAGGGTAATAAGGTGCACTAGGCAGGTTAGGGTAATTAGTCAAATTATTGTATGATGATGGTTTGTTTTGTAGACTATCCAAAAAAGAATTAGCTTAAAAGGGCTAATAATTTTGTCCCAAAAATGTTTTTAAAAAAATTAATAACTACTTTTATTCTAGCCGAAATAAAACAAATAAGACTTTCTCCAGAAGAAAAAATATTATCAGACATACTGTAAAAATGTCATTGCTCTGTTAAACATCATTTGGGAAATATTTAAAAAAGAAAATCAAAATCAAAAGGGGGCTAATAATTCTGACTTCAACTGTATATATATAATTTTTTTTATTTCTTTTGTGCCAATTCCTCATGTGCAGTTTGGCTTGTGGCACTATAATTATAACAATGATGTTTGTGGGTCATTTTAACACAATTTTGTAGTAAATTAAGCTGCAGGCAAAATATAACTTTTAATGTTATGTTCTCAACTAGCCTCTAGGGCTATTAAATACAGCCGAAGACAAATTGATTAGCCCTGCTGTAACATAAACATTTTAATGACTAAAGAATGATAATTAATAATAAGTAATTGCTTTCATATTTTCCATAATGACAGTACATAGGATTTTATTTTTGCAAGATACTAGTATTCAACTTAAAGTGCATTTTAAATTTGAATACAGAATACATATTTTAAGTAAAATAATCTGGTTTTTGCTTTGAAATATATATTTATATTTGGACTAGAAACGAGACAAAAAAACAAAACGTAAGAAAACCTTTTTTTTTATAAATCCTATAAATTCCATATAAATACAGTAGTTCAATTCAGTCTTGTAGCTCCTGGGCAATTTAGCATTGAATATCTTGCAATGTAACTATTGCAGATGTACAAAATACGATATTGAGGCTGATACGATATATTGTGCAGCTCTAGTTTAGGTTTTAAATGTACACAATAACTATTTGCATTACTTAGTTGAATATTTAGCCCTCATATTAACATATACATCATATATTCCAAAACAAAAACAAATATGAGAACTTTTTGTTTATTTTAAAATGAAAATCTTTACTTTAAAGGGGTCATCTACTATCATATTTTAAACTTTAGTTGATGTGTAGTGTAGCTGTGTGAACATAAACAACATCTCTAAAAGTATTACGCTTAAAGTTCAATGCAAAGGGAGACATTGGCTTTTACATAGCTGGATTAGCAAAGCCTACACCGAATGAAGTTTGGGGACTACAAAAGAATCCGGGTTAGTAGGATTACAAATGCTTCATGTTACATGCATTCACCACGTTCACACACCCCGCGCAGCGAAGAGGTGTGGCAAAATGCAATGTAATGTTATTGCAGACAAAGCTAAAATGCCATCTAAACGCTGCTATTTCCACAGAGCTTGTTCTGTTTCTGTATTTAGGCTTCCAAAGGACACGACACAAAGAGAGAAGTTATGTTCTATTATGTTCCAGATCATTACAAAAAATATAAAGCTAGTATTTGACAAAGGATAGCTTCCAGAATATTTCCCAGTTCAGTGCTGGATTCAGCTAAAAACTCCTCAAAGAAGGAGCAGCTCCAACCATAATAGACGAAGCTGTGGATTGTGAGTCACAACTTGTAAGTATTTTTTTTTATATAAAATTAATGTATTACATGCATAGTGTCTAGCGTTAATGGTATGTTGTAGAAAGGATGTAAACAAGGATGTAAACAACAGGAAATGATGTTTAGCATTGTTAAATATTTAGCTACAAATTCATATTTATCCATCAAACCGCTGTAAACACCCACAATTTACACCAGCACTGCAGTGTCTCTATATGCAGCCATTTTCCCTGCGTTCTTCAATTAAAATAACAAACTCACAAACTCAGATTTTTCTAAATATATGTGATGTTTTCCAATAAAAATTACTGATTTTGTGGCACAAAATGCCCAATTCGCGCCAAAGGATGTCTAATCCCATCTTTGTATTGACTTCACATGTAAATCCCTCATGCTTCACCCGCATCTGCTTATTGCACAGGCTGCAAAACATTTCCCCTCTCTCTCATGTATTGCAATGATTCTGAGGGCGCAGATGAGACGTCATTTTTCGAGATGCACTCAAATACATCACGTGCGCTGCATATGCAGTGTTTATAAGTCATTTAAAACAAGAACGGACATTGTGATGTTTCAAGTGTCCTTGAAAAAGACGTGATAGTGTCATTAGAAACTGAATTGGAAATTACGTTATTTTAATATAGTCAGTCGTGAACTGAGGTAGGCCGGTCTAAGGCTTGGAACTTCAGGGCTGAAAAGGACTCCCACTCCGGCCCTTACCCTAACCTAAACGTAGTACAATTTACTGCTACATCCAACTTTACCATTTATCTATAATTTTCTTAAATTTCAGCAACGTGGCATCTAGTTTCACAAAATTAGCCGTAAATTTGAACTATACATAAGTTCAAACTGCTCATTCAGCTCATGTTTTCTGTTTTATAATAAATAATTAATTTATGGCACATCATCATCATCATCGATATGACCTCAAAAACACATACTGTTGTGAATCCAGGTTGTGGATGATCAGCTCTCTACCGTGCTGAGTTTGTGCAAACATGCTGAGCAACTGCAGGCTTTCAGTGTGTATTTCATGAAAGGGCGAAGCCAACAGCTGGACCATGTGTTGTCTAGCGCTGGAACACTCCATCAACAGCTGCTGGTTTTGCTCTGGAAGGAACACAATTATGGAGAGGCTTTAATAAAGACAAATGCAGATTTAGTTGACCAGTTAATGAGATTTTACTGAAGGACACAGAGCACTTACTAAAGAGATTTTAATGTGAAAGGTAATGACAATTTCACTACTAGCAGGAAACAGGAGGATAAATTGATATCGACTTGGATTTAGACAATTTCACGAATCCTCATTACTTTGGGTGAAAAGCAGAACTATTGATGTATTTAAGAGAGAGGTGGGTTTAAGAGGGAAAAAAACATCAATGTGTAAATGGGATTGCTACTTTTTCCTCAGCACAGCATCTTTCATTTTCAAGGTCTTTGATTAAGATTCATTTGCTCACGTGCTGATTTTCATCTTACCATTTCCACTGCAAACTACCCTCCACAGTTTGATGAGGGACCTGCATAGATCCACCGCATTTGGGTCTTTTGAATTCTGTGAGAGGCAGCTGAATACAGGAAGGAGAAAAATGAGATACAGTAAATGCACTTCAGTCACACACTGAAGACTAAACAGAGTTAAGTGTGAGTTAAAATAAAATAAAAATTCTGTTTCTTACTCATCCAAATGTTATTCCAAACCCATCTCATCTTTAGGGTTTGGTGTCTTTAAGTCAAATTTAAGACTTTTTCAGACCCTTGTAAGACCATTGAGAATGAAATTTTAGACTTATACAGGGCTAAACACTAAGGATTTTTTCTAATGACCCAGTTACTTCATTAAATAGTTTTTTTTTTTTTTTATTAATGGAAGATCATGTTAAGGGATGGATTTCATTGCTTAGGGAATTTAATTAGGAGAATTTGCTGTACATGTCTAACAGCAGTTGGGATTTGCAAAAAAAAATATATATATATATATTTATAGTTTTAAGATGTATTTTTGGTGATTGGGTAGCTTTACTTGGACATATGAAAATTAAGAACTGTTTAACATGACTTAAGACCAGCAACAAAATATTTAAGTTAATTTAAGACTTTTTAAGGACTAAAATTTTGTTTTTAAAATTTAAGACATGTTAAGACTCTTTAAGATCCCACAGACACCCTGATCAAAGATGCACAATTTATTGCACAAATTAATATATTGTAATTGAATGAGATAGTTCAGTCCCTCAATTGAAAAAAAATATTCACCAAAAACTCTAAAAACTTATATAATTACAAACAAAAATCATCACATCAATCCAGCAGTTTTGGTTCTGAAGTATTATTAATAGACATAATGGGCCTCATTCACTCATAATTGCATGTTTTTGTATTTCCATGCACATTTGTGCTTCTCACAAAACATTCCACTTTCCATCCATAACATATAACATAAATATATGTAGGGTTCTTAATACATGCTTATAAGGGGCCCTGTCCATACACTGTTATCATCTACCTGCGGTACACAATGTGTTCTTGTGTTTCTGAATTTTTCGTACATTTAGAATAATTTTTTAGTACAAAAGTTTTTGATTGATTTATTCATAACATTTATTTATATATCATAATTTATTTGTGAAAACATCCGTATCCACATTTCATGCAAAAATGTGCATGTTGGCATGTTCTGTGATTTTAACGAGACACAATGAGACAGTGGTTTTATGATAAATTTTAACAGATTTTTTCATGCTGTTTAGCCTTATAATCTTAAAATGTAAACAAAATCACCTGTTTTGTCATTACTTTAGATATTATGCTAGAAAATTGTTCAAATACTAGCTCTAAAGTGACATTGGTGAATGAGCAATGGTTTCTGCTGTTCTGACGTCAGCTGCAGATGTGAATGAGTGGCAGAAGAAAGTACTGTAGTTCCTCATACAAAAGGGTTTTTAGACTCTCCGGGTTTGATTTCTTTTAATATACACATGATTGAACAGTTGTATAAACGCTATGAATAAGGCATTCATATATATATATATATATATATATATATATATATATATATATACCATTAAATGAGTAGACTGATTTGTTAAAAAACCAAACATAGCATTGCTCCACTAAGATACTTTATTTTTATTTAAAATATTTCCATTAGCAAAACACAAAAAAACAAGTGTGCCTAATAATGTGTCTGCCATATAACTTAATGTTAATAACTTCTTTGTTAGAATGCTGAATAAAATCAATATTATATTTGTGCTGGTGTTTACATGCTGGAAATTAGCATGTGTTCCTTGTTTCCAATTATAAGAAAAACTATACAGACTTTTGCTTTCATAACATGAATAAAAGTTGTATTTCATTCATTTTAACAGGCAATTATTGCTTTTGAATCCTCAAGGTGTGTTTTTCACAATTTATGGGACATATTGTGAGCTTATGCATCAATAAACGATTATGAAATTATGATATGCATCACAGACAAACAAAAAAAAATCCAAACCTCATTAATAAAGAGTATACTACATACACAATATTAAAATTACATATCTGTATACATATCTGGCAAAAAAAGTGGAGGATTTTCCTATTTTTTGAACTATCGATTTAATAAACAGGCATGTTTAAAAGATGAGAGACCACATGTGTGCAAACTGTATGAAACAAACACAGCAAATTCCCAGAACAAACCAATCAATCATTGTCAAACACAGATAAACCCCTTCAATTTCATTCTGCTGTTGGAAAGGTAAATTCCAGCACGAGACATGATGGCACAGCAGAGCCAGATTACACATCTGCTGTTTAAATGTATTCAAATTAGTCAATTAACTTTAACAGCATATTTGGTCGGAGCAAGACAACCGACAAGGGAGAGGATGACTCCTGATAAATGTTGAAGATGCAATCAATCATACTATATCTGGATTATGCATGCTTGCATTATAATACTAAAGTAAGTACTACGCACCCGTGTATAAGAAACCCTCCACATTTTTTGAAAATATGCTCATTTTAAAACTACCCTAGAGTTAAACAGTTGAGTTTTACCATTTGTGAATCCATTCTCTGGGTCTGGAAAACGCTTAGCTTAGCTTAGCATAGATCATTAAATCAGATTAGACGATTAGCATCTTGATTAAAATGTTCAAAAAAAAAGAGTTAAATAATTTCGGATAAGTAAAAGAATTTAGGATAATAATCCTATTTAAAGCACGACTCATTCATTCATTCATTCTCTTTGGGTTTATTTATCAGGGGTTGCCACAGTGGAATGACCCGCCAACTATTTCAGCATGTCTTACCACAGAGATGCCCTTCCAGCTGCAACCTAGAACTGGGAAAAAAAAGCTTGACTTCTCTTTAGTTTTGTTGTGTGTTAAGACTGACAGAAAATTAAAAGTTACTATTTTCTACGCTGATATGGCTTGCCTACCAAGGCTGCAGCAAGTGCAATGATATTACGCAATGCCTGAAAAGAGTCCCCAGCACCAAGTCCTACACCTAGACTATAAATTAGAATGATGATTATTCCTTGATTATTACTCCAGAATGATATTTATATAGTTCCTAGCCATATTGGGCACTATAAATTTGATAACTTTTCTAATTCTAGCAGTCTTAGTGTATTATGTAAATACAGAACAGTAAAAGCTTTAAATAGGAAAATTATCAAAACACTGATCATTTTCAGATCATCCACCAAAAGAGCCCCTCAATTTAATTTTAAAAATTGTTTAAAAACCTTTATAAACAACTCTAATACAGTGGAAATATAGAGACTATTTCACCCTGTCGACAGAGATGACACCTTTTATTCTCAAGTCCACAATGTATATACTCACATAGATTACTTTTTGGTAGAAAATAAATTAATCTCTAATGTGGTGGATAACAAAATACATGATATACTAATGTCTGATCTAGACATGGGACAATAACTGGTTTCAAGGTATACCGCGGTTTGGAAAGGTCAAGGTTTTTAAACCGTCAACATTTTCTGCTATACCATTCCTTAGGTATGAGTTTTTGAGATTTTTTATATAAATTCTTTTTTTTCTTGTTTGTTTGTTTTAGGACAGCAGTATCCTCAGCAGAAAAGATCTCCAAAGATGTCAGGTTAAATTGTAAATTAATCTGTGTTTTTGAAACAAATTACGACAGCAGAAGTCTAAGATTCATTTAAAATATTTAGCCTGACATTTTTGCTGCTCTAAAATATTTTAAATATTTCCCAAATAAAAATATATTGTGTTCAAAAGGGAAAAAATGTTTTGTTTTTTACCCAGACATTTAAAAATGTTATATTTTAGAGCAGAAATCACAATACCATGATACTGTGATATTTATATCCAAGGTTATCAAGGTTATATACCAGCCCTTGCCTAGTTGATCACACATTAAAAAATATCCTTAACGATTTAACATCCTTGCCTCTTGTGTGAATGGATCTTATTAGTTAATGTCCCTACATTTTATATTTTACATTTTATTTTATTTTACCTGCTTCTACAATTGGAATTATTTTTTGAAAGTAATAATACTGCTGAATTTTCGCCAGGTTTATTGTGGGAAACACTTAAAGCCTTTTTAAGGGGTTGTGTAATCTCCTACCTAGGGTCTAGAAATAAGTTGTATAAATCTAAACTTTCCAAATTTGGGGAAACAAATTCATCAGTTAGATAATGAAAATGCTTAAAATCCCTTATCAGAAACATAAAAAAAGATTTAAAAATTAAAAACACTGATCATTTTTGAGCAAAATGCTAATGGTCTAATCAGATGCAATGATCTATGGTAAAAGTGGAGATTGGCTGAATGCATTTAAAAATGATCTTACTTTACATTTTAACTCAAGGGGACTTGTCAAATTAGCCTATTTTCAAAAAAAATTGTGGAGTGTTCCTTTAAATACATCTTCAGGGAGACCGCATTTTAAAGTACATTCTGATTACAAACTGTCAGGCACACTTCTTTAGCAACCTTACCTTCTTACAGTGATATTGCCGTTAATGATACTGAAGCCATTGTTTAATCTGAATAAAGTCTGGCCAGAACCTGTGAGGGACACCAGATAAGGTCAGAGTCAGTAGGTGTGCAGTGAGAGCCATATATCAACACTAAATCACAGTAACCAGACTCAGACACACAATACGCTTCGCTCAAGGGCAAAAGAACGCACGAGGAGAATAAACAAAAGCTCATCAAGACTGAGGGAACACTGCCTTATCTACACAAAAGCAGTGTTCATTCTGTGGAAATAGTAGAAATTAGTTTACAAAGAGCCATTCAGGGATCTCACCTGAGCAAAACATCGGCTTTCTGTTTTGGAGAGCTTTCAAGATTACACTCAACAATGTGCAGGCTCATATTTTACCCTTGCAGAATACTTCTGGCACTTTAGAAAGCTTAAAAAAAAATAGTTTTTTTTTTTTTTTTTTTTTTTTTTTAGAAAAGACTGCTAAGTGTTAAGTAGCTAAAAGTTAGATTAAGAATCAAGTTTTTATAAGATTACCTTTTGGACTGGAAGGTTAATGTTAAAGTGTGTTTCACTAGATTACAAAACGCATGCTTTGAAAAGTAATTTGTAACATGTTATGGTAAGTTAAAGTCAGCATGAACATTTTTGTTTTGTTTTTTCAGATTGTGACACAGTTCCTAACAATATTAAATGAGAAAACAGTGGACATGGCTTGCTTTTTCAACTGCGAGCTGATTGGATTTAGTAAAGTAGGCATTTTATTATAAAGGATCAGGAAAAGAGTTTCAGAAAAATTTATTACAACCTAACATACACCTCCCCCCTTGCCATTTCTGTTTGTTTTCATATCACTCAAAATGGACAGTTGGAGGGGTGTGCTTACCATCCTTAACCATACCTCAGACAGATGTAATCTGAGAATTTAACAGAAAACAAACAGATTCAGATTTATTTCAGAGAACAAGGGCAATTTTTTTTTTCTTAATGACATGCACAAAACTAGAAATGTGAGCTAAGAAAATCAATATGGTTAGTTTTGATTTTATGTGTACTTTAAGTAGTAACAATACTTTGCAATACTACAGGAAAACAAGCTGCATCCCAAATTGTTATAACTATGCACTATTCTACACTATTTTGTATTGTATAGTGTAAAGTAACAAGTTTACACAGATTATTCTAAAAAGAGTTTGTGCATTTCGAATGTCTGGATAATGTACTTATTAAACCAATAAAAAAAAGTCTAGATTGTTAAACCCTTCATGCACTCAGTGGTCACAGATTTGATCGTGTTGCGGAAGATTAAGAGGTATCAGGGCAAAGTTTATGGGGTGGTAATCATCAAGTTAAAATTTTAGTATAATTATAATGCCTTTGAAATTTATTTATTTATTTATTTATTTATTTATCATTTTACATTTTACAACAACCTACAAAACAATCAAAATCTGAAAAAACTAAAAATTAAAACAGTAAAAATAAACAATAATTAAAATAAAAATAATAAACAACAATAATAATAAATACAAATACAGAGAAAAATTATAATAAATTAATAAAAATTAATAATAACCAACCATATACATACATACACATATACCTTCACTCAATCCACATCTAAGATTTTTAAATCATTAAATAATGCAAAATTGTTTCCATTTTTCCAAAAACTGTTTTCCTCTCTGATATTGTATTTAATTCTCTAAAGTTTTTAAAAAAAAGGCCCAAATCTTTGAGCCACAATGTAATAGAAGCGGTTGTGGGGAGGTCCAAGACAACAGTATTCTGCGCTTAGCAAGAAGAGAAACAAAAGGTAAAGGAGGTGGGTCTTTTTTTTCTTAAAAAGTGGACTTTTTTGTAGTTATATGCCTCATTTTCTATTTAATTATGGGATTTATTGCATTTTAGTGACATTCTAAGCATTATTTTTAGCTGAATTTGCTTGTCGGGTGGTCATCAAAACCAAACTTTTTGATATGCCAAAAATATTTCCTAAAGATTTATATTAAAGAAATGCAAAATAATAATGACTTTTAAATACATATTTATTACATCATATATTATTATTTTAAAAAAAGAAATCTGTTAAAGTTTTCAACTAGCAACTGTACTGTCATTTATTAGGCAAATAACAAACTTGCTAGCACATTCAACTTTCCTCAGTCAGAATTTGGTTACTTAAAAATATATATTTTTAAATTTAATAACAATTTATAATAATTTATAATAATGCAGAGCTTCACAATTTTTCTGGCCTCTCTTGTAAAAAAAGTACATTTGAAAATTTATGGATTCATTTTGCTACTTTAACTGTATCCAAAATAGTATGGTTCGCTTTTGGTGCGTCACATTTTTTTATTGCTCCCTTTTTGTTTCAAGAATAAGGTCTAAGATTTAGAATAAAAGTTACCTGTAAGATATTTTCTCTATTTAAAAAGCAATGCAGTAGCGAAAGATGACTTCTCTTTTTGTCAGATTGTAAAATGAAATTATTTGTTAGATCGGCCAAAACTGATTAGCTGAATTCACACCAAAGCGACAGCCAACAGAGGATTCTGCTTGGTCCTAAAGCCTTTTTTGATTAATTATTTTCACTATTTTTGATGGCAGAGCAGTCAATATAGGACAAATGAGCTCATGTATGTGACAAATTCTGATCCTTTGTCAGTCTTGTGAACCCCCCCTGGCTACGGGCCTGTTAAAATATGTAGAGATATTGAAAAAAAAAACAAAGAATCTACTGGACCTACAGGATTTTTCTGCAAAACAGATGACAGTTTATCTGCTCAGGACAAACAAGAGACTCACAAACCACAATCGAAACTCATAAAAAAAGTCATTTATCATCCAGGTAATGACATGCCATTAAGATTTAATGCTATGTACAGTTTTTAATTTTTATTATGTATTGTGGCGTGTACTGCACGCAAACATCTGTTGTGTAAAATTACTTATTTAGGACAGCAATAAAGATAAATAACATGTCTATTTTATGGCCTCTTATTTTGATAATATTATAAACATGTATATGCTACAAGGGCAATGTAGGCAGATTAGATGTCAGATCCTCTGAAGTCAACAGAAGCTTTACATATCCTGCACTGCATTCTTTTTTCAATGTTTGAAGTAAATTCATCAATGTATTTCTATAACTGTTCCAACATTCTAATTTGAACTTTATTTTTTCCTAACTGTCATTTGAACTATCAAACATACCATTTACATTCATTGGCAGATATAGATTTCAATAATGCTTCAATTAAACAAATGACAAGAGTTCAAAGTTATCATGACTTTGATTATCCCAGATTTATAAAGTAATGGTAATGAAATACAATTAATAACAGTTATTTAAGTACAATCTTTTTTTATATATTCAAAGTTTTGTTACTCCCCAGCCCTGAAAAAGAAGCATACACAGAAGAGACCGAGCCAGCTGTCAAAGATATATACACATAGATGCCTCATTAGCGACTGTTTTTATGGGCCACAATACGCAAGCCTCCTACAATACCGGAACAGTCAAAGTCAGTCCATGTAAACTCCAGAGCAAGTTGACTGTGTGTCTAAAACAGTAGTTATACACACATACAAATATCTCTAAGTGCAACAGACTTTGGCAGATGAGCTTGCTATAATAACACGTTAGATAACACAACATTAAAAAGCTACCATCATTTTTAAAGACTGTATTATTTAGTTCAATGCTAGAAATACACTAACACTGTGAAAATTTACCACGATACACTCAATTTAAATCTCAGCGGTTGTTACAAGCAGAAGCTGCACGATGTTGTGGCTTTTGGAAAACTCATTAATTTTATCATGAGTGACAGAATGTTAACCTGAAAATGACAGAAGCATCTACATGTCTAAAGCAAGTGAAAGTGGCATCCACATATACTTATTCTTCTTATTTGGCCATGATTAAATCCAACGTTAGACTCCCAGTCTAGTTATTTCTAAAACCACAAAGACCATTTTGCTACATGATATTGCAAACTATACTATTTTTAATGTGATGTCTTAATTTCAAACACATAATATTATTACAGTTTAATAATCTTCAGTTATTTTAATCAATTTATTTCCCTATATTGGCAAATGAATCAAGTCTTTTCCAAGTGGATGCATGTCCATTTAAGTCTTTTTTGATAAATTTTGGTAATTTTACTATTTCAGAGGTTTGAGGTCTAATTGATTGACTGTCTGAAAAAATAATACTTTTATTTATTACATTTATTACATGCTTCTATGTGAAATTAATTGTGTTTATATCAAAATCCCTGTATTTTGGTTTTCACAAAAATATTAAGCAGCACTATTTTTAAAAGTGATAATATAAAGAAATATTTTTTAATCATTTTTAGAAGGTTTATGTGACACAAAAGACAAGTGTCAGGTTTCTGTCTTTTCTGTCTGGTTAATGCTTAGCTTAGAACCCTGACACTGCCCTTGTTTTGTCATCTTGTGAGTAGATTACATGAGTTTAAAAAGTACTGATCATTCATTTACAAAAGCAAGCTGTTTTGTTTTTGGGAGAGTAGTTTAATAATGTAAACCCTTTACAGTTTTAAAAAATGTCCTGTACATACCTGTACAACAAAAATATGTGTTTCATTCAGTATTATCGCAGATCTTGCCTTGTGATGATGTTTTGAAGACTGCATCTAAAATTATTTAAATGCCAAATAAGATATATAGCTTAATATGCTTTTGTACATTATAAAAGAGGCTGGGATATCTGATACTTTAGTAGTCAATGTAACTAGTTAAATTTGCAGAAAGTATGAGATTTAAGGATAGCGGAGATGCATTCATGTTGTCAAATGTAAATGAAACAGTTTCCAGAAATCAGATAGCTATCCAATCAGAAAAAACAGGCCCTTAGTCAAACTACACCCATTCATTTTGTTAATTTTCCTCATCTGTCCTCCTCAGTTTGGGCTTTGTCTGCTCCCCTATTCTCCTTGTGTGCTCTGCCCCTCGCCGATTTGTTTACTGATGTGATGTGTCATCTGTTTTACTGTTGTCTGTTATTTTTACTTTAAATGACTGTTAACCCTACCATGTGTTTTTGTATATTCCAGACATGTAGACTCTTATTTCAGTTTTGTGTTGTTTTTTGTATATTATATATATTATTTTAGTTTTGCTAAAATGCAATTTTTACTGTATTTTTGGTCTGTTTTTTCCAAACTCTTCAAAAAAAACTATAATTATGATCAATTTTAACATAATTTTAAATTCATTAAAATGTATTAAAAGTTACACAGTAAATTTATATTATATTAATTATATTATATTATATTATATTATATATTTTTTCTCTTAAGCTTATTCCCTTTATTAATATGTGGTTGCCACAGCGGAATAAACCACCAGCTTATCCAGCATATGTTTTACGCAGCGGATGCCCTTCCAGCTGCAACCCATCACTGGGAAACACCCATGTACTCTCATTCATACACATACATAACAAACAATTTAGCTTATATAATTCATTTATAGCACATGTCTTTGGCCTGTGGGGGACACCAGAGAACCCGGAGGAAATGCACATGAACACGGGGAGAACATGCACACAGAAATACCAATTGACCCAGTCGGGGCTCAAACCAGCAACCTTCTTGCTGTGAGACGATCATGCTACCCACTGCGCCATTATATTATATTATATTATATTATATTATATTATATTATATTATATTATATTATATTATATTATATTATATTATATTATATTATATTGTATTATAATATATTATATTATATTATATTATATTATATTATATTATATTATATTATATTTTAACTGTTACAATTTGTTGAAACAAAAATGTTCAATGTGCTCTTATATAATAGTATTATTACTTGCCTGAGATAAATCGCTAAGGTATATTAATTATTATAAAATACTCCTTTCGTAAGGTGTGAAAGCCACCCCTGCACTCCCTTATATTATATTTTTGTCACAATCTAAACGGTCAAAAGGTTTTTCTGCACAGCTCTGTTCAGTGGCATATTGACACAAGCCCAGACCTGAGCAGACACAAACTGAAAGGTAATGTTCGCGTTCACTAACAAAGCCAAAAAGCCCTGTGCTTGTGCTTGCGATAGGACTGCGTCTGTCCTCTGTGGCTGATCATGAGGATTAGTTTCCTCATCATGAACTGCAAATGAACCGCAGAGCAGAATCAATGAGCCCTCCGCACAAAATTCCTCACTCCTCTCCTCTCCATATCGATCCTGAGTGCAAGAAATATCGCCCTGGTCACTGGAACAACACTAGGTAAACCGAAGGCATATTTCACACAAATCTGAGTCTCAGCGCTGCTGTAAACATTTGTTCATCCAACCAAAAACAGCTGGAGTGCTGTGACAATTCACAGAGTAAATAAGAAAACAACAACAACAAAAAATGAATGAATCATGTGAACTTACAATCTTTAATAGCCTTTGAGAGCAGCTCCAGTCCACCACAGTAGTAAAGATTGATCTCATTGGGCCTTTCCAGCTTTTTCAGCAAGTCTGCTATATTCGTGGCCTGCCCTGTTCCCTCCTGTAGCTCTTCCCAAGCTGCTTTTTCCTGAAGCGTCACTTTCTCTTCCATATCCACTCGTCTCAGATAAGCTATTGCAATGTAATATGTGAATGTGACAGCTTCATGAACAACATTTCTTATTGAACATTCATGTGGAAATATTCAATTAAAACGCATGGAATAGGAATCCATAATGTCATTATTCCTCTGGAAAAGTTCAAAATGAATGTAAATGAGCAATTAATGCTGTAAAAACTGCTAGTGTAAGCATGTGAGCACTTTCTAAAAGCAAATGTGCTGGGGGGGACAAAAGCAATGTGTGAGTGAGACTCGTAAGTTAATTGAGCTCATTCTGGTACACTGGGAAAAAATGGTACAGTAATTTCCAGCTTGCAATATACATTTTTTATCATTTCATGTCATACAATGGATGAATTCATATTAATCAAACTGTGTGTGCTGATAATGGTCTATCCACATATTTTAATTGTAATATTGGAGTTTCTCAGGGCTTCGTTTTGGACCCTATTTTGTTTAGTCGGCGAATGAAAAATTTGCCTTCAGTTTGTCCTTCTGCCAACATTGAATGTGCACTAATGACAAACTTCTTTGTGTGCATACGAATTTATGTTTCTGAATAATTAAGTAACTCTTATTTCAACACAATCTCACAGCAATTCATAATTTTTTGATTTAGTGGCTAATTCGTATAAATTCCTACGATCTCATTCGTGATTTAGTCATTTAGCACGATCGTAATTTAGTATGATTTGCTTTTCCCCTAATGATGGTTGGGTTTAGGGGTGGGTTTGGGTGCCATGCCTTCTTTTAAAATCATAAATGTTCATACGACTGAAGTTGTACAGATTAGCCAGTAAACTAACAAGATGTAAAATAGTTACTGTAGGAGCCATTTGCTTATTTTATTTTTAGAGGTTTGTGTTGATAATCTTGATTTCTTTCATTTTGGAGATATGCACCCCCTGCAGGCCAGCTTAAACGGCCTGGGTGTTGCCAACTGGAGAAGGGGCCTGCTGGGAGCACATGGTCTTTAGACCTTACCTTCTGTGTTTGGTGGCCAAAGTCGTTTGATTTCTTTAATTCATATCAGTTTATTTTATTCAAACTAACTCTACAATTAACAGCCACAAATGAAGATTTATCATTCCATGTATTATTTTCTAAGGAAGTGTCTAAACCCCTCAGCAGACCCAAGATGTGACTAATTTGAATAGTCACAAATTCAGATAGAAACAATAGTTGCGTTTTCTTGTGAAATCAGGCAGCATGTTTACATGTGATCAAAACTGCTGACTGTTGTAAATGTTGGTTTCAGTAAATAGATTGTAAATGGGGGGACAGAAATGACTAATTTCTGTATAGCACAATTTGCTTCTCCCCCAATGGCAGTAGGGTTTAGGGGTTGGGTGCCATGCCTCCTTTTCAAAATCTTACATTTTCATATGTCTAAAGTTGTACGAATTAGCCACTAAACTGACAAAACGTAAAATAGTTACGCTTTCTTTTGAAATCAGGCTGCTTGTCTACATGTGAACAAAACTGTTGACTGGTGTAAATGTTGGTTTGAGTAAATAGATTGTAAATGGGTGGACAGAAATTGCTAAGATATGACTAAAAAACATCTTCATTTGTTTTTTGGATTTGGAATGACATAAAGGGTGAGAAAATGATGACAGAATTTTATATTAAAATTTCAAACCTTAACTGATCGATTTGGCCCACTTACCGTAACTAAAATACATCAGACAGATGCTCAAGGCTAACAACAACAATGTTGATCCTTCTTTGGTATTAAAACATGGATCTAAAGTACATTGACCTTGCTTTCACTTTTCCTCAGAACTTCACAGCATTTTTGGTTCATACCTTTGACCATGGTCTCCCGCTGTGGCTCTATCTCCAAAATTTTTCGATAGCAAATCCTGGACTGAAAGAGAAACAGGACAAAAAGAGGGAGTTCAAATAAGGTGAGAAAATACAGTAAGTGTAATCCAGCTTTATACTTGAAGGGATAAAGGAACTTCTACTGAATCATACTCACTTGTGTGAAATCCTTGAGTGCTAGGTGAGATGTCCCCATATGTATAAATGCTTTAATACATTTTTCATTGCACTGTGAATGAGAGTTTTATTTGTTAAAAGGCCACTCAAAAAAATTACAGCAATTGAGTAAAGTGGTGAAACATTATCAAGTACTTTTTGACATTTCTAAGTAGTTTGGAGTAATCATACTATTTGTTAGAAACTATTAGGAATGCACTGATTTGGGAAATTTGCCCAATGCAGATAATTCATAATATTTAATAATGATATGCAGGAAAAAATTCTTGCATTTAGTCTATTTTTTAAAACCCACATAGCCAGAAGGAGTAATAATCCATAATTTATCAGCAGATAATTAATTTCTTGAAGGGATAGTTCAGCTAAAGTTTCAACCAAATTCAAAAACTTTTTTTGCTATTATATGAGTTTCTTTTTTGTGTTGAACACCAAACTTCCATAACCTCCATGGTCATTTTTACCTAATAGGAAAGTCGATGGGTGCCAGCAACCAGCACTTTTCCAAAAAATCTTTTTTTGTGTTCAACAGAAGAAAGAAACTCTAGTGAAGTTTTCATTTTTAAGTGAAATATCCCTTTAAAACCCTGCCCGGCAGCATGCATCTGAAGTGCAGAAATAATCCATGATTTATCAACAGATTTTTTTTTCTAATAAAACCCTCATGGAAAACAGCAAGCATTTGCAGCAAGTGCAGAAGTAATTCATCATACCTTAATGGCAATTTATTCCGTATACATATACACACGCACATTTCTCGATCACATAGCAGCAACTCAAAGCATTTAGGCATGTAGACATGGTCAAGATGATCTGCTGCAGTACAAACTGAGCATCAAAATGAGGAAGAAAGGGGTTTTCTGTGACTTTGGACGTGGTTGTAGGTGCCAGACAGGCTGGTCTGAGTATTTCAGAAGCTGCTGATCTACTGGGATTTTCACGCACAACTATCTCTAGGGTTTACAGAGAATGGTATGAAAAAGAGAAAATATCCAGTGAGCAGCAGTTCTGTGGGAGAAAATGCTTTGTTAATGCCAGAGGTCAGAGGAGAATGGTCAGACTGGTTCCAGCTGATAGAAAGGCAACAGTAACTAAACTAAATACCCACTCGTTACAATCGAGTTATGCAGAAGAGCATCTCTGAATGCACAACATGTCCAACCTTGAGGCAGATGGGCTACAGCAGCAGAAGACCACACCGGGTGCCACTCCTGTCAGCTAAGAAATTGAAATTGAGGCTACAATTTGCACAGGCTCACCAAAATAGGACAATAGAAGATTGGAAAAATGTATCTCGGTTGTAACGAGTGATCATTTGATTTACTGTTGCAAATCCATCAGCTGAAACCCGCCTGACCATTTTTCCTTGGCATCAACAAGGCATTTGTGCCAACAGAACTGCTGCTCACTGGATATTTTCTCTTTTTTGCACCATTCTCTGTAAACCCTAGAGATAAGTGCATGAAAATACCAGTAGATCAGCAGTTTCTGAAATACTCAGACCAGGCCGTCTGGCACCTACAACCATGCCACGTTCAGAGTCACTTAAATCCCCTTTCTTCCCCCTTCTGATGCTCGGTTTGAACTGCAGCAGATCGTCTCGGCCATGTCTACATGCTTAAATGCATTGAGTTGCTGCCATGTGTTCGACTGATTAGAAATATGCGTTAACGTGTAGTTGGACAGGTGTACCTAATAGTGAGTGTATACATATACAAACCTAAAAACAATTTAGAACTTTCTAAAAAGTTTTCCAAAAGCAAAGACTATTGTCACAGCTCAGAAGGAACTGCAACCTAATTTTCTACTTCTGTGCAACTATCCAGTTGAATAGGCACTGCTCTTTGGAGCCTGCTGTTCTCACCAGACAAGGTGGGATGAGAAACTCTCTGCTTCGGCTGACACTGAAAAATGAGGGGGCACTTCTCTGACCTCTTTCCCACTGCTTTACTCACCCTCAGAGCCCATTCACAGTCACTTATGGCCTCCTTATATCTCTTCAACTTGATAAAGGCCTACATAATACATGAATGTATGAGACAATAAAATCACAAGAGGAGCAGCCTCACAGGAATATACGAGTAATCTGATTATTGTACAAAAACTTGAAGAAGTACCTGAGCTCTGTTTGTATAGAGAGCCTGCATATCACGCAACTGCTCCAAGCCCTCAGTGTAAAACCTGACAGCCGTTTCATAGTCACCTTGAGTGAAAGCCTCATTCCCTTGCTCCCTTAGCACTGTGGATCAAATAAGGACAAAGCAAATCTAGATGTTGCAACCTGACAATGCAATCAATAAATAAAACGCATACAAAAATGGCCTTTTTGCTCTTCAGGCTTTAGTGTGCCTACCATTAGCTCTTTCCTCCTTCATCTTTCTTCTTTGACATCTGTCTTCAGCATCTTTTTCTAAAATCTTTAAGAAATTTTCTGACGAATCGAAGGGTAAAACATTCCATTGCAAGATTTATTATGAAAAAAGCAAAAAGATAAAGGTTGGCTATTTTGTATTGATTTATAAATCATTTACAAGACTTCAGGGGAAGGCATTCAAGTTTTACACTTGAACTAAATTACTTAACAGAGACTGAGAAGTCTTGTCAAGTGTCCAACACAGAGGTGTGAAAAGACTTAACGTTACTCAAACATACCTGGATTTTGACTCGACTCATATCGGATGTTCTGCGCAAAAAAAAAAAAAAAAAAAAAAAAAACAGTAGTGTACTCTAAATGTGCTTTTGTTTTTATATCAGGCATGAAAAAAAAAAGTAATTGTGCATAATTTCATTAATTGACAATAATCATAAAGTGAATTTGAATAAAACCTTGAGGTACCATTTGTTAACGTAACATATGGACCAGAGCTAAGATAAACGATCAATAACATTAACAGTCATTATTTTTATTATTAGTATTATTTTTGTTATTTTTAGATTAACTAGCATAGCCTTATGTTAAACTTAACCGAAAAAAGTAAGAACAGCCTGTTCATTTTACACGTGTAAAACAAAACAAATACTCTACCAGGGGGTTATTTTCAGATGATGAGGTGTTTATAACCGTCTTATTGATTTTGGTTTTAAACTGTTCCTTCTGCTCCAAAGATGAAATCAACTGCTCTGTCTTCACAATTGCATTCTCCTGGCACGATGCTTCGCTGGAATTTAAATCTCTGACTAACTCATCTGCAATCAGAAATCATCAAGTTCACTTTTTGTTTAATTTACGTTACAACTTGAATTTACCTCATGATTGACGACTAAGTTATTTACGTTATTCCAATTCAGGGAAAGACCCCTTCTGCCCTCATTTGACGCTAAGCATTAAATAAATAATATAATAAATTAATATAAAGTTATAAAAAACGCTTACTTATCTGATCAACATCCCTTAAAAACTTTTCGAGGTCGCTATCCAGCAAAGACATGGTTGAAACAGAGTTCATAAAAGCCAAACAGCGAAAAGAAGTGACTGAGGCAGGTTTGTTTACGGAAGTGTGTCGCATCCATGGCAACTAGTGCTCTTGCTGGTAGACGTAAACCTAAACTGCCAACAGCTTGGACTAGTGCTAAAAGCTAGATTTTTTTGTCTGAAAGACTGGCTTTTTAAGTCAGTTTATTATCTGAATCTGAAAACAAGATTGTTGGTTGGTCAAACTAGTTCACAAAACAGAAGCTCCGTTTATAAATGAAAGCCCTCTTACATTTTGACACCTGCCTATGTATTGGCATTAGATATTGGCAAAAAGGTTTACTGAACATGAAACTGCATATTATCATTAGAAACCGAACTGAAGATCAAAATTTAAGTCTATAAGACAATAAAACAAAAATCACATCTTTGCACTTCATTCCCCACATAAGAACCAACACATATGAACACATATGATATCAGGCGTATGCAGTATGATAACATGCGTAAATAGGCTAGGCCATAAATAGGCAAAATTGAGGTACATATACAGTATGTGCATATACAGGCCATATAGAGTAGGTCTTCTATATGAAGCCTTATGTACATGTCTCCTGTAACTCACATTTCACTTTGGCAACTGGCATGCCTAGCTCACATTTTCTATTATCAAGGCAATAACTAAGAACTAAAAAAAACTTATGTATATACGAAAACACTTGAAATTGGTATCACATAATTGGCATGTTTTAGAATTCAATTATGCAAATAACTCACACGGAAAAAGAACACATATTTTTAACATAGGATTTTAATATATGTGACATAAAAACTACCAATTTTATACAAATCACAGAAGTCAGAATCGTTAGCCCCTATTAGTTATTAAAACTATTATGTTTGAGTATTTTAAAAAATCATCTGTCCATTAAACAGAAAAAGGGGGGAAAAACGAGGGCTATTAATTCTAATTTCTACTATATATTAAACATATCAAAACCTATATTTAAACATATATTATATAGGCTCTTTCCGTGTGGGACATTGCAAAGACCTCCTTTCTCTAACTATATAATTTAAAAATTACATTTTATGATTATGATTTGATTATCAAGCTGAACTAGTAAATTATTAGAATTCAAATATACTGGCCAACTAGGGTAAAAATAATAATAATAATACATTTTATTTATAATGAGTATTTCTAAAACTCAAAGCGTTACAACAAGAGAAATCAAACATGCAATAAAATACATGTATACATAAAATATTTTTCTAAAATATAAACAAGTTAGAATAATCAAGCATCTAAAATGCAGTCTGAAAAAGATGAGTTTTTAACATCGTCTTAAATATTTAATGTTTTGTCTTTCTCTATGGAACACCCTGCTTCAACCAACTATGTCAATATCTTTCCCCTCTGTGGTGAATTCAAAAACATACACTATCAATTTAAACATACTGTATGCATGTATTTAATAATAGGTACCAGTAGGATGAACGACTCCTTGAAAACATCTTCCACAAAATCAAAAATATATAAATGAGTTATATTAAGTTATTGTTTACTGCAGATGAAGGAGCTCTGGTGTAATCTGAGCAAATGGCTGAAACACACTTAAACATGCATACTTAAACAGATAAAAATGTTTTATTGTTTCTTTCCATTCTTTCTGTTACACCAGATAAACATACTTTATTGATCCCCAGAGGTACATTCAGGCACGAAACAGCAGTCATGTCAAACGTAAATAGCAGAAAAACACCATTATAAATACATAAAATACAGGGACAAATGGGACAAATCGATGAGCACAAAAGACATGCAAATAAGTATTTGATAACAAGCTGAATTCTGAGACACCGGTGAACTGTTGATGGACTGTCTTGTACTCTTAAAATAAACAGAAGAGGACATAGACAGTATATGTGTTGCATGTGATCATTATAAATCTGCCCTGAGCATTTTGCATTGTTAAATCTATTTAAAACTTAACCCTCAGGCCATTATTTTGCTGTATATTCTGCCTACGTCTGTCTTTGTTTTTATGTTGATCATGATCTAATATAGTGGGTCTCAACTGGTGGGTCATGACCTTAAAATTGCCCCATTTTGGTCATAGTGGGAAGGAAATGGACACTTTAAAAACAAATAAATGAAATGCAATAAATCATATGGGCCATATTTGCAGCATTTACACAGATATTAAGTCTGTAAATCAGTTTTTATGATTGTAAGATGCATTTATGACACAATTACCTTGGCATTATGTTATCAAAAAGCATTGGTTAATCTAGGTGTTTCTAATAACCTAAAAAAACAACAATCCCATTGACATATTTCTCTCTTCAGGCTGCCATAAATCATCAAAATGTATTTGTTTATTGTATTTTTTGCAATTGGTGTTTAATGATACATTCATAGTCTATTTCATATTTAAATATTTACAAAATTTAGTAACCTCCATTTGAACAAAATATATTTGATTTATATAATTTAAATACTTTTTATAAGCCATTTAATATATTTACACAAAACAAAAAAGATTTAATAGAAGAGACACATAACAGTCTGCATACTGTACATCAAGATTCAAGTCCTCAAACATAATACAAATGCACAGCTTCCATGCATGAATAAGACATAAGGTGCATACACAACACCATTATAACTGTAATAAAATAAAAACATATCCATATAAAGCAGACCATTCTGTGCAATAATTTTTCTGTATATTCACATTGCACCATATTATCACACATTACTTTAAACATTAACATCTAAATTTAAATTTCAAGTATTTAAAAATGTTGTTTTTTTATTACAAACCGCACCCTAATTATGCAAATTTATGGTATCTGATAGAAGTAGGTAGAATACCAGGCACCTGATTTCCTAACATGCCTCTTTCATAACAAAAATACAAAGTCCCATGAAGTGCTTTGAGTCACGATCACAAGCAATCCAGCCTGTGCAAATCGCTGGTAAACAAACAGTATTGCATAGAACTACAAATTCGCCATTATGTGGACTACAGGACCCAGTCATGCACTGCACACACACACCGGTTCCTAAACTCACACAGCTGAAGCTGCTCAAAGACTGATTAGTTAGACTATTTATACAGCACACTAACACACAGACTTTGCTGAGTCTTGTTTATCTGTCTAGTTAACATTACGACACGTTTTCCTTGCCTTGTCCTGCCGTGTTTTTGACCCTAGCGTTGTCTGTTTGTTTGTGTGTTTACGTTGCCTGCTGCCTACTTTTTGACCATTATCTTCTGTGTATTCGACTATGACTCTGGATTTGCTAAAAGACTAACATACTGACACTAACATCTAAATAATGCTATTTTAATTTCACTGGATCTTTTTAACCAAAAGCACATTAGAGATTAAATTAGAAGAATAACTATTAAAATAAAATTATTAGAATATGTTGGTCATTATGGCATTTAGGTCATCATCATTTGATCGTCCTTAACCAAAACTTGGTGCTCTAACCTGGTCCACGGGCTGCTACTGTCAAAGACCATCAGATACCTGCAGTGCACAGTATAACATGCCTTTGAAAGCTGAATTCATCACTGTCAGACAGACAGCACTGTTCAAAGTTAAAATGTCAGTTCACTGAGGAGCGGCGTCTTGGCTGTCTGTGCCGTGGTTGAGTGACGGGTCAGTGTTGAGGTGGATCTCCAGGCTCTTAGGAGGCTCTTTCAGAAGACTCTCGACTCGGCGATAAACTGAAGCCTCTCTGTACTTGCTGAGACGGCCCAAAACCTCCTGCCCAGAAAACAGCAGACATCCAAAATCTCACACCCCGCACGAGTATTACTTCAACCATGTCAGCCTGATCCTACTGTATCTGCTATAGCACTGTGACTTACCTGGCAACAGCTACTGAGAACATAAGGGGTGAATATAGCCAAAAAAAAAAAAAAACTTACATCCTCAGAGAAAATCCCAGGACTTGGTTTCTGCACTCTTTCCAATAGAAGACCATCGAGAGCTCCATCAGACGCCAAATCTTTCATTCTATTATGTTCAGGACTGTCCGCTTGTCCCAGTCTGGAATGGAAAAGCTCACTGAGGCCCACCTGTAAAACCTGGAAATGCATACAAGACATGAGGTCACTAATAAACACACTGTAGTTGTTTTAACTTCAAGTATTTAAACATTAGAAACAGAATCTTGATTAATATTTTTTAATGCTTCTATTATAATTTATGTGGGGTTAATATTTAATCCAGGCTATCATTACATTGCTGTTTAACACTGTACATTCCTAAACCCTTGGTTTATACTTAGCAGTATTAATGGCATTGATTGGTCAACCGCATCATGCAGGTCTGTTGATATAAATATTATAGCCTTGATTGTCCTTATATTACACTGGACATGCCTGACTGTTATGATGTTTTTTCTGAACTGACTTTCGGACAATAAATTCCAGAATTAAACATTGTTTTCACTGTATTTAATGCATTATTTTGTTACCATTTTACATTTTCACCCTTTAAAATTGTAAAAGTAAAAATTGTAAAAAATACTTGTAAAAGTATTATTGTTTAACTGTTTTATTACAGTCTAAAGTTTAAGTATAGGAGGCACATAAATGGCTTTCGGTTTCACATCCAACAGGCTGGACTTTGGAATATCCCACTAAATTGTCCCACTTCAGACCTCAGCTAGCTTCAGGACATTACACTGCTATCCTCAAGTAGAAGCAGGATTTGGCAACATCTTGAATGTAAAGCCAAATGATGTGTCGGTCGGGGCTGATCAATCTGTCCCAAGTTAAAAGGTTTAATCTTTGACATTTAACCCAGAATCTCAATCAGAAGGTGGAAAAAAAATCCAAATTCTGGAAACTTAAAATCTACAGTTAGAATACACTTTTCATTCCAGTGACTTCCTCATATACAAATGCAAATGTGGGTGACACAACCTCATGCAAAGCTGGGTTATGTTCCATCTTGAAGGATTTACTACTGCGCTCTAAAGTGTTTACCCTACGTAATGAGAGCTTTGAAGTGACTAGGGGTGTAGGGGATCCAAAATAAACACATTTTCCATAAAAATCATGAACAAAAAGCATGTGAGCATTAATTGTATGCTGTGACTTTGACCGTGTAAGGTGGCCAACTTGAGCCATTTGCTTTGGACTACTCAATATGGCAGTCCATTTTCAGGGAAAGCGATAGTTTATCCAAAAATTTACATTTACTGTTCATTTACTCACCCTCAAGCCATCTAAGATGTAGGTGACTTTCTTTCTTAAGTAGAACCATAATGACATATCTATGGCCATGTCCTCTCTTTCTGTAGTACAACAAACTCAAAGTGTGAGAGCTCACATATGATTTTGTGCTCCTGAATACGTCATTACTATACAAAATGCTCGTAGTGCATTCTTCAGTGCTCAGAGATATTTGCCCAGGCTGTGAATAACAGGCAATAAAGTTTGAAATAAAGTTAAGTTTTTTGCAGAGTGATGGTTTGGTTCATAAGACCACAGTGCATTGTCAAGAGCCACAGCCAGTAATTATGGCTGCGTCCGAAACTGCCTACTACTCATAAGGTACAGCATTTATATTTAAAAGTACTACTCGGCCGTTAGAAGAGTACGTTCAATACAGTATGAATGTGAAAAATATGAATGGAATTCGGACGTACTACATTTGGTTTTTTGTCATGGTCACGTGACGTACCTGCATCAGTTGCATCGCTTCACTTCCATTCATAAATTCTCTCGTAGGGCATCAAGTGATAGCGCAGCGCGCATAGGATGCGCACTTCAGAATCTCGCCGGAAGTAGTAAGTCATCCGGGTACTTCTCGCATACTGATTTTTGAATTCTATGAATTCAGACATACTACTTGATTTTAATGTATTGTACATTATGGAAGTATGCGGTTGCGGATGCAGCCTATGGTTTGGTATCATTTATAGACCTTTTTCTTGGCTGTTGCATGGAGGGCGCCATAGCGACCAGCGTCGTCTGGTAGAATGTTTAAAACTTCCATTTATGGCGTTTACAACGGGTAAAAATGTTTTTTACAGTAATTTACAGTATTGTGTTTTGAGTGGATTACGGAGCATTTTTGTGACACACAACTTCGAAAGGTATGTGTTAAAGCCGTCATAACCTGTCAGATTTGGTTCAAGGATGAGGGAAAAACGTTCTTTTAGTTCACGTGTCTGCCGCCAGAAATACAGTGTGTGCGTGTGTTCCCGATCTGTCAGCTGTTAGCTCTGCGGCTCTTCAATGCAGCTCATGCAGCAGACATACACACACACACACACACACACACACACACACACACACACACACACACAATACTTCACTGCATAATAGAGCAAACCAGATTACTGGCATGAAACTTAACAGGTATGTAAGTCATGCAATTTACAAAATTGACCAATAAATGTCCATTACTGATACTCTGCTGGCTGATTTGAATGTTCAGAAGCTGTATATGTTTATGTTAGTGGCACTGTACAGTAGGCTTCATAAACAAAATAATTAGTCATCATAAACAAAATAATTAAATAACTTAAACTTAAAACAATCTTCCTTGTTAATTTATTTAACAAGTCACTTTGTACTGGTGTAGGATAACACATTTAGGCACATTGTTGCACCTGTAAACTTTAACAGGCCTACAGTTAAAGTCAATTTATTTTGCCCTCCTGTTCATTTAAAATAATGTTTCTGAAAATTGTCAAAGTGTTTACTAAAAAAATATTATTCTGGAGTCATTATAAGTCATATATCTTATTGTTTATTTCTTGAATAAAAGCAGTTCCCCTTCGGGGGGAACTCCAGCACTATAAGTGGATTTGATTGTTAAAATCCACGTATTGGGAGATTCGGTTCAGAAGCTACTCGTCTGAAAGAGTATTGAACGGGCCAATTAAGAATGAATTGGCAGCGCAAGCCTGCGCAGGTGAGCGGCATAAGCAATCAACTGAGTATAGAAGCTCACCTGGCGCCAGCAGACGCTATCCTTTTCGCTTCAGAGACTTTTCTGATCGAGCTTCATGAGGGTTCCTCCTGCTGTCTACAGCCACTTCGAGCGAACGAGTGTCTCCCGGTCCAGAGCGAGTCCACGCAGCGGCAGATGGTCGAGCTGGGTTTCTCCCTTGCCTGGCGTCCCTTTGGGTCCGGTCCTCCAGAGCGGTGCGTATTGTTGCAAAGCATCCTAAAAGAGCAACACAGTCGTGCAGCACGTCCTTTTCAGGACGGCGCTCCGACTGTGCGTTTCTGGTTGCGGGGGTTTCCTGGCTCCGGATGATGGGCACGATCACTGCATTACATGTTTGGGGGTCCAGCATGTTAATGTGGTGCTCGGGGGCGGTTCATGTCGTCACTACGATGCCATGACCGTCGCGCAGTTGAGATCGCGGCAAACTCTCGTGAGAGAGCGAGCCACCCCAGTCGCCTCCTGTTCTGCAGCGGGCGCTCGGGCAGATCTGAGGGTTCCAGCGAGAGATAATCCGCCGCCTAAGGGCTCGCGGACCTCTCGCTCCTCCAAGCGCTCCATCCAAGCTTCGGGCGCTGGGAGTGATCCGTCTAATCAGATGGTAGCTCTCACGCTCGCTGACACCGGAGATCAGATGTCCTCCGCGGCATCGGAGGGTGGGCTTTCATTTTTTGACGATGATCCGGACCCGCTCGCCCCCTTCGGGCAGGTGAGCGCTGTCAAAACGGATACTGAAACGGACGTGTTAGCCGTGCTTTCCCGGGCTGCTAGAGGGGAAGGACCGACTAGAGGGGCGTTCCCTTCTTCCCGGCGACGCACAGTAGGCTCACGCGGTCTTAAAGAGCACCTTTTTTCTGCTCGTGCTGCGTGTCCCTCCACCCTCACCACTCTTGGTGGTGGAGCGGCCAGGGGGTATGTGGCGATTCCTCAGGTTGAGTGTGCGATGGCGGTTAATCCGCGCAGCGCCTCTTCTTGGCGGGGTCTGCCTCGTCTCCAATCCAAAGCCTGTGAGTTTTCGGCTCCCTCGGAGCTAGAGCTTACAAAGCTACGGACCAGGCTGCATCCGCCTTGCATGCGATAGCCACCGACCAGCGCTACCAAGCGCAGGTGCTGGCCGAGCTGCATGAGGGTGGGTCCAACCCAGGCTTATGAGCTTCGCACCGCAGCCGACTAAGCTCTTCGGACTACTAAGTTCGCTGCATGTGCTTTGGGGAGGACGATGTCCACACTAGTGGTCCAGAAGCCCCACCTCTAACAAAACTTGGTTGATATGCGCGAAGTTGACAAAGTCCGCTTTCTTGACTCACCCATATCCCAAGCTGGTCAGCAACACAGTCTGCGAATTCACCCAGGAATTCGAGGCAGTGAGAGAGCAGTCCGATGGGTGATGTCTAATCGGCGGCCCCGTAAGCCCGCTCCGCCCGCCGTGCCATCCATACCTACTCCTCGCCGAAGGCGCCTGCCTACGAGAGCTGCACCGCCCCCGCACTCGCCTCTGGCGAAGCGAGTGCGTCGAGCACCTCGGAAGCAGGCCACTCCCCCTGCCCAGAACGCCGCTAAGTCTGGCAACGGACCGCGAAGCGTCCCTGGGACAGGTCATATGGAGAGGAGGGAACTTGCTCTTTCCCCGCTGGAGGGCGGGGCGCCATTTCCAACGGCACTTTTTACTGCCATGAAATGAAAGGGCACTTTTCCACTTCTCCGGAAGTGACAGCCCGAAATCTGCCAGTTTGAGCTCAGCTCTCTAGCTCGTAGGTTCGGTGCACTCCGCCAGTGGCTCATGGGCACTGCAGGCCCTGCCAGCCTGGGACGCGCCGCCTCTCAGCTCGCAAGGTCTGCATGCTCTGCCAGCGGCTCACGGGCGCTGGGGGGACGGTCTCCCTTCTCCCAGCCCCCAAGCCCCCCCTCCGGAGTCAGGGTGCGGAGCCAGAGCGAATCGCTCTCCTCCAGCTCTTCTGTGGGACCCTCGCGCTCCCCGGATCAGCACACCCGCTCCTCGCTGCCCCTCCGCGGGTACATCAACGATTGCTGCGATGACGTCATTAGCGAGGGCTCTGCCTGCCTGGTTAGCGTGGGCCAGCCCCTCGCGGTGGTTCATACGCATGATCAGACTCGGCTACGAACTACAGTTCTCCAAACAGCCTCCCAGGTTACCGGCGTGTATTTCACCAGGGTCAATCCCCTGTCCGCCCCTGTATTACGAGAGGAGATTGCTGCCCTCCTGGCAAAGGGTGCAATCGAGCCGGTACCTCCAGCCGAGATGGAGAGCGGGTTTTACAGCCCGTACTTCATTGTACCCAAAAAGAGCGGTGGGTCACGGCCAATCCTAGATCTGCGCGTTTTGAATCGCTGCCTTCACAAGCTGTCGTTCAGAATGCTTACGCAGAGGCGCATCCTCCGATGCGTTCGTCCTCAGGATTGGTTTGCAGCCATAGACCTGAAGGACGCGTATTTTCATGTCTTCATTCTTCCACGCCACCGTCGTGCGTTCGAAGGTCGAGCATGGCAGTACAAGGTCCTCCCCTTCGGGCTCTCTCTGTCTCCGCGGGTCTTCACCAAACTCGCGGAGGGTGCCCTAGCGCCTCTGCTTGCGGGCATCCGCGTACTCAATTATCTCGACGACTGGCTGATTTTAGCGCACTCTCGGGAGCAATTGACTGCGCACAGAGACGAGGTGCTCCGGCATCTCCGCCTATTGGGGTTGCAGGTCAACTGGGAAAAGAGCAAACTCGCCCCGGTGCAGAGGATCTCTTTTCTCGGGATGGAGCTGGACTCGGTCACCATGGTAGCGCGCCTCTCCGAAGAGCGCGCTCGCCTGCTGCTGAACTGTCTGAGGGAGCTCGACAGCAAGTTAGTAGTCCCACTGAAATATTTTCAGAGGCTCCTGGGGCATATGGCTTCCGCTGCGGCTGTCACGCCGCTCGGATTGCTCCATATGAGACCACTTCAGCACTGGCTTCAAGATCGAGTTCCGAGACGTGCATGGCATGCGGGCACACACCGAGTCGCTGTTACTGCGCTGTGTCGCCGCACCCTCAGCCCCTGGAACGACCCCTCGTTCCTGCAGGCCGGTGTGCCTCTGGGACAGGCGTCCAGTCATGTTGTTGTTTCGACAGATGCTTCCAGCACAGGCTGGGGAGCCGTGTGTCGCGGGCATGCAGCTGCGGGCCTGTGGGTAGGTGCCCAGCTGCATTGGCACATCAATCGCCTAGAGCTGTTTGCAGTGTTCCTTGCTCTTCGCCGTTTTTCTCCGGCGCTGGGGCAGCAACACGTGCTGGTCAGGACGGACAGTACGGCGGCGGCGGCGTATATCAACCGCTTGGGGGGTATGCGTTCTCGCCGCATGTCTTAGCTTGCCCGCCGTCTGCTCCTCTGGAGTCACCCGCGGCTGAAGTCGCTGCGCGCCATTCACATCCCAGGTATGCTCAACCGTGCAGCCGATGTGCTCTCACGGCAGCAGATTCACTCTGGAGAATGGAGACTCCACCCCGAGTCTGTCCAGCTGATATGGGCGCGATTCGGGGAGGCCCAGATCGATCTGTTTGCTTCCCCCGAGAACGCTCAATGCCAGTTGTTTTATTCCCTGACCGAGCACGGATGCACGGATACACTGGCCCACAGCTGGCCTCGGGGCGTACGCAAGTATGCATTTCCCCCAGTGAGCCTGATCGCGCAGTTAATGTGCAAGGTCAGGGAGGACGAGGAGCAGGTTTTGTTAGTTGCGCCCCTCTGGCCCAACCGAACCTGGATATCAGAGCTCTCCCTCCTCGCGACGGCCCTCCCTTGGCAGATCCCTTTGAGAGAGGACCTACTTTCTCAGGGACAAGGCACCGTCTGGCACCCTCGTCCCGATCTCTGGAACCTCCACGTGTGGTCCATAGACGCGAGGAAGACTTAGGTAACCTGCCGCCCGCGGTGGTTGATACCATCACTCAGGCTAGAGCCCCCTCCACGAGGCGTGCCTACGCCCTGAAGTGGAGTCTATTCACTGAGTGGTGTGTCTCTCGCAGAGAAGACCCCCGATCTTGCCAGATCAGTGTTGTGCTCTCTTTCCTTCAAGAGAAGCTGGACAGCAGGCTATCGCCCTCCACTCTCTAGGTTTACGTTGCTGCCATCTCCGCTCACCATGACGCGGTGGCTGGCGGCACCGTGGGAAAGCATAACCTCATCATCCGGTTCCTCAGAGGCGCTAGGTGAATTAATACAACTCGCCCCCCTCTCACGCCCTCTTGGGATCTCGCCCTCGTTCTCACGAGCTTGCGATTTGATCCCTTCGAGCCACTCGATACAGTATCTTTAAGATTTCTGTCCCTGAAGACAGCTCTGCTGGTCGCGTTGGCCTCCATTAAGAGGGTCGGGGATCTGGAGGCATTTTCGGTCAGTGACTCGTGCCTGGAACTCGGGCCGGGATTTTCTCACGTTATCCTGAGACCCCGCCCGGGTTATGTGCCCAAAGTTCCTACCACTCCTTTTAGAGATCAGGTAGTAACCCTGCAAGTGCTGCCCCCGGAGGAGGCGGACCCAGCCATGTCCTTACTTTGTCCAGTTCGCGCTCTGCGCATTTATGTGGACCATACTCAGAACTTCAGATCTTCTGAGCAGCTCTTTGTCTGTTATGACGGACGGCAGCAGGGAAGTGCCATGTCTAAACAACGTTTATCCCACTGGATTGTGGAGGCCATTTCATGTGCTTATTTGAGCAGAGGCCAGCCGCGCCCCCCAGGAGTGCATGCGCACTCCACTAGGAGCGTTGCATCCTCTTGGGCGTGTGCGCGTGGCGCTTCTTTAACAGACATTTGTAGAGCTGCGGGCTGGGCGACACCCAACACATTTGCAAGATTTTATAATCTGCGAGTGGAGCCGGTTTCCTCAAGGGTGTTAGGTACCTTTGGTGATTGAGGAAACAACTCGGTAGGTGTTGTACACGCTTGCGGTGCCTTTTTTCAGAGATGTGCACCCTCCTCTCTGTCAGTAAAGTTCCCCATTCGGTGAGCCCTGCAGATTCCTCCGAGGCCCCCAGCACTGACTCAGCGGAGGAGTCACTTGCTGGCCCATTACGTAGTAGGTCTGCCCGCTGGTCAGCTCGCATTTTGGGTATAGGTGCCTGCTATGGCCGATCCCCGCTGGTGATCCCCATATGCTTTTTCCGCCACGGTTAAGTTCCCCCCCTGGGCGGACCCGTGCTTTCCCTATCTGCTAACCACCTTTTATGTGCACTCCCCCTTTCAGGGTTAGTCCATATGTAATTCCATTTGTTTCCCCCTATTGGGTGCGGATGGTCTCCGCAGCGTCCTCCCTACTGGGATGGCACGCTTCCCAACGTACTGTCGTATATTCCTAGAATTATCTAGACGCTAGCGACTCCCAAAAAAGATACCTATTCCATAAAACTTTTTTTTGAAGTGGGATAAGTTAGGGCCAAGGGCACGTTGGAGGACCACGCCTCTCATGATCTGGGTGCGTCACGCTTGCCTGACCGCTCTCTCATGGTGGATATTGGTAAGGTGCAGTCATTATGGCGCTTTCAATGGGCTCCCAATACGTGGATTTTAACAATCAAATCCACTTATAGTGCTGGAGTTTCCCCCGAAGGGGAACGTTCGAGGTTACCAAAGTAACCCTTTGTTCCCCGAGGAGGGGAACGGAAGCACTATACTCCGTCGCCATAATGACTGTCCCTTAGCTGTTAAAAGTCTCTTTAGCTTAAAAAGGATAGCGTCTGCTGGCGCCAGGTGAGCTTATATACTCAGTTGATTGCTTATGCCGCTCACCTGCGCAGGCTTGCGCTGCCAATTCATTCTTAATTGGCCCGTTCAATACTCTTTCAGACGAGTAGCTTCTGAACCGAATCTCCCAATACGTGGATTTTAACAATCAAATCCATTTATAGTGCTTCCATTCCACTCCTCGGGGAACGAAGGGTTACTTTAGTAACCTCGAACGTTTTTTCTTAAAAAAAATTAAGGTCAGTATTATTAGCCTCCTTAAGAAATATATTTTTGATAAACACAACAAATCAGTAACAAAATAATTTGACTAATTATTTCAACTTTCATAGTTAACTAATTAAGTCTTTAAATTACACTTCAATCTTAATAAAAGACTATAAAATACTTAAAGGGACTTTGTCTGAATACTGTCTTAAGTATTAACTGTCTTGCAAAATAACTGTCACCATGGGGAAGAAAAAAAGTAAATATTAGAAATGAGTTAGTTAAACTATTATGTTTAAAAATGTGTTGTAAATAAATCATGTGTTGAAGACGGAAATCAAAAATGAATGAAGGCAAAACTAAACGAGTTGAATATGACTTATATGAGCGTGACTGAAAACTACATTTGATCAATGTGTTACATCTGCTCTTTAGTAGTTACGTGTCCAAATTTAGGGGGGCCAAGCTTGTTGACACGAGGACTGGTGGAAGAGTGCTCTTTTAATGGAATTTAAACCGGAATTAAAATGGATTTTCTTCTTTTATTTTTTATTTTTTTTATTTTTTAGATTGACATAATTTCATTGTTGCAGCACTATTTTGCAACATACAAATTTAGCAAACATGTTTGCAGGGTTAACAATGCTCCAGAGCAGGGTTTGATAACTCTGAGTTAAAAAGTATTGATTATAAATTAAGTTAAATTCTCCTCTGATAAAAGTGGGGTTCAGAATGCCAATAATCCAGTGTTTGGCACAGTGTGAAAAGCCCTAAAACAAGCATATTCCTTTCCTGGCTTGTTCAAGCAGTGCTTCTGTCAATCAGATGCATTTACCACCTTGAAAAAGGCCCTCTGGAAGGCAGGAGTGCAGTCTGTCTTCATCTGGCCGGTGGAAATGTGTGCAGCACAGTGCATGAGCAGCAAAGACAGGCCACCCACCGACTGTAACCTCTGACTGCGAACAAACAGAGTCCTCTCTGAGTCCTCCTGAAGGCACAGGGAGTGTTAATTGTACAGTACATGGGTTTATATGACAGAGCACTAAATGTGCATAACATGAAATAATTATCACTCACTCGGTGACTGACAAATGAGGACATTTTATTGTAGTGCAACCAAACTAACTGTGAAACCAATTATATCACAGGAAATGTGGTGCCAATTATCACTTCTTAAAGTTAGGTGAATTATTAATAACTTTTCATTTGTTCTATATATAAGGCTGAATAGCTGTGTACTGTATGTGTACTGTATAAATACCTGATAATAGAAAGAGTTACGGAATGCATTGTTATGGTAGTCGTTGGTAGGAAGACTTGAAGCCAGCTGAAGAGTTACTGTTGGTATCTAGGATAAAGAAAGTAACAGCTGTGAAACTACTGAACTTACAGTGTGTTCAGCAAAGACACAATAAATTAATCAAACTATTATAAAGACATTTATGTTGCTGTTGTTTGCTCATTAAAGAATCCTAAGAGGTATTACTGTTTCTACACAAAAATATAAAGCAGCACATGTAAACGTTATTAAGTAATGTTTTAAAGTTATTAGATATTAAGAGACGATGATATTGTCCTCACATAATATCCAAAGCAACATGTAATACTGAAGGCTGAAGTAACGATGCTGAAAATTCAGCTTTTATATAAAGAAAGATGGTACAGTACTAGTTTAAATGAATATAATTTTTAAAAATATTTTATTTTAATTGTGTTTAAAGATTAGTTCAGCCAAAAATGTAAAGTCTGTCATCATTCACTCACCCTTCACTCATTTAAAATCTGTTTTTTTTTTTTTTTTTTTCTGTTGATCCCAAAAGAAGATATTTGGAAGAATGCTGTTTACTTGGATCCATTGACTTCCATGTTATTTTTTTTTTTCTTAATATGAAAAGTTATGGGTCTCAGCAACCAGCATTCTTCAAAATATGCTCAAAACAGAGCGAGAAAATTATGAGGTGGTTTTCATTAATGTTCTAATGTGTTCCTGTTTTCCAGTTTCCACAAACACCACACCACCAAGTCTTCAGAATCTTTTAGACATGTACTTTATAAGATAAAGACATGTGACACAGCCAAAATAAGTGTTTCCTTCATCTTTGCTATTCTGTAGAAACTGTTCATTACATATTGATTCTACTGGTCACACATCTGTACTGTATGTAATCTGAATTTACTGGTCAGCTTATACTTTACGCTTCTACAATAAGGACTATAAGAGTACATGTCATTTTTAACATACATGAGCTACACCTACACCACGATAGCAACACAATGCATGTTTGACAAATTTTGGAAGCGGTCAAAAGTGCACAAGCTCAATATTTTGTCACTGTTCACACCTCTGCTAAATAGTTTATTTAGCACTTTTGGATTTAGATTTCGGAATTGGATTGATGTAAATGCATTTTTAAAAAAAAAGTTTTTTTCTTGAAATTAAAATGGCCTCATAATGTATTTACCCATTGTCAGAGTATATGACTTTTTCCTGTCATACACACACCGAGAAAGAAGCTTTACATTTTATCCTGGCTGTTCCATGCTGCATAATGATTTTGAATAGTGGCTTTTATTTTGAAGATTCCAAAAGCACATACTGTAAATCCACCCTCATCAAATTAGCCAGTGAGTTAATACATGTCTTATGAAGTGGATCTATGTGTAACAGAAATATTTGAAAGTTTTGAATTATAAACCCCATTTCCTAATATCCTGTGGTAAACAAATGCACGTTATGCACAGCTGACATAAAGTATACAACGTATGACGCATAACATAAGATGGGTAGACAAATGTATGCCGGATTTTAGGAGCAGTATACAGTACTGTATAATGTTATACAGTAATACCCAGCATACTACTTTTCTAGTTCATTATCTTCTGTGGTAGACAATCTGTGTGGTAAGTTGTTCCACCGAGATCCTTTTAGCCGCAGAATGTCAAACGACGTATGTCAGTTGCGTGTAACGTGCATTCAGCTGGTGCCACACATCAGTTATTGGAATTTATAATTTAATTATACATACTGTAATTTAAATAAATATAATTTGTTGTATGGGTTAGTTTGTCAACAGATTAATCTTGCAGCATTGTAAAGCATAGAAGAACCAAAATAAAATGTAAAACTACTCCAAGTGTGGTCATTTTACAGAAAAAAAAAGCCATAAGCAATGAGGATGGAGTAAGTTATGGTGTAGTTTAACTTTTTTGGATGAACTATTCCTTAAAAACCAGGTGTGAACAGGCCCGATGAGAACATAAAAGCAAGTGAGAAAAAAATGAAGACAGATCCAGACCATTTTATGTAGGTGAAGGTGCTGGAGGAGAAACTGTCCATGCTGGTACAGCAGAAGCTCTCGTGGGTTGAGGGTTTCAAAGCTCACTTGAATCAGCTTTCCTTCACACTCCCACTGCGCATCCATGAAGTCCATGAATGGACGACTGGAACCTGAACACAATCCCACTTCCACTCTGTTTGACCACTCTTTATTAGTGCAAACTTCAACAAATAAGTTGTGATTAAATGCATTGAAGAAGCTGCTAAAAATATAGCTCAAGTTATTTTTCCCACTGACGTATATGCAGTGGTTCTCGTGGCATTAAATCATCTGTTGCTACACTAATGACTTTGCAGTTATGATGAGTGCGGATTGCACATTTCAGGGGTGATAATTAGAGCCTGACCTGAGGGCTGGATCTTCATCAGGCCTCTGTCTCTGGCACAATCCCTGAGCTGCTGCTCCACTTCCTTCATCAGCTGGAAGAGAGGAGACAGCGCTACCAGTCTGGACCAGTCCTCCTCTGCAACACAGAAAAAAAGTTTTTTGCCCTTGGGTGTCATCATAGCTTTTAATTAGAACTACATCTATATGGATTTACCCCCAAAATGCAAAAGTTATTTAAAGGAAGGGTGACCATATTTCCCTTTTCAAAAAAAAGGGAGCAGGTTGGGAGGAGGATAGTGAACTGGGTAAATATTTGACAAATGCATTCACAACCATTAAACTATGCAGCTATACAAGTATAATCGTTCCATTAAACACTTGGCTGAAAACAATAGAATAAAAAAGTTTAGCTTTTAACACCTTTTATATAACAAAGTTTCTTTTCAATGGGTTAAAGTAATTTAATATGAAAAGAATTCTACTTCTTCATTTTAATGCTATTTGAGAAATATGTAGCACCTAGTGACAGGTAAGGGTGCTTTCACACTTGGTCCGATAGTTCAATTGTCCCCCCCACCCTGAGGTGGTTTGTGTTCATGCCGTCTTTTTTCCTTCAGAACCCTGGTATGCTTGCGTCATCAAGCTGCTGTTTTGTGCACAGCTGTTGCTAGGTGACACCCATGAAAGCAAAGTGCCAAAATAGAGACGCTCGTATATCACGCTCAATCTGCATTTACTTAAGCTTTTGGTTTTGATACCAAAACCAAAATACAGTAAGCCACTTGCCATTCTATCTGCCGTTCAGAACATCATGTGCTTTCAGCAGAAGTTGTTTTTGGTGGAGACAAGCAGACTTTAGCCTCATTCACTTTTTCTGGAAAGGTCTGTATGTGTAAACAAGCGCTTTTTGAAAATACCGGTAAATTCGTTCCGGCAATTTTCTGGAAAGAGAAGTTGTAACATTCAAGAAGTTGAACATGTTCACGTCTGGAATGTCTCCACAATGTAATTTTAAGGCTTGGTTGTGTTTATAAGATGCAAAGCAATGTGTGCTCATGTTTCACTTGAAGGAAATCGCGTTATTTTTTCATAAATCTCACTTTGATTATACACAGCTACTCAGCTAACATGAAAACGACTGATATATTTCCTAGTTCCTCTGAAAGGCCCGCAATCAAGTGACTCTGATTGGTCATCGTCATAATGGGCTGTCATTCGCGGATCGGCTCCACCTCACGCCTTGACTAGCACGCGCTTTTCTGCTATGTAAACAGTCAGTCAACCTCCTACCTGCTCTCTAAAATATAATCTGACAAGTGTCTGTAATGAGTGAAAATGAGGTCTCCTTTAAGAGACCTCGTCATTGTGTGTGTCTATGTGTGTGTGTGTGTGTGTGTGTGTGTAAATGTGTGAACTTTCTGTAACAAGCGCATGTGCGCGGGACTTTCTTTTTCTTTTACTCTGATGCTTGGATTAAGATATTTTCTGTAATATATCGTGACAGAAAAATAAAGCACAAGATGTGGGATAAGACCTGTGTGAGCCTTGATTTAGTTTTCTGCTGCTACACGAGTTAGGCGAGCTCTTCTGTTTATTTTAACTCAACGCGTTACACAACGTCTTTCACATATATCCGGAATGTGCAGGTGTAAGTAATATGAGTCATCCACATATCTTATGTGACTTCATTATCTGAGATGTAAAATGCATGGAAAAGCTGCCTAAAAAGCATCAATGCAAAGTCGCGCACACATGGAGAGACTTGAACGAGCTAGTGAAGTGTGTGTGTGTGTGTGTGTGTGTTTACATCAGTTTTACTGATAGATATAAATTTGTAGCTAAATCGTTTGCAGTGCAAAACAGCATTTCCCATTGTTTACATCGTTGTTAGAACATACCGTTAACGCTAGACACTGTAAATGTCATGATCAATTTTAACAAATAAAAACACTTTGAGAATCTAGTTTACAGCTTCTGCTTTGAGGAGATTTTAACCGAATCCAGCACATCTAAGAACCTTTGTGATCTCACCAGGGCCGGAAGTATTTTTTGTAGTACCCAAAATTCATTAATTGGAGGCTTTGCTAAGGTAACTCTGTAAAAACCAAGGTCTCCCTTTGCATTGAACTTAGAACTTTTTACATTCAGAGATGTTGTTTATGTTCACACAGCTACATTACATTTCAGCTAAAGTTTAAAATATGATATTGTAGTGGACCACCCCTTTAACAAATATTTAACCAATTGAAGGCACTAAAAAGTCCATGTCTTTTGCAGTCAAACATTGTCTTGTAAGGAAGATTATTTGTTTTTAATAAAATAAAAAGTGTAACAACAAGTGTTTTTTTTCCTTTGTTTATGATGTCACACAGAGACCCAAACCCGCCTTAGGAATTCTGAATAGTTAGGGTGTGGAGAGGAGCAAAACAACAATATTATTTCTACTCTGATAAGTCTTGCTATATCCTCTATATGAAAAAATGGGAGAAATTGGTCAAAATTTTTTACATTTACACACAAAATACAGAGGATACATCCTTGCTGCTACACAAATCCATCAGATAAAGGTATCTCGGGACATAGTAAGAAATAACTCCTTCAGAGGCAGCATTGTTTGACTTTTGGATTCAACACACATTTTCAGGAACAGTTGTAATTTGACTTAAATAGGCTTGTCTCAGGCTAGCCATAGAAAAGTGCAATTATGGTGTACTGTCACTCCAAGCTGACTTCAGAGAACTAGTGGCAACAAAAGCCGACTGTGGTGTTGCCCTGTGTCAGCTACATCTGAGCCAAAAAAGTTTGCTGTTGGCAAAGATTATAGCCAACAGCCCACTAGGTACAGTCTGTGCCCGTGTGACTGGAAATAAGAGTCTATATCAGCAGGTACATCTAGGTATCAAAACTAGGAAAGCATGCAAACTTAAAACAAAGCATACTAACTTTCTGAACATAATAATCCTGATAACTCTCTTCAATCCATTCCATTACAAATAGATTCACTTATTGGGATTCTCAGACGAAAAAACTACAACATAACTGTGTCATTTTAAAAATATGTTTTTCAACATTTTTAATTGTTTGCTTGTTCCCTAAACTGAACAGCCAATCCAAGTTTTCTGAGCAATGATGTTGGAAAGAAATTCAACACGGTCAATTTGGCAAAAAGCCTCAGAGGGGGCTGCAAAGAACACACAGCAAAAAGCTAAGCTGGTGTGTCAGAGCCTCAATACCGTATTTATGAGCTTGTCCATATTTAGAATAAATAAGACTTTCAATAAGTATAGAAAATATAAATAAATACAGCTCTGGAAAAGCATTACGTGACCAGTTTAACATTATCTGGTTACTAGATTAGCCATTATTAGATACCAATTTAGAGTAAAATGTTTATTTGTTTGCAAAAACCTATCCTAAACTTTTTTTTTTCAAATGAATTTACTAACATTTAGAGCATTTTAGACAAATTGCCAAAATAAACTATTTAGTTTTTATACTATATATTGGGGAAAAATATACACTACCTGACAAATATTGTGGCCTATACAAGTTTTAGGAACAATAAAATAACAACTTGACTTCTAGTTGATCATTTGGTTTCAGATGTAGCTTATATGGAAGGCAAAGGCCTCGAGATTGTGCTTATTTTACCATAAATAAAATAGGATCATGCCTTGATTTTAATTTATTTAATTAGGACTGTAAGGTCTGACTTTGCTTAGACAAGTCTAGTCACCCAACAGAAATAATGTACAGTATAGACTATAAAGTCATGGTGCAGTGGAAAAAGAATTCATATCCTGTATGAATCCCTTGAGCTTGGATGAATGAGCTTACTGAATGAGCTTACTGAATGTAACCCCAAACCATGACTTTTCCTTCCCCAAACTTGACTGATTTCTGTCAGAATCTTGGGTCCGTGTTCCAGTAGGTCTTCTACAGTATTTGTGATAATTGAGATGTAGTTCAACAGATGATTCATCTAAAAAATCTGCCTTCTGCCAATCTCCCAAACAATCAACTATGAGTCAAGTTATTATTTGTTGCTCTTACAACTGAGATCGATGCCAAGACTTTTGTCAGGTATTGTACTGTATGTGTAAATTTTCTACGTAATACATGAACCTGTTTTCCCTATACTTAAGTTCTGTAAACATATTTTTATTTTGAACTATTGTTATTTTATGCAAATATGTTCTCTAAATCGCAATCTTAATTGACCTTTTAGACACATTATAAGAAGTTTATTAAATAGATATAAAGTACAGTTTATTAAATAGATACAATACAAATGAACATTTTACTCAACAGAGAATGGATAACACCTTTGAAGCTATCTCTTAATATTTTCCATAGCTGTATAGTATTTATACCCCAAGTATAAACAAAGTGTCGCCTGCCCTAGAAAACCTAATAATAGACTAAATATCTATTTAGGTCAAAAGCTAAAGCAATGTAACAAATCACGTTTTTTGCTCCACTGTTTTCCTGCTGTTCAAAGTGACCTTAAAAGTGAACAAAAACTTTGAGGCTTAAACACACACTGGGTTACACAAGTCCTCCACTGAAATGCTCTGACCTGCAAGCTTTGGGATACTCGTATGTGCAGACGCACCAGGCTCCAGGAGAGATCGGACATCTGAATGAAACAAGAGAGAACATCACGTCGTGATCTGAAATGAGGATGCCAGTAACATCTTAGACTTAAGACAGCCTCACCCTGGCTGTTCAGCTGCGTTTTCTCCTGGCTTTTCTGAGCGTAAGACGGGTTTGACAGAGGAAGAGAGGGCACCGTGGCATTCTGTTCACTCACAGACGAAGCCTTTATTTGATCTTTAAAGGACTGAGTTGAGACACCTGGCGCAGCAGGAGACACAAACACAGCAGTGAAACTCTGACAAGCAGAATCTCGCTATTTTTCCACTCTTTGTGCATTCAAATTTACCTTTCACAACAGATGCTGATTCCGTCCAAGCTCTAGAATCGCTGTCTCTCCCGAAAGCCTGCTTGCCTACAGAAAAATATTTCTCAACTGAGACAAAAGCATGATTAACATTTCTATATTAAATCATAAATGAGGATATTGTACTAGAGCTCTGCTGTCGCTGCGTGCTAGTCGACTGGCCAAGTGCTTTGCTTTCTTCCAGCAGCTGAATAAGTCGTTCGAGCCGAGGAAGGATTTTCTGCTGAGTCATGGCTATTACTTTCAGAGGGTTTCTGACACCCCTGGGCTGCAGCACACCGAAATCCTTAAACCAGAAAGTGCCAGACACCAAAGACTAGAAGAAAAAAGAGTCAATTCAGTCGGCTGTCATGGGAAAGTATTGAGTAAAGTCTCCTAAAGCATCATCCCAAAATATAGTCTTGCTGTCAGGCAGAAACCTTGTAACTCTGTATTTCGTCATCAAAATTCATATCAATGCTATTGGGCACTGTTCACATCTGTCTGAGAGCTTTGCATCATTTTACATCATTTTCTTTCCTCAAGAAACACTACATGTGCTTAATTTTTTATGAATTTGAGAAGCGGGGATGGATGTTTTAGTCTAGAATTTTTGTTCAGTAACGTCTTTAATGTAATGCAAAAAAATGCTGACATTTACTGGTCACAAAACTTTTTAGCATGATTTTGGAAAAACATCACTAATATAAAGACACATTCAAGTGTCTGGCCACATGTTGGTGAGCAAAAGTCTGGAGGGGATGTTTGCACAATATTTTTTCTTAAAGAGGAACTATTGTCCCTTTTTAACAAGATATAAAATAAGTATCTGATGTACCTAGATTGTCTATGTTAAGTTTCTTCTCAAAATAACCCACAAATAATCTTTTAGACTTTTTTGAAACTGCCCCTTTTAGGCTTTGATCCAAATTGTGCTGTTTTAGTGACTGTAACTTTAAATTCAAATGAGATTGTGCTACCAGCCCCCTTTACAAAAGAGGGTGGAGCTATAAATTCCTCTGTTAATTCCACCAAAGCAGCAGATTGAAAACTCTAATGCTGTGTTCACACCAGGCATGGCACGCACGAATAAATCACGATACTGGCGCGTAAATAGACACTTGAACATTTTTAGTTTACTTGATTCATTCGCATGTTCACTTTGTTTCATTCGCACATGAAATTCACTTCATAAAAGACGCACATTTGCGTCATGGACTGGGCTTCTGTCTGCCCGGTGACTCTAGCTTTGTTGCTAAAGGGCTAACATGGATTTTATTGAGAAAGTAGCTGTGCTTTATGTGCTTTAGGAATGCTGAAAAACAGCACAGATTTGTACGGGGTTGTGCTTGAGCCCATTAGATTCTGATTTTTGAGGTGCACCTAGCTCTCTGATTTGATCAACTCCTTCAAGAAACTATACCTGGATGATTGAAGCTTGTAGCGGTGCTTCCAACTGAGCCCAGCCCAGTTTAATGACCTGTTGTCCGGTGTCGGCAAGATGATTTCCTCTCAGGACACCAACAACAGGCATAACGTCCAAATCACACCCCTACAAGAGCAAGCTTGGTTAACGCAGCTAAAGTTCCGATATTCCAACTCGAGTGATCCGAATCATTCGTCCAGCCTCATTCATGTGAATCTAGTAGCAGGATGTCTATTCGCATCTTTGCATTGCCTTAACATGTAAATCACTTAGGCTTGATGCTTCATCCGCGTCTGGTGTGAACGCAGCATATTAGCAAACGACTGCTTCTTGTTCAGAGCTGTTTTTGCTAATGAGGGAGAGATCGTCAATAATGGGCAGGACTTTCCCCCTCTAAGGACATGTATAAAGGGAGAATGTCTTTCTACAGTTTCTACAGACTTTTTATGAAGTGTGATTATAAAAAATATAATTAATAAATGTTTACCATCAGAGGCTCGCTATATTTCCCCCTACTGTCATACAACTGAGTTTAACTTTTTTGGCATAATAGGTCCCTTTTAATGACCCTACCATGAATATATAATGAAGTAACTAACTAATCTAATGTATTTAGCTGACAAAAATATTTGTCAACCCTACAGTTTTTCATGAACATTGGATTGGGAACAGACATTTTTTTTTAAATTACTCACTACTTCTGCTACTTTACTAAAACATAATCTCATAATGTAAGTCAAGTTACTTGTATCTAGTTTCCCCAACACTTTATTTTTGTCTCCAAAAAACTGCATGAAAAAATTTCACAGGAAATAAAGTATATACTGACTATTGCCATCCTGTGCATACCTTTATAAACAAGTTTTCTATGTTATCACAAACAAACCTCTCAAAAGAAAAGTTTAACATTTTTCAAACAAACTAGTGTTGGGGACACTTATTTTTGAAATTAATACATTACAATATTGAGTTACTCCTCAAAAAAGTAACAAGTTGTGTTACTTAGTTACTTTGATGGTATTGCGTTACATTACTTTTGTGTCACTTTTTCAGAACTTGCACGTTTTTTCTTTATTTAATCGAAGAGCTCAACAACTAATTTAGTATAATGTTATCTTCTGAGAACTTCCTGACCTCAGAGCTCTACGTGCAGTATACATAAATTAATGAAAGTTTATCGCGATGTGTTTGCTACTTTTATACTTTTTGTCCTATCAGTTACTCAAAATCCATATTCATTTAGACGATAAGCTCTTTGGAGAGAACTGTGTGTAGGTATAGTGTCATAGTCTACTGTCATACTGGAGTGATATAAACCCAACAAAAAAATTAATATAAAAGGACCCAAATCCCAGTGATTTTGAGACAATATGATGTTTTTAAAACAGAGCGTTTATAATAAAGAGAGTAAAATCGCTATGTAATTAACCACTATAATCACCACGGCTGGATGGTGTCAGTAAATGCTAATATGTCTGTGTGTGTTTGTGTGCTGCAAACAGCATTTGTGTGAGACTAATCATTTCAGAAAGGCTTGAATAAACTCCCCCACAAATACATTAAATAAACTAACTTGGTATTTTTGACAAAAGAGCTGTATTTCAGCTTCGCCTGTGTCTGTCTCTATCACTGACAGCTGTTTATCTGATGTAAGACAAGAGAAACAAACACACACGTAGGAATATGTATTAGGTATATATATATGGGCAGGGAGAAGCAGCTCATTTGCATTTAGAGGCACAGGCTAGAAAATCAGCTGCATAGTCCTTATAGCAAAATGGGCAAATTCTGGAAGCTATAATAAATTATCTGATGGGTATTTTGAACTGAAACTAAAACTACAGACACATTCTTGAGACACAAGACATGTAAAAGGGGTAAAATAGGTGCCCTTTAATTTTGACCTAATATTAGTACGTATGAACATGTTTGAACATGTTTCTTTATTTACTCCTGTATACTGGAGTAAAAACGTATAAACGCACAATATCAATGTTAATAAATGTTTAATTATTTGAAAAATTAAATAAATATTATTAAATTTAATTTGTTCCATTTCTTGAAAAGTAGCAATGGACATAATGTCCGAGGTTTCTTCCTGACAACTGTAATGCAAACCAAGGGCATCACTGTACATATGTGGGTCAGCAGCATGAGCGTTTCTTACCTGAGCAGTTTCAGCACGCAGCTGGCAGACCTGACGAGCACAGCGCAGAGATGAGAGCACAGCGTCCAGCTCTGCTTGTCTCTGCAATAATTGCTCCCACAGTTCCTGCTCTCTCAAACTCCAGTCCTGTGATAATCACAAGACAATCACTCATCCCAGACCACACTCCATTAAACTGGAAAATAGACAGAATATTGGCATTCACATGAAAGCTATCAAGCTTCTGAAGCATTGATCTGCTCGTTCAGCTGTTTAACAATGTGGTAATGACCTCAACAGTCAGCATTGTATGTTGTTTTTGTCTGAGGAAGAGAGTGTTTTTATGTCTCAAGCTGACCGGATCCTGTGCCGACAGCTGATTCCGTTCTCTCCGTAGTCTCTCCATGGACACATTTGCTCGGTTCATCACGGTCTTCAGCTCCGTGTGCCAGAAACACTGCTGCTCCCACTCCTCCTCGTCTCCTTAAAGGAAAAGTCCAAAACATCATTATTTATTGGCCATCATGTTGTTGCGAAGCCTAAAGCTGTTATGTGAAACATATTTAACAGTGGCATCTGCTGAGCCAGCAAAATTTCAAGGCAATTCGTAAGCTATTGTACGTTTTTGGCAAATTGATGGCTTATGCATATGAATGTGCATGATCTAATTTGTTTCCATATGGTCTACTGCTGGTGGTTAGCTTTAGAGGCATGCTTAAATGTGAATTTTGGGGGGTGCAGGAGGGGGGTGGTTCATATAAATCAATTCATAAAAAGGTTGCGCTGAGTTTACCCAAAAATGAAGATTTTTGAAGACCATTATGCCACAAATAGTTCAAAACCGTCAAGAGTTGTTTTAACTATTGAACATAAACGAAATGTTAAAAACCAGTAGCTACTGACATCAATAATAGGAAAAAAACAAAAGTCTAGAGAAGGGGTGCTCAGACTTTTTCCTATGAAGGGCCAAAAACCAAACTTGATTGAGGCTAGTGGGCTGAAGATAAATATAGATGCCATGGGTAATTTCTTAATTTATTTATTAATATTTAAAAATAACTAGAAAACATTGCTTTATATTAAAAAATACAGTATTTTCAGGAGGTCACGTGACCCTTGCACGCGATGGTTGAGAGACACTGATGCTCCGTCCAAACCCTCTTCCTTTTCTAGTTTAACAAGTTTATAAGTATCGACAGTCAGTATTTTCGACGTGTGAAAGTATTACTTAAATGTATACATCCAGGAAACAAGACTCTTCTCCGTCTACAACCCCCTCGGGAAAGAAAAAGATGAAGCTAGCTAGCACTGAAGCTAATCTAACTGACGTTATGGCGGAGGCGCTTTCGAAACAACAAATCTCGTTGGAAACAACGGTTCAGAATGCTATTCGAGCGGCAATGGAAGATGTTAAATCATCTCTGATAGAGCTCCGCCAAGAAGTACAATCTCAAACGAACACGGTACGTGACTTGATATCAAAAGTGGACAAGATCCAGGGGGAGACACGACAGATCAAGAAAGATTTAAATGTGTGCAAAACCGAGCAGCAAAATCTCACCTCGAAAATTGCCGAGTTGGAGGACCGGTCTCGCCGTAACAATGTGCGCCTGGTGGGGCTCCCACAAGGCCGGGAAGGAGATAATCCAATAGGATTTCTTCAAAAGATGCTCCCTATCTGGATACCAGCGCTGAGGAACAAGGGTCCAATTGAAATTGATCGAGCGCACAGAATTTACGGCTCTGGTAAATCCCGCACTTTACTGTTTCGAGTGTTACGGTACCCAGACCGACAAGCGATACTTCAGGGTGCCCGGGAAGTAATGAAAACCGAGGCGATACGGGATCAAGATCACCTGTTGCGTTTCTTCGCTGATTACAGTGGATTTACCTCCCGCAAACGGCAGGCATTCGGAAGTCTTCAAAGGGAGCTGCATGCGCTGGGGATCCCAAACTTTCTGATCTACCCGGCCGTTCTCCGTGTCAACCATGGCGGTAATCAACAATCATTTGATTCGGTTAAAAAAGCGGAGCAATTCTTAGAAGAAGTCCGTAATGGCCACGCATCTGGTGTGAGACGTAAACTGTCTTTTCAAGGTCCATCCGCGCCTTCAGAGTCAATGGATGAATAAAAAGTCCATAAACGTGTTTGGAATAAACACCTCTGCTCTACATGTGAAACATACAATTTAATGTTCCGCTTCAGAGAACTTGAGAGTTGAGACAAGTTCATTTATTCACGTATCATTTCATACCTTGTAGGGGTTGTTATTATTATTTTGTTATTATTTTATTTATTTATTTATTTATTTTTCATTAGCTAACTTATAATTTGTGGACTTCGTGTTTTTTTTTTCTTTTTCATATTATTTAATTATTAATTATTATAAATTTAATTATTTCAAATGTTTAAATTATGTACTCTAGTTATATATGACTGTCATTATTGTTCATAGTAAGTATACAGTTATGTTCTGTGGTTAATGGAAGAGGGTGGTCGACGTTGACTTTCTAGTGAACGAAGGTGTATGCTGCCACGGGCCCTTATGATGTTGGGGAATTTTGCGGTCTCAGGGGGTATTTGTTCATTTTATTTGTCTGTACTTTTTTGCATTGTTTTAGCTTTATTTAGGCAGTTAAATTCTGGTTGTGGAAAAACTCTTAAAACTCGTATTGTTTTTCAAATAGATTATGGATAAATACAAAATTATATCACTTAATGTTAGAGGACTTAACAGTCCAAACAAGAGAGCTAAACTTTTGATTTATTTACGGAGGAAAAGGGTTGATATCGCTTTAATTCAAGAAACACATCTGAAAAATTCAGATGTTCAGAGGTTACAGAATAAGTTTTATAAACTTGCAGCTTTTTCTACTGATAACACTAAAACTAAAGGCACTATTGTTTTGATATCGCGCATCTGTAACATCAAGATTGATAGACAAAGTCAAGATCAATCTGGTAGACTTGCCTATGTTTGCACTAATATAAGGGGAAAGAAAATTGCTTTTGTTTCTATCTATGCCCCTACAATATTCGAGGCAACATTTTTTTTGAAGATGGCTAACCACTTGATTTCACTTATAGATTACTCACTGATTATTGGGGGGGACATGAATGCAGTTATTGATCCAGTATTGGACAGATCTTCCTCATGTAATCAAGTCCAGCTTAACTCTTCGGCCGCACTCAAAAATTTTGTAAAAGCATTGAATTTGGTCGATATTTGGAGATCTTGGAACCCCTCAAGTAGAGACTACACATTTTTCTCAACAAGGCATCTCACGTATTCAAGAATAGATTATTTATTATGCTCAAAAGACCTTTTGTCATATTTTGACCAGATAATGATACTGCCAGCTATTCTTGCAGATCATAATCCTTTAATGGTAGATTTCAATTGTAATTCATTTGCAGAAAGATCTCTGCGGTGGCGTTTTAATACCTCGCTTTTACTGAATAGCCAGTTCGATGTAGACTTCAAAGCCAAATTGGCTGAATTTCTTTTATTTAATATAGGCTCTGTTGAGGACCCCATATTTGTGTGGGAAGCTACAAAAGGTTTTATAAAAGATTTCTCCATAGCTTTTGCTACTAATTTAAAAAAGATGCAAAATCAGAGAATTGACTATTTAGAAAAAGAATGTAAATCACTTGAATATTCCCTAAAATCTTCATTCTCCAAGTTGACCGTTAATAAACTTCAATCTTCTAAAACTGAACTAAATGATCTTCTGAGAAGGAAAGCAGAATTTTTACTCCACAGAACCAGACAGAATTATTACTCTAATGGTGCTAGACCAAGCAGACTTTTAGCCCTTAGACTGAAGCAAAATCAAGCAAAAGCGTATATTGACGTAATCAATCACCCGGCCAAAGGACCAGTTAGGAATACCAAAGAAATTAATTCAGCATTTTCTGACTACTTTTCTAAACTTTATATATCTGAATGTACTCTCCCAAGTCATAACTGTGCTTCCTTCTTGCACTCTCTAATTTTACCACAGCTTAATAATGAAGAAGCAGAACAGTTAGGGCAACCTATTACTCTAGAAGAACTTAAAGAGGCATTACAGGGTGCTAAAAAAGGCAAGGCACCAGGTTTAGACGGGATTCCCGCAGAGTTATTTCTTAAGTATTTTGATCTTCTCGGTCCTATCTTTTTGGCTGCCATTCATGAAGCAGTAAATATGGGGGCCTTTCACCCTCAGTTGAATATAGCACTTATTTCGCTGATCCCAAAAAAAGGAAAGGACCACTCAAACTGTGCAAATTACAGACCCATTAGCCTGTTAAATACAGATATTAAAATGTATGCTAGAATTTTAGCTTTGCGATTACAACGATACATTAATAAATTAGTTCATCCAGATCAGACGGGCTTTATGCCAGGTAGATTAGCATCAGACAACATCCGGAGATTACTACATGTCATACACGAGGCCCGGGATTGTCCTACTCCAGCTGCAGTTCTTTCCTTAGATGCAGAAAAGGCGTTTGACCGGCTGGAGTGGGACTATCTCTGGTCTGTTTTGGAGGTTTTTGGCCTTGGTACTAATTTTATTAATATGATTAAGGTATTATATAGGAACCCAACAGCTTCTGTTATAACTAATGGTCTACATTCTTCACCTTTTAATTTAGGGCGCGGCACTAGACAGGGGTGCCCGTTGTCCCCCATGCTATTTGCTTTGTCGCTTGAGCCACTAGCACAGCTGATAAGACAAGAAGACATTTGTTCATTTTCAGTTAAATCTCACAAACAATGCATATCTCTTTATGCCGATGATATACTATTGTTTATCTCAGATTTACAAACGTCATTTCCCCTTATACTGAATGTATTTGGAAAGTTTAGTTTGTTTTCCGGATACAAAATCAACTGGGATAAATCCTCTATGCTTCCTCTAAACTCCATAGCTAAACATATTAAGCTGCCATATAATGTCCCCATACGAAATTCCATAACTTATCTAGGCATTGTTGTTCTGTCATCTTTGCAAACTATCCCGGACGCTAACTATCTTCAAGTATTATCTAGGGTAGAACAAGATCTCCGGGTTTGGACCTCAATGCCTTTATCATTGCATGCTAGAATAGCAAGTGTTAAAATGAACATCTTGCCGCGAATTAATTTCCTTAGTTCTATGATTCCGTTACCCGCCCCCAAAAAGTTTTGGCACAAACTTAACTCTATGATTCGTAAATTCATATGGAATGGTAAGCAACCTAGATTAAAATTTGAAACTCTACAACGTACAAAAGAAAATGGGGGTTTAGCTCTTCCAAATTTCGAATTATATCACAGAGCTTTTCAAATAAAATGTATTCATGTTTGGCTGAACCCACTATCTAGAGTTCCTTGGAGACAAATTGAAATGAAACTAGCTGATAAATATAGATTACAAGATATTCTGTTCTCCGGGCTGAATAACAAGCAGTGTATACAAGCTTTTGGTCCAATTATTGGCAATACGATAGTAAATTTTAAATTAATGGAAAAATACATTCATCATTCACCTAAATGGCACATACATACACCTATCTGGAATAATAATGATTTTAGATCTGGGGGTGCACCATTTCTTTCAAGGAAATGGATGCAGAAAGGTATTTATACACTTAAAGATATTTCTGGTTCTAATGGCATATTAAGTTTTCAAGAACTTTGTGAGCGGTATGAAACGGAACCTTCCTCTCTCTTTTTATATCTGCGATTAAGATCGGCCATGAAGGCCTACGGGGTTCCCTGGGGGGACAATCTTCCCACTCATCCAATCATTACTTGGTTTGATCTGTCCTTTACTAATCATTTTACCTCATGGATATACAGAAAGGCCTTGGAGGGTATAGCAAAGAATTTAGCTATACAGCGCTGTTGGGAAACTGATTGTCAACTAGAAGAGGGTGTCACAGACTGGGAAAGAGTATGGCAGAACATTTTTACTTCATCTAAAAATCCCAATCACCAACTCATTCACTATAACTTTTGTCACAGAACCTACTGGACCCCACTCAAAAGACATCGTATCAATGCCTCCTTTAGTCCTTTCTGTGATAAATGTCCTAACCAGGAACTTGGATCTTTTTTCCATATGATGTGGGAATGTGAGAAAGTACAAAGATTTTGGAATGAGATCTGTGTCATCCTATCAAAAATTATTGAATATCCTGTACCATTGAATCCTTCTGTTCTATTACTGAGTGATGATTCTACATTGAACCTTACCAAGCTACAAAAAGCTGTTTGGCTGGCTGGCTTAACTTCTGCTAAAAAATTACTAGCCCAACATTGGCTGCCTCCACATAATTTGGACATGTACAAGTGGTTGGTACAACTTCAAGACATTATAATGTTGGAGTTATCCACGGCGCGAGTGAACTTGGTACAAATGAGTACATTACAGATCTGGACTTTAGCTGCTGACAAAATCTCCTTGTTTATTGCACAAAGAAATGATCAGGATCCAGAATGATTGCCTTGCTTTGTATAATTGATATTTGATACTGTATTCTGTTTTTGTTTTTTTGTTAACTTCTATTCATTGTAAAGCCCAGTTTCAAGAGACCGCAGGGGAGGGGGGTGGGGGTTGAATTGATATGTTTCATTATATAGGTTTTTCAGCCTGTATGTTTTGTTAACAATTAATAAAAAAAAAAAAAAAAAAAAAAAAAAAAAAAAAAAAATACAGTATTTTGTACATTTTATAATGAACTTAATACATTACTTACTCATTTTTAACAGAATTACACTAGTTTTTGCCATGATTTGCTCGCCAATGTCTTCTGCATAGTCCGCTATCAGTCGAGTGGCAGTATTTACATTTGGAAAAATCCGATTCATTTACTTTGAATTGAAGCATTTTGCTTTTATGTAGGTCAGCAATAAAACAAAAGAGGTTACGTTTAAAAAAAAAAAAAAGGTTACGTCAAAATAGAAATGATGATCTCTGTGTTAAGGGCATTCGCCCCAACCCTCTGGTAAAGTCTTGATCAAATACGCGGCCAGCCAAAAATGTGAAATGCATATCAACATAGCAGCATTTTTTTGTGACACTGTATAACAGTAATTTATATTTTTTACAGTAATGTGACAGTTGGGTTTAGGGTTGGGGTAGACCTTAAAAAATACAATTTATTGGGTAATTTAATAAATAACATAAATAATACTCAGTACAACTACTGTTTTTACATTACTGTGACAGTTGAGTTTAGGGTTAGAGTTGGGGTAGACGTTAATACAATACAATAAAAGGGAAACTTAATAAATAATATAAAAAATTCTCATTAACTTCCGGCCACAACCATATCCGATCTAGCAACAACCCAACCCTCTCCATCATTCTTACTCTACTCTCAGATGAAATGGTAGGCCAAATCAAAGCTTACAATGGGCCAACTTTGGCCTGTGGGCCCTACTTTGGGAATCTCTGGTCTAGAGTTTCCAACATTCTTCATTTTATATTTTGTGTTCAACAGAAAAAAAGAAACTCAAGTAGGTTTGAACCAAGTGAAAGATTCGTAAAGGATCAAACATTTTTATCTATGGATGAACTGTCACATTAAGCCTAAAAAAGTGACACTAGAAAAGTGGAGTACTATGTTTTTTTGTGGGAAACACTACAGTTTACTTGCTAATGATCATCTCTGCAATCAGGTTACTGAATCGATGGGTTGAGCTCAATTACCTGATAATTTAAGGAATCATTATTTTAAATCAATGCATGATCCTGGTCTTGTTCACAAACCAAAACTGATGAACAATTTAGATTGATTTGTGAATGAATCTGAGTGCAACTTGTTGGTTCAGTGACTTGATGATTGAGGAATTTCAGTGGAGAACATGTGGACCTGTTCATCATACATAGAGATTATGCACACTGTATACTTTTTGCTTTATTATTTGTAATATTTTTTTATTCATTTTCTGTCAGCTTAGTGCCTTATTTAACAGGGGTCACCACAGCCGAATGAACCATCAACTAATCCGGCAAAGGTTTTATGCATGTTTTATGCAAACTCCCCATGTTGGCGTGGGTTTTCTCTGGGTGCTCCGGTTTCCCCCACAGCCCAAAGAAATGCAGTATAGATGAATTGGATTAGCTAAATTAGCCATAGTGTTTGAGTGTGTGTGTGTGTGTGTGTGTGAATGTGAGATTGTATGGGTGTTTCACAGTAATGGGTTGATGCTGGAAGGGCATCTGTAGTGTAAAACATATTCTGAAATAGCTGAAGGTTCAATCCGCTGAGGTGACGCCTGATAATGAAAATGAATGAATGAACGAATATTTTAATTTTTTCAACTAATCCAAATTTAAATGTGCAATAATTTTATTAACTAATGCAACCTTTCTCTAAAGTGTGACCAAATAACGTATCACTACACAAGCAGAACTACTGTTTGATATTGAAATGTTCCTTGAGCACCAAATCAGCATTTCAGAAGGATTTTAGAAGGATCATGTGACTCCAAAAATTGAAAAAAATGAAGCTCAAAATTCTGCTTTGCTTATAAATAATATTAAAATGAAATATACAAAAATTATAACCGCCTATTTTAAATTGCGCTGCCAATCCACACTATTTTGCCAATTAAATCCACCCTCTGTGAGACTTCTACATCTATTGCTGCCAAACTTTTGAACCATACTGCACATGAGCATCACGAACGCTCTGTTTTGAATCTTTAAAGCCCCGGCATTTGCGCTCTCAGTGGGAGAGTCTGAGCGCAAGGACTGACCTCCTGTGAGAGCGTGTAACACATGGGCTGGTAGAAGCAGAGATAAATCTGACTTCTGGAGAGCTTTTCTCTGGGCCTCACACTGAGCACTTTCCTGAATCTCAGCAGCCGTTTCCCTCAACTGCCTGTCCGTGTCTGTCCAGTCCATCTACACACACAGAGAGAGAGAAGATCTCATTCAGAATGCAAAGATGGTGGAAACGCTTCCCATCACACTGACACCCCGAGAAATAAAAATAGACACTTGGTCAAAAGGCTTGCATTTTAAATAGGCCACAGAGCGTAGCGTCGTCTCTGAGGAGTCAACTCACACAGTCGGACTCGTGAACGGATGTGGAGAGATAGTGTTTAACGGCTCTGTCAAAATCCCCCAGCATCTCGTCCTCCTTCAGAGTCTGCTCGCGCCAGTAATTGCTCCGTTCGTTGCTCTCCTTCTGGAGGGTTTCCACCTGAGGCGAACAAACACACATTTCCACACATGTAAACACCCCCGAGCCAAATGAGCTTTAATGCGGCCGTTTAGTTCACTCACCGTGACACTGTCTGGGTTTTCTCCTAGCATCAAAATCTGGGATGTGGTTACAGGAACTACAACGCGCTTCCAGACATCCAGATTGGCCCCTACAACCGGAGCGATTACCCCTGTCACCGGGTCCACCGTCTGCACTCCAAACCGTATGGGAACCAGGCCTGTAATGTACTCTGGGTTAACTGTTGTAATAGGATTTGGACATTGCTGCTAACCTCTGTTACCTTTGCCATCTGCATCCTCCATGGTTCCTGCCAAGGGCACCATGCAGCCTGACACCCAGTCCAACTGAGCGCCGAGAACTGGCACGCGTAAACCCGAGCCTCCGGGGTCAGGATACTCCAGCCCGGGTAGAGCCGGCAAGGAGAGCTCAATGCCAGGAAGCTTGATCTCCCCTGAAGGGAGCAGAAGGAGCAAGGAAGCTAAATTAGTTTTTGAGCTATTTGCAAAAAGCAGTGCAGTAAAGTTACAAAATAAAAAATTGTCGGATGCCAAATTGTTCAAAATCGCCCAACCCTAATACAAATATATATAATATATTACCATTAAAGAATTCTGAAAAAAATCCAAAAATCTATTAAGCAGCATGACTATTGATAATAAGAAATGGTTTATGAGAAGTTAGGATATTTAAATAATTACTGAAGTGTCACAAGACCCTGAATACTCAGATAATATCTACTGGAAATTTAAATTTGCATCATAGAAATGTTTAAGGGCACCTAAGATGAAAATCAACTTTTGTAAGCTGTTTGGACATAACTGTGTGCAGGTATAGTGTGTCCACTTTCATATTGGGGTGATAGAAACACAATAAGTCTCTTTTTTAAAATTTCCTGACGTCAAAATAGGATCCATATCCCTCCCATTTTGAGGCCCACCGTGATGTAGGAGTATGGTTTCCCCGCCCACTGATTTGATTGACAGCCTTGTATAAACATGTCTCTGTACTAACGCATATAATCATATCAACAAGACAGGATGTGCACAAAGCAAATATGATTTAAAAATCTGTTCAGCTCGCTGTGATTATCAGTCATCATCAAATGTGATCAAAAATCACTTTTATAAGAGTAAAACATTTTTAAAACAGTGCATGTTTGTAATGAATTACTGCAATTTTATTGTCTTTACTTTGTCACCACAGCCGCGTGTCAGGGTAATTATAAAAGAAGACGCATCAATCCCACTTTGTGGACATAAAATCTATTTTGTACATTAACATAATGGATGCCCATACAGTAGTGGATATTAACGTGTATCCTGTCACGGTTGCTGTGCAAAGTTAAACACGTGCACTGTGTACGTGTGTCTGCTGTGTGTCTGTGTGGTTGCCGAACTTTGTAACAAGATTGTGTCTGACTCATCGTTGCAACTCCACAACAAATATATCAAATAATAATCATTGGGGAAGTTATTACTGTAGTATTTCCCACAGACGTTTTGTGAGATCTGCTTCCTTCATGCCTGTCACTGTGCTGTTTATTTGACGCAGCCGAGGTGAAGATTGAGGCAAACTCTGACAGGCACAAGGGAACGATGGGCGGGAAGAACTAGCATTAAAGGCACGGGCAACAACAACAGCTTGAAGATGCTCAAAGCTGAAAATTACAAACTTCTTAAAGCTCTACTAAATAATCTGATGACTTTACAGATACATTCTGGAGACAAAATATAAAATCTTGAAAAAGGGGTTAAATAGGTGCCCTTTTAAGCCAATTACAAAAACAATATTTACCTGTTAAATATCTAACTGCTGCATATCTAAGTATTTACAACACTCCAGTATATACCCTACAGTCAACAAACATTCTGAAATCTTCTGCGCTGTACTGTATGAATGAGATCTCATATTAAACGACCCCTGCTAAGCTTCGCTCACCCTTGAATGATTCACTCAGACACAGAAGATTACATGTGAATGAACTGAAGATTTCTGTGAACAGCATGAGTTTCAGTAAATTCTGCTCATGAAGTGGTAAATATTAACTGGATATTATTATTCAACAGACTGGAATGGAGAGAGATTGAATTCAAAACTGCACAGTCAAACAGTAAGACTATTTTTTATCTGCTGTTTTTTTTTTAAAGAATTGTAAAATTATGCAGCAGCTTGCTTTTACATGGTAAAGACTGTCAATCAAAATCAAAGGTAAACACTTCTCGCAGTTCACTACATTTTAAAAGGCTTATTTTAATTGATTAATTTGCCAAGAGAGTCAAGGAAAGTCCTATAGACCATTTCAATGTGGCGATGTCACTGGCCTGTGAACATTTCCTGCTTGTTGCCAAACTATTTCATAACTGTAACAAGAGGCCATTCAATCATATCTAATGTTAAAACGACTGCCATAACATTATTTATCAATTTGTGGACCTTTTTAGACTTTTGGAAGCTATGGAGGGCGACACAGTGGTGCAGTAGATCGTGTTGTCGCCTCACAGCAAGAAGGCCGCTAGTTCGAGCCTCGGCTGGGTCAGTTGACGTTTCTTTATGGAGTTTGAGTGTTCTCCCTGCGTTCACGTGGGTTTCTCCCACAGTCCAAAGACATGCCGTACAGGTGAATTGGGTAGGGAAAATTGTCCGTAGTGTATGAGTGTGAATGAGTGTGTATGGATGTTTCCCAGAGATAGGTTGCGGCAGGAAAGGCATCCGCTGCGTAAACCATGTGCTGAATAAGTTGGTGGTTCATTCCACTGTGGCGACATTGGATTAATAAAGGAACTAAGCCAAAAATAATATGAATGAATGAATGAATGAATGAATGAATGAATGAATGAATGAATGAATGAATGGAAGCTATGGAAATTAAAAATGTAAAACAGGAAATACATTAGAACCAATGTTTTTGTTTACATGCCTCAAAATGGTCTATAGTTACAGACAATGTACTAAATGTACTATATTAAATACATATTAAACAAATAATAATAAACAATGTGCTATAATAAATCTTTATACTTTGCCACTGTCGTTTAATCCACTGTTTTACCCATTTATCAGTAAAAGTTTATGAATGAAGTTTAGTTTAGACAATGAAAATATAAATATAATACAATTTAATATGATCACTTACTGATTATTTTTAGATAAAATAATATAAAATATGATGTAAAATACATTTTTGTATAAAAGATAAATGCTAAAATATTAAAACAAAATTATTATTATTTTAAGCATATCAGGACATTATTTTAGAAAAATCATACACTGCCTGACAAAAGTCCTTTTGTCGATCCCAGTTGTAAGAGCAACAAATAATAACTTGACTTCTTGTTGATCTTTTGGAAACGTGGCAGAAGTTAGATTTTTCAGATGAATCATCTGTTGAACTGCATCCCAATCATCACAAATACTGTAAAAGATCTACTGGAACCAGCATGGGCACAAGATTCTCAAAGAAATCAGTCAAGCTTGGTGAAGGAAATCATGGTTTGGGGTTACATTTAGTATGGGGACGTGCACGAGATCTGCAGAGTAAATGGCAACATCACCAGCCTGTGGTATCTGCAGGATTGCGCTCCTTCTCATACTTCAGCCTCCACATCAAAAGTCCTGAAAGCAAAGAAGGTCAAAGTGCTCCAGGATTGGCCAGCCCAGTCACCAGACATGAACATTATTGAGCATGTCTGGAGTAAGATGGAGGAGGCATTGAAGATGAAGCCAAAAAATCTTGATGAACTCTGAGAGTCCTGCAAGACTGTTTTTTTTTTTTTTGCCATTCCAGATGACTTTTTTAATAAGTTATTTGAGTCATTGCAGAGATGTATGGATGCAGTCCTCCAAGCTCATGAGAGTCAAACACAATATTAATTCTTTTACCACTGCACCATGACTTCATAGTCTATACTGTACATTATTTCTGTTGAGTGACTAGACTTTCGTCTAAGCAAAGTCAGACCTTACTGTCCTAATTAAATAATTTAAAGTCAAGGCATGATCCTATTTTATTTTGGTAAAAACACATAATATGGCATCTTTGCCTTTCATATAAGCCACTTCTGATACCAAATGATCAACTACAGTAGAAGTCAGGTTATTATTTGTTGTTCCTAAAACTTAGATAGGCGACAAGACTTTTGTCAGGTAATGTATATTCATCCCTTTTCACTCTCTATTTGCTGCAGAGACCAAAGTGGGTCATTTAATCCTTCAACTATTCATTAATTAATATTGACATAATATTGCAGGATAGTTTCCGTTAAATGCCATCAAAACACAGTATCTCATAAACATAAAAGAGAAAGTAGAAGCCATCTGGTCAGTGCTTTAGTAATAGGGCTTTTAAAACGACCATTAACTGTAGAGACCATTTTAGCAGAATGGTATATTTTTGCATTAAGCTAACTTTAAAGTGCGCAGATTTTCTGTAGTACAGAGCTCCTACCCACCCACACTCCCGCCGTCCTCCAGCACAGCCCTGGCCTGTTCTTGTACAGCCTCCAGGCGACTCAGCATCTGCAGCATACAGTGCTGGCTGCTCCTCCAGGCCTGCTCCAGCTCAGAAGCTGCTGCCGAAAGTCTGTCCAGGTCACCTTGAGGATCTGCATTTGCTGAGCTCCACTCCTCGCCGCATCCACGCAGGAGCTCCGCCACCCGCAAGCAGATGCCCAGAGCCTGGCTGTCCAGCAGAGCCTGGAAACCCCCAGCATGAGGCACCACCTTCCCTCCTCGCACGCTGCCTCCACCAACCCGCACCATCCGGCCGCTCAAGGGCTCGATGAAGGACTCGCCCAGGAGGAGCCCTCCGACTGGAAGCACAGCCCCTGAACAGACACAACCATCAATCAGGCTGCTTACGCACGCTGAGATTTTGTCAACGTTCAGAAAACTGACCAGTATGAGGATCGAGAGTGATTCCCGTGATGAGCACCAGGTTTCCTGTGCGCGGGTCCAGCATTGGAGAGCCAATCTGAATGGGCTGCCGCAGACGTGAGATGGGACATGTGTACACTCCACCCAAAGGATAAACCAGTCCTGTTTGAGGATGGATAGTGACTGCAAGAATAGGCACCAAAACGCCAGTGTCGTAGTCGCACATGGGTCCACCAAGCACCAGCCTCTGGCCTGAACGAAGCCCCCGTAGTTTGGAAGCAGCCAGGATTTCAGTGTAACGGGATGAAGGGTACGGGATGAAAGGCAGCAGGGGTGATTCCCATTTTCCCATCTCACCTGTGAAGAGAAATTCTGGGCTTGATTTAACTTCAATGAATGGTACAATATTGATTACCACTTGTCTTTCATTGTCTTAAAAAATATCTAAAATATGGGATACACTGAAGGATTTTAAAAGAACATTAATGAGGTCTATCTATGAATCATAAAACCAAAATTTTACAACAAACCAACCAGCTCCAACACATTAACCTGGAAGTTGTGACAGTGTTCCCATTTTAAGCCAAATTCCCTAGCTGCGTCCCAAATGGCACACTATACACTATGCACTCATGCACTATGTACTTATGCACTTACACACTCAACAGGATAGTATATGTATGTAGTGTTGTCCCAAATGGCACACTAATGTTTTTTTACTAAGCGGAAATTCAAACCGTTTCCCTGATGATGTTTGACTGTTGCCAAATCAGTGAAATAAACGACTGAATTATCAAGTAATACCTGCCGTGAGTATTGCCGCATTTACCATCGGGAGGCGCAATAATCACTCTCGTAGGAGAATTTTGCTTTCACCATCCAAAATAAATAAAGTTATTCAACATGTGCTTCCGATCGCTCCGCCCCTTCCGCTACGTAAGCAAACCTGCGGTCGTTAAGTGCGTGAAGTGTCCATCATTACACACTTCATTTTAGCGGCTGAATGAGTGCATCATCCGGGTAATTAAAGTGCACTTATTATTTTGAGAGTTTTCAATGTGAACACACTACTTACACTATTCATACTACAAAATGGCGTAAAATAGTGCATAAGTATGCGATTTGGGACGCAGCTCCTGTCTTTCCTCAGACTTTCACTGACTTAAAAGCTGTATTTCCATGACATCTAATGAACGGAAAAACAGGTCGTTGTTGTGCTTATATATCAATAATATAATATATTAATATAATATATACATTGCTCAGCATAACTAAGTACAATCCATTTAAAAAATGAATATATTTATCCATCTCTCAGTGAATACAGGCAATGTATTTTGGTGCATTTAAACAAAAATATTTAATTCAAGCAAAATATTGCAAAAAAAAAAAAACTTTAACTGTTATGTTTGATAAGCTCCAGATTTGGCTTCAGTACTGACTAATCTAATGTATGTGCTTAAATATAATATTGTAGAGCTTCCTACAGTATTAAAAATATTAATTTAAAAGATAGATTTGCCTTAGTTAACAGGTAAATCCTGGTGACTGGATTTGACTGACAGTAGATGAGTGTGAAAGGAATAAAATAAGAATGAGCTAAAAATCCTATGAGAAATAGCCTAAGCATAACATTAGACATGAAACAGTGCAATATAATAAATACAGTATAGAAAATAAAAACATTTTGATAAATGAAGTTTATCAAAACTTCATTTTGATTAATTCAGTTGCGTTTAACTAATGTTGGAGTTTTCAGAATTAGATGAACACTAAAATCACCAAAGAGATCGTTCCTATCAGCCAAGCAGACTTTGGTTAAATGTCAAGTTTAGGTTTACTTGGTGACTTACATATTTTCATTCACCTATCGGTTCCCTCTGATTTTAGAGATAAGTGAGGGTTGGAATTAGTGTTAGGGGGAAATTATAAGCTTTTCACTCATCATAGCACACGTGCTGTTGATGATGTGACAAAAAAGTGATTTGATAAAGTCAAGACTACCTTTCTGAACAAATATGGATATAGGATTAATAAAAAAATGGCTAAATTCTTAGCAAAATCACTGTTCGATGGACACCCTACTGTGAACATTAAAATACTCACTTTTTTATAACAGTGAGCAGGATGTGTGTTAAGAGGATTTCAGTGTGAAGAAAATATCCTGTGCTGAACTACCTAACATAATTCAATGTATATACATTTTAGCTTTAAATCCATGACAACATAAGACTTAAAATGACTTTAAAAATAGCTAAACGTCACAAAAACTGATATAATATTAATCACCACTGTGCTCATCAAAGACAAATGACCCAAAATGAAAAATGCTCTGAAAGTTCTCACACCATTTAAACAATACATCATATTAAATGACCCTTCAAAACGCTCCGCCCCCTCGGTTACTGTTGCTGTTTTAGACTAGGATTACAGAACAGAAGGAAAAGGACATTTCTGTGACCATAATGTGCATAGATAGATAGATAGATAGATAGATAGATAGATAGATAGATGGATGGATGGATGGATGGATGGATGGATGGATGGATGGATGGATGGATGGATGGATGGATGGATGGATGGATGGATGGATGGATGGATGGATGGATGGATGGATGGATGGATGGATGGATGGATGGATGGATGGATGGATGGAAATTTTTCCATTTTCATTATGAATTTATTATGTTGTAATCACCAATATGCCACATTGATTTGGGGCCCCAAAGCAATTCCGGGTGTAAGCACTTTTAGGGTATGGGACCCTAGCATTGAAACTCAAAACAATCTCTTTCTCTATAGATATTTTTTGTAAACAACCAGCATGTTAGAAATATATTTTAAGTGGAACCTTTATTTTCTCGATGTAAAATTAAATACAATAAATTCACACAATTTTTTTTAATAGAATACAAAATAAAAATAGCCATATTTGTGATTAGATTTTAATATTTGCATGTGCAGTACAGAAGGAACATTCCACTAGGCTTTTCATGGGGCCCCTGGTTTTAAAAAGAAGTAATATCATTGAAATCTTAATGGTTATAGTCAGATTTTACAACATAAAATAGAAAGTAAAAAAAACAAAACTATATGATTAATATAGGCTTCTTGACAGTGTTCGGGGGCCCCAATTCCCCGGGGCCCTAAGCGACTGCCTTATTGGTTAAGTCCGCTCATGATAACCTGTATTCATTTGTTTGTACCAACAAGTATTTTAGACGACTTACCAACACCAGCATCGGCTGTAAAGACAAGGGTGGAAGAAGCAGGATCAAAGTCCACGTTTCCAGCCACAGGCAGTAGTTTGCCAGTCTGGGGGTGCAGAAAGAAGTCCGGGGGCACGGGCATGCTGTGACCACTAGCCAGTAACATATGAGCATTAGAGTTGGGTTGAATGAGGCCTGTGAGGGGATCTACATGAACAGCGTCGCAAGTTCTAACAGATCCATCAGGGGCTGTGGAGGGGAAAGCAGTGAAATCTTTCTGTGCTTCTGCAGACTTTAATCAATCAGTCATGCCACAGACGTGCCAAGTTGAGCCTCAGAGGTTATTTATCAGGATTTGACCAGCATAATGTGCGCTATGTTGTAAAATAGCTTCACCTAGTGGTGAGGCTGAGCTTTTCAGGTCTTACAGTTAAACTCCACTAGGGGGAGTAAGTGCACAGTCATTGACCGAACACATTTTTATCATGTACAAAAATAACATTAGGCCTGAATTACTGTCTATAAAAAGATGTTTTAGGATGTCTCACCGATGACGTCTTCCCTGCTGAGGACGGCTCCAGTAGCAGGGCATAATAGCTGTGCTCCAGTGCCCTCTTTGAGCACAGAGCTGGCGCCTGCCCTCTGGCTCTCCACTGATACCATCTCAGTCATCTCATCAGCCAGAAGAGACACTCGCTCCACAACACTGCAATGCACAGAAAATACAGCAGGTCAGTCATTCTCAACCAGACGGCCAGGGTCAACCGGGGGTCTTTAGCAGACCACCAAGGGAGCTCAAGATGACTTTAAAGAGATCTAAAATAAAATAAGCAAGCATTAGCATACTTTAAGCTGTGAATCGAGGTATTTATTGTTTTAATTCAGCTCATTAATAAATCAGTTCCTTTTATCTTTGAAAACCTTGAGGCTGTCTAATTGACAACAATTAAATACATCTTTTACATGTAAATACAAGTTTTATAGTTATGGAGCACAATTAAAAACCACTACAGTTGACCAATTTACTATGCTGACATCACAAGCCATAGGCCACAGCAAAGAGATGTTTTTACCTTGATTTAAAAGTATGCAATGTTATAATGTAATATACATTTACATAATCAGTACTATACTAATCTTTTGAGAGCTGACACTTGACAGAACTTATTATTATTATTAAAAGTTAGTAAAGAACAATTGGACAAGTTATGAGGCCTTTGCGTATTGTTATGAAGTTAAAAAGGTTGAAAAACACTGCATAGGTTTTGAATTATGTAAATGAATTAACACAGCATTTAAATAATAGTTAGAAGCAAATTATATTTACTGTATGAAAATGTCGAAAGTGTAAGGAAGGATTTTTAAGAATATTAATACTAAAAGAAGTCAGTTATGTTCTCCAAGGTTGATTTCACTGGGAAATAGATTCATAATGTTTAAAATAAAAGTTTTTATTATAATAAAGTACTGCACTATCCAGTGTTCTTCAGAATCATTCTTATATGCAGATTTCTCATTACATTTCTCATTATCAATGCTGGAACAGTTGCACTGTTTAATAATTTTATTCAATTTGCATCAATTTAAAATGTTGCTTCAATGACACCTTACCATACTACATTAGTATATCCAAGCATATCCAAATAATGTTGTTTCATATGATCTCAATGTGTCATTACGACTCATTGTTAATACTTTAGTTTTGACTGTATGATTATGCATAAGTCTATGCATGTTTTATTTAACTAAATGTTTAATACTTTTAACTATCGTTATATATTATAGCAAAAGTTTTATATTATTGCAAATATATATATATATATATATATATATATATATATATATATATATATATATATATATATATATATATATATATATATATATATATATATATATATATATATATATATATATATATATATATATATATATATATATATATATATATATATACTGTAAATAAAGAAATGTAATGTTCTACTGAAGAAGGAAAGTCACCAACAATTTGGATGCTTTGAGGTTTGAGTAATGCAACTGCTAAACTTTCAACTATTCTTTTAATTGTCTATGTAAAAGCATGGTGAGGAGGTGAAGGGCAGGCTGTGGTACTGCATATCCACAGGCATGAAGTCAAGCAGCCATTGGTGTTTGTGATGGTCTGGCTATGTCGTGCCCTTCCTAGAAATCAAGGACACCTAGCTGATGCCTCTGATGCTCATGTTATCTGATGTACCTCATAAACACTGAAGTCTGACACCAGCAGAGGTTAAGGACAGATTGAACAGCACAAATCAGCCTAAACCCTCTGTACTTTATTATTTCTTACTGACCCCTAAATACTAGTGGTAATATATAATATACAATATCCAAAAGTGGTAATATTCAAAATACAGCTATGGAAAATAAAGCCACCACTTAAAAATTCTCAATTTCATTTGAGTTAACAATTGAGTAAAATGCTAAAAACTTGTTTAATTCTATATAGGTTCTGATAACATTTCAGATTAAAACTGTAATTTTAGAGGTTTTTTTTTTTAAAACAAATGACAACTGATGTAAAATATTAATGTATAACATAAATTTCTTAATTCTTCTGAAGTCATAAATTAAGCTAAAATTAATACTATTATGCAAATTTTAGCTAATTATATGCAAAATCTATCTATCTATCTATCTATCTATCTATCTATCTATCTATCTATCTGTCTGTCTGTCTGTCTGTCTGTCTGTCTGTCTGTCTGTCTGTCTGTCTGTCTGTCTGTCTGTCTGTCTATCTATCTATCTATCTATCTATCTATCCATCCATCTATCTATACATCTATCTCACTCAAGCACACATACAGTATGCGTTAATCACAAAACCAGAGAATTTATAAATGTTAAATGTTTAGTGACTAAAACATTATTTTAATAAATATATCTGTTTAATACATCTGTTTTGTTTAAATGCACCAAATACATTGCCTATATTTACTATACAAATATTTATTTTCAAAATGGGGTGTACTTAATTATGCATATGAAACATTTTCTGTTTGGCCAGGATTATTTTCTCCAATTCTGACCACCCCACACACACATCATCCTCCCCATGACATACTGTTGTTTGATGTATTTGTCCCAGAGCGAGGCCTGACCCTCGGCCGCCAGTCTGAGAAGCCTCAAGCTCTCCCTCATCCGCGCTCTGAAGCCCCTCTGCATGGCCTGCTTGGCCTTCATCTCCACCAGCAGGATCTGCATCTGACTGTCCAGCAGCTGAATCATCTGATTGGCCATCGCTCTGCGCCGCACCATCTCCTGCTCTACTTGCCTCTCCAAACCTTCGCCTTTCCCTCCAAACATCCTCCAGCCAGGGTGGAGCTCCTTCAGCTTCCCCTGCAGCCCCTGGTAGAGTTGCTTCACCTACATCGGTGCATGATTACTACTCAATAAGACAAGCTGACAAAAGAATGCTGTAATTCACACTTTACCAGAGGGAAGTAATAATTCACTACATACAGTAGTATCATCGTACTGAACAGTGAAACAAGAGAGACGGTTAATTACAACGGAGCAATTCAATATGGATAAAAACATGTTTGAACTGATATTTGAAGCTCTGATATTTGTTCCCGTTGAGTCTCACCTCTCCTTTGAGCTGTCCAAGGCGAACGGTGACCGACACGCTGTGCTTGAGCAGGATTTCATAGAAGGTGCTGGAACTGAAGGCTTCCAGATCCACTTGCTCTTCATAGTCCCAGAATTCACTCGATACCAGAGCCACTGCTGTGGGAAATAAAGGAATAAAGGAAAGGAATAAAATGGAAAATAATGGATTTGTAATACTTATTAATAATAATTTATCAACAATGAATAAATGGAAAGTAAAGTAAAAAAAACTAAAATCCATATTTCACGACTGGAATACAACTTAAAATCAACTATATATACTGTATACAGTTGAAGTCAGAATTATTAGCCCACCACAATTATTAGCCACCCTCATTATTTTTCCCCCAATTTCTTTTTAATGAAGTGAAGATTGTTTTCGACACATTTCTAAACATGTTAGTTTTAATAACTCATTTCTAATAACTGTTTTATTTTATCTTTGCCATGATGACAGTAAATAATATTTGACTAGATATTTTGCAAGACACTTCTATACAGCTTAAAGGGACATTTAAAGGCTTAACTAGGTAATTTAGGTTAACTAGTCAGGTTAGGGTATTTAGGCAAGTTACTGTATAATGATAGTTTGTTTTAAAGACTATCGAAAAAATATATAGCTTTAAAGGGTTAATAATTTTGACCTTACTGTGAGCATTTCCTTGCTCTGTTAAACATCTATTGCGAAATATTTAAAAAAATAATAATAATTCAAAGGGGGGCTAAAAATTCTGACTTCAACTGTATATATATAGAACCATGCATCATTTTTAGTAGCCAACAACTTGAAGGGGCTCTATTTTAACAATCTAGTCGCAGAGTGTAAGCAGAGCACAGCGCATATATATATATATATATATATATATATATATATATATATATATATATAATTTCTTTTATTCATTTTCAGAAAATGACAGTTGGTTATTATAACAAGTAACTTTAGTAATAATTAAATATACTGTATGAAAAATTTCGAAAGGAAAGATAAGTGATGCTTGCCATGGCAGATGTTAAAGTTTTGTTAGATGGTTGTTGTGGTGTATGATATATATATATTTATATAATGAGTATGTGAGATAGCACAACTAATAACTAAAGGAATAATAGCAATAACAAGTTTCCATTTGTTGTAATTGAAAATCGTAATAAAACTCTTGTCTTTTATAATTCTGAAGTTAAATTGTAGATATTGTGTTGCCTAAAATGAATATAAACACGTTTGAAGATAACAATATTTTTTTTAGGGATGTCCCAATTGTCCGAGTTATTTGATTATGAGTATCTACCAATACCAAAACCCGATCTGATACTTCTATAATCCATAAAAAAAGAATAAAGAAGAGCACAGAGGAAGAATAAAAAAGAAACAGATCCAGGATGTTCCTTATTTTTAAATGTAATACAAAGATATATATTCGAGTCCTGATCGGGAGGTAATGTCCGATTTTGATTGAGTCTGAAACCACGTGATCGGGCCCGATTTCCGTTCACGTGATCGGATCTGGACATCCCCAATTATTTTGACCAACTGTCATCTTATGCAACAAGAACAATAAAAACTCTAAATGAAAACAATTTTATTTTTACTCAAACACAAAACCTTAAATTGCAAAAAAGAAAGTCTACATTCTTTCATAGCTGTAAGTGATTCATGTTAATTAATTACATTTATTTTATATATACACCATTAATGTTGACAATTGATAACTGAAAGCTACAATATGTATGAACTGTTTTGTTTTTGTTTTTCATAGTCCCATATTTCACTCAACGCCAGTGTCACAATGCAAGCAGAGCCTGTGGGAATTCAAGCACTGGACGCTGCCAATATAATACTATAGGAAAGCCAAAAGTGTCACTCCTAATTTAATACATCTCTTGACAATCATGGCACTGAATTTGAAAAGTAGTCTTTGGCAACTGTAATGCTGTCTAGGATGTGTAAGTGTTTGTCAAACAGAGATATGGTTCTGCCTAAATATCCGGGATATACAAGAATTTACATATATATGGATGGATTGTACATAATTTACATAAATTACAGTTTGTTTATATAATGGTGCTGTTTTTT